ACTGGGCACCTATGCAGCAGTGAGATACACGTGCCAGCTTGATGCTAACTTCCATGCCCGGTATGTTTGGGATCCTAGGTTGACAGCTGCAGTCGAGGTGAGCTACGTCTACGTCGGTTGAATTCTTGCATTTCCCGGTGATGAAGAAGTTGACCAGGACTTCTTGCAAGAGGTTCAAGGCCAAGAAGAAGTTGGCAAAGCAGATCGTCTGCGGCTCGCGAGTGTCGGTCGAGGATTGGACTTCGCATGTGTTTGGTTGATTTTATTTGTAAGGTGCCCTGAAAGAAGAACAACTTCAGCGCAATGCTTTACAGGCAGCACTATCTAGAGGTTAAAGACATGTTGACATGCTTCTAGGCTTTTGCACTGCAGGCTTCACTGGGTCCATTGCACAAGGACACGGGAGTTCAATTGTTCCGTACTTGTATACAGCTTTGGCAACGTACTGCGTGATCCATGAGTTTTTTCTGTACTGTTGTCAGACGGGTAAGCATCTCAGCGACCACACTGCCTCGGGAGGCGTTACTCGTGGGCACGGCATGTGGAATGACCATTGTGTTTGTTTGTTGTAGTGTTGGAAAGGCTTGTATCTCAAATACAAAGCATGCCGTCCGGACCTCATTGTGCATGGACTTTTGAATTTGCGAACACTACCCGTCATTGCTTCAGCAGGCACGATGGACGACAGAGCATCCAAGGCAGGCTTTGTTCCCGCAGTCCGATCAACATTTTTGTTTCTTAGCAACAGTTTGGCTCGCATGGTTGAACTTCGTAGCGCTATAGAAAATCGGCTGGACAGTGGATTGATGATGGATGCCGCTCAAGGCACGCTGCACGCACACACTGACGGAAAGAGCATCAAGAAGTTGGCCATGTTTAAGCACGCACCAGGACGACCTGTCCATTGAAGTTTGCTGGCCATTTGAAAGTTTCGATCAAACAGGTTCTGATGTTCCAGGAAAAACTTGACCAATTTGATGCCTGTGCTGGGCTTATGGGTAGGGATGCCACGAAAGAACACGAGGAAGTCCGGCGCCTTGCCCCAGAGGATAGGCAGAAAAACCAAAACGATCGAGATGCTCAGAGTCCAGCCGCGGCCACATGCGACCCCGACGCGACCCCGACCAGCCGCGCTTCGCCTGCTACGAACCCCTATAAGAGTGCAGCTTGAACGTGTCGCTGATGGAACTGCATGGCGCTCACCTGGCACCTCTCGTCAGGTTTTGAGGAAACTGGAGCCCTGACCCGACTCCCCAATTGCGGAGCAACCACTTTCATGCCGAAGGGCCGACAACGAAAAGGGTGACCGAACCCCCTGAAAAGATTGAGGCGATGCAGTGCAGCTTGGGCTCGGGTATGAGAGGGCTCCACTTCAATGGTTGAAGAAGCCTGGGGAGCAACGACAGCTTACATCGCCAACGCTGGTGCCAAAGGGGGAAATGCGAGCTTTCGGCGGCACGTGTATCAGCTCCATCCTTTGGGCTCTCTTCGTTGGACGGTTCTGGGACTCTGGCACAAGAGCTGTTGAAGAAAGTGCATCACGAGAGGCTTGTTCGCCTTAAGGCGTTTCATGACAAGCTTGCTTGCAACAGTTTGTTCAGCTGGCAAAGGCTGGCGAGACTCGTGACGGACATATTTTGCTCAAGCTTCGTCCGCAAGTTGTGATGCCAGCTGAATGGACCGAGGCCATCGTCCTCCTTACCGAACTGGCAAGAGCACGCGGTCGCGGATCCAGGAGTTGCGAGTGCGTGTCGCGTGGTGTTGGCATGGTGCCAGTTCCCCAATCCTGTACCGGCCACTGCGCGGGCTGCACCGAAGATCCTTGCACTATCCTTGCCTTGCCATGATTCGACGCGACGCTGCCCGTGGCCTCGACCTCACCTGCGACGATGTCTCGCGCCTCCCGCACCCAGTGCAATGTAGTGAGGACGCAAAGGTCGTCCACAAACGCAAACACCTCGTCCTCCGCATGCAGGCGTGTAGTATGCTGTAGTCGTCTCTTCGGATGGCAGGGCGGCTTACGACACGATGTCCCGTGAATCGTTCCTGACGGCTCCAGGAAGTCGCCCCAAGCTTGCTCCCTCTCGTGCGTCGCTTTTATGGGCGCCCGTCCACAACATGGCGCTGGACTGCGGCAAGGGCAGGGTGCTGCGCCCGCGCGCCCTCCCTCTCCACCCTATGGAGCAACGTGACCCATTCATTGGGTTCCGCACACTGCTGTGCCAACGTGCGCCACGAGGCATCGCCGGAAGTCGCCAACGACCAGGCCGCGGGTGACCCCGTTGGGTTTGCAGTCGGCCACCAAGCGGCCGAACGTGATGGCCGCTACCACGACGGGTTCGAGCAGGCCAGCAACATCCGTCACCAGGGTTGCGCAGTGCTCATCATCGAGGACGAGGCTGCGAATCTTGGCCGTATAACCACTTGGTCTTGGGACTGCCCCATTGCAAGCCCGGCGGAGGTTGGCAAGGCCGCCTCGTCGAGCACAGCGGGCGAGTCTACACCACATGTTGCAGCACTCCTGCGGGGCTGGTAGTACGGCGCCGCAGGCTGGCATGCGGGGTCAGTGAGCTCTTGAAATGTGGCTTTGTTGGCCGGGGCGAGGGGCGAACGCTTTGCGTGTTGTAAGTAAGCCTGCTTAGCGGCACTCAGCTCACCGATGCGTGCAAGCTGCACCGCACGGTTGGTCCGTCCAGCAGCTGTGGGGGCAGCAGGCTCGACAGGGAGGGCTGGAACAGATGCATTGTCACACCTTGCTCCTGCAGAAGCACAACCCAATCACAAAAAAAACCGAGAACCGTGCGAGGATCTGAGTTTTTGGCACTGGATTGAGAGCACGGGGGTGCTCTTGCACAGGACGAGGCCCTCCAAACCTGGATTTGCGCGTTTCTTCGACGTTTGGTGCAGACGTGCTAGTTGCCAGGGAGTTGCTGGTGCTTCATGTCTGACGGGCTGCCCGCCCATGCTTATGTGGCGCTGATGCATGGTGTTTTGTTCACGTGTTATGCTCCTGGCGACAGGCATGGACGCACCGCTGCAATGTGTTGGGTCACTGTGGCCGGTGTATGCGGCTTAAAGTTCGCTTGCATCCTTCCAATCATGAGTAACCAGCCCAACTAATCATCACGGCTGGCACCGACGCCCTGGCATCCCAACGCGAGTCGAGCTGGAGCGGTCGCCGGGGCCGCATGGCCGCGCGTTGGCCGACATGGTCACCTTGTTCGCAGCCCTCCCCCTGGTTGACCACTCTGCACGAGCCATACGAGCTCTAGGAATCCCACCGCTTGGAGGAGGGCGAGGCCCTTTTCTCGATGGCTTGAGGCCAGCGCCCCGAGCCGACTCCCGGCGTGTGGCTGAGCTGCCAATGAATCTTATAATCTTTAATTTTTCAAAGAATTCTTTCAATACATTCTTACTGCGAGGTAACGTGCCCGCTGGTTGGCGGAAAACTGTTTTCACCATGTTGGCAAAAATGACAAAAGCGAGGACCACTTTGGATTTTAGGCCGATTGCAAATGTTCGACTGATGTACAAAGTCTTTGCGCGTATGATTCTTGGTCGCATCGAAAACATCTTGGACGCGTCGCAACCAGAGGAACAACACGGTTTCAGAGTGGGACGCCGTATTGAAGAGCATCTACTTACGGCAAATGTTTTGTTGGATAAAACATTTGCTGCCAATCTCCCGCTTTGGATTGTAAGTGTCGATTTTGCTAAGGCATTTGACAGTGTTGAGTGGTCTGCTCTTTGGACAGCGCTGCGGACACAAGGTGTATCTGACCATTTGGTGTGGGTTTTGCAGATGTTATACCAAGATCAAGAAGGTGTTGTTCGCGGCGATTCCAATTTGAGCCGCTGGTTCAAAATCTGTGGGGGCGTCCGCCAAGGTTGTGTTTTGAGTCCTCGATTGTTCTGTGCGGTTCTTCAAGCCGCTCTCAGCGCTTGGAGGCAATCTGTCGAGTTTCTAGGTCTTGATTTTGGTGATGGCCTACCACCATTACTGGACCTCAGATTTGCTGACGACCTATTGCTGTTCGCAAACTCCGCAAATGATGCCGCGCAAATGCTGGATGAGTTGGTCCGTTGTTGTTCAGCTGTTGGCCTCCGCTTGAATGCTCGAAAAACCAAGGTGTTGACCACTGAAGCGCAAGCGCCCCCCAAGTTGATCACCCCCACTGGCAACACTGTCAGCATTTTGCCGCCCAGTGACGCTCACAAATGGTTGGGCTGTTTATTGTCGAGCCGTGGCTCAAAAGCAACATCTGCTGATGTGGACTTTCATATGCAGGCTGCGTCGAAAGCATTCTTTGCAAACAAGGACGTGCTGTGTGATCGCAACGTTTCCTTGACACAGCGACTCCGATTTTTCGATGCCGTAATCACTCCCGTGGCATGTTTTGCGGCTGGCCACAGAGCTATTTTCCAAGCAGATGTTCGCCATCATGATGTTGTCTTCAGAAAGTTTTTGCGGCGCATTGTTGGTCCTCCATCCGACGTCCAATGGGACATGCCGTGGCACCACATCCTACACCAGTGGAACATGAAAGCGTTGCGGTGTTGGGAAGCTTTGCGACGGCCTACATGGGGACAACTTTGTTTGCATTCTTATTGGAATTTTGCGAGACACATTGCCAACTTGCCTGATGCAAGATGGGTTAAACGTGCTTTGAAGTGGCAGCCGATGGGGCGGCCTAACCCCGGTAGACGCGGCAGCATGTGGATGACTTGCCTAGAGAATTTTGCTCGCTTCCAACGCTGGGCCACCTGGGAAACAGCAGCTATGAACAACAATATGTGGAATGAGTCACGCGATGATTTTTGCAAATTTGTGATGGGGCAGGAATCTGCATAAAAGGTGCCTATAGAACGTTTCACCTGTACCCTAAAGGGGACGCCTTCGGGCGATCAGGTTTCGACTCGACTCGACTCTTTTTCAAACGGACGAAGAATCGGTGAGGCTTCCAAGGACGAGGCCTGTTTTCGCTGCCACCGCGCCCTTCATGCTTTGGAGCAGATGGGCTTGCGAAGGCCCGACGCAGCGCGATGCAGAAACGCTGTCAGGCACGCTCAGTCAGCGGACGCCGTTCGCATCGCCCCGCAAGCTGGAGCGAGAAGCATGGGGTGAAGCGGCGCCGGCTGAACCACGCGATGCCACCCCAAGGTTCATGCTCCCAGCTTCGCCTACGTTGCTGCCAGCTCCCGCCCGAGAGCCGCTATGCTGGCAGGACGCCCGCCCGCCACGCGAGGCACCAGGCGCATCGTGTTCTTGGCTGTTCGTGCCGCTCTTCCATGCCGCTGCTGGCGCCCTGACGCAGGCAGCCACACACGAGTGGAAATGCCATCCCTACATCGGCGTACGCTCTGCGGAGCTGGCAGGTGCGTTACGGCGAGCGCCCGCCGCGCAGCCTTCTACGATTCTTCGCTTCTTCCTCGCCGAGCTTGCGTGCGTCGACCGCGACCCTGCCCACCGAGCGGCCGACGTCGCCTGCGCAGAAGCGCTGACCGCGTTGCCGGCCGCGCCTTTGCTTTTGGCGATCGCAGTCGTCCGTTGTATGGATGTGCAAGGATATGTCCCCGCTGCAGCGCAAGTGGCCCTGCTCCAAATATACCGTGGCGCAGCCGTCGCTTCTGCGGCCCAAACGTTGGCGGAGGATGCGCGGCGCGCTCGGAGCGTGCCAAGGACGGCTGATGTTACAATCTCGATGGCCGCCACTCAGTCCCACTCTGCCCGGATCGCGTGGCCGTGGCCGATGCCGCAGCGTGGAGGACCCTGGACAACGTCGACCTCGTTGACGAGTTGCGCCACCCAACCCCAACGCTGCAAGATGCGGTCGGGCCGGAGGGGCAGGTGGTCCCGCAGCAATGGCTAACAGGCCAGGCCTTGCATGTGCTGCGATGCCACCCTGGGCCGTGCAACAAGCAGTGGCGGGGACAGCGCTTGGCTGCGCGTGGCCCACTGCCTCGCCCACCAGCACGGCAGATGCCCCGCCGCTTGAACGCGTGCTCGACGGCGCGGGTGCGGAGTCCTGTAGTCGGATGCCGTTCAGGGCGTAGGAACCTGTAGTTAGGCCGACTCGGGACCATGGTCATGCAGGCAGAGAAAAGTTCGAGAAAAAAAACACCTCCCTTCATGGGCCGCGGTACGGGGGGCGCTTGTGCAATCGCAAAAGGCACATGCAGCTGACAGCGCTGCTGATGGCACAGATACCCCGATGCTACCCCCCGACGAAGTCGCCGAGCGGAAGCGGCACCAAGCCTGCGCGAAAGTGCGGAAGGGTGAACTGTCACGTGCAAAAACGGCCATACCGTGCGACGAAGCAAGCCGCATCCCGCCACAAGCGATGCAAATTGCCCTGCGGCGTCGCTCTGCCTCTATCAGGCCCTACCTTTTTGCCCCGGACGCTCATCGACCTTTACGGCGACCATGCCCTCGCTTGCCTTGTTGGCCAGGCGTGCTAGAGTCGTCGATCGCGCGTGGGCCCACGTGGTGCGAAAGGCCGTCGGAGCCGAAAGTCAGGTCGTGCCACAGCAGTGGCTCGCCCACACGGCCGACGACCGCCGTCGCCATGATCTCGTCGTTTACGGGGCCAGCGCCAACGGAGGAGCGCTGTGCTGCGACGCGACACTGGTTTCCCCCCAACACGAACGGCACCACATCCATGCGCCGTGGGGGTGGACGGTGCCGTGCTGCAGGTTGAGGAGCGGCGAGGCGCGGCGCGGCGCGCAGAAGCTCCTGGCCCCTAGGCTCCGAGATAGGAGGCCGCTGGAGCACTGCTGCGCAGCGCTTTGTTCGCGACTCGTGCGCAGCCAGCCGTGCGCGCTGCGGCGTCCTGTGGCTGGGCAAGACGTTGGTGGGGAACCCTTTCCAACTTCGCCGTGGCGAGCGCAGCCTTGGCCCGAGCGTGGCCGGCTGCGCCACTGCCTGGGCCGAGCGACGGCCCTGCACTGGACCACGTGCTCACCTCGCCACCAACGAAGGGCCTAGCCGCCTGCCCCTGCTGCCCTAAACCGGGACCGCCTGCCGTAGTAGCTCAACCAACGTAGCTTTGACATTGACTTGCAGACCGAAAAGGCCGAGAAAAAGAGTAGCTTGCACTGGGACCGCGCTCCGACAGGTGGAAAGAGAAGAAAATAAAAGAACGGATTCAATGTCGCAATGTGGGACTGTTCGGCAGAACGGATTCAATGTCGCAATGTGGGACTGTTCGGCAGGCGTTGACAGCCGAAAACGTGGAGCGCATGTTAGTGCCTATCTCAGTTGTGGCAACTTGTGTTGGCAACGCCTTGTTGGCACGTGATAGGGATGTGCTTGATATGTGCTTAAGGCCGAGACAAACCCTGGCAGCCCTACGGCTTGGGCCTCTGTTTACGTTACCTGCCATGCGTGCATTGCGACATACCGTGGGTGGATTGCGCCGACGTGGTGTACCTAAGGTGCGCACCGAGCTGTCCTCAGGGCGTAGATTGAAATTTGCAGGTCTTGCAAAGTTATTTTGCGTGGCAGCATTTGCGAGAACCGACATCAGGCACAAAACAGGGCGCAATATTTTTGTCCTCCATGAACTCATGGTTTCAGGTCCTTCGTTTGACCGACGACTTGAGTCTGCAGCGTGGTGGCAGTAGTTCGTGTGGACTTGATAACGCGGCGCTCCGAGTGGCGTCCTATCCAGTAGCTGCAAGGAAGGAACAAACCAGAAGCAACTCAGCTCAATTAGTTGATGGTGATGTGGTGTGGGTTTCCTGCATCATGGCTGTAGTCTGAAAAAAAAATTGCAACTCGGGGGGGCGAAAGCTTGCATGGTAGGCTGTTTGGTTGCATGCTTCCAGCCACAGTTAGTTGTGGCTGGGGCCGCTGTGTATATTTTTGCTAACAGGAACTGCGCAACGGTGTTCTTGCAAAAGAACACCTTGTGGCCATGTTGTGTGTATTCCCCTTGAGGTTCAGATAAGAGGGTCGTATCCCCCTCCGTGCAAAATGCAAAAGGTGAACCCATGAGGCTCCCAGCCCCTCCCCAGCGGCCTAGGATGACTGCCACTCCCCTCCCTCTCCAGCCGTAAAAGCTCCTGTAGCTGGGTTTTGATGTTTTCCTCGCGATTAACGCGCGACACATGTATACGCATAAAAACAGTGCGGACACGCGAACACTTGGGAACGAACAACAGGCTCGACTTGTGCCTCCGATACCATGAATGCAGTGTTCAAGGGGTTCCCCGTTTCATTTTTTTGGTGATGCCCGGCGTCAGACCTGGATGCAAAAGTCAGTCTGCAAGGCTGAGTGCCCGTGTTTCAGTCGACGCCTGGCAGCCTAAAGTGTGGTTGTGGAGGTCAATTCTTGTCCCACGGAGTGGGCTAGGCGAATGAAGGAGGTCATGCGGTCTCACTGCGCCTCCTGAGATCCTAGCCTACTTTCGTGCCCTTGCGAAGCAAGACCCTCGGGGATGGCGCGGCAGAGAGAGAGAAGGGGTTCCCCGCCGTTTTGGTGGGCAGCAAAGACGAAAAAAAGAGAACGGATGCCCCCACGTTTTTTGAATTGGAGAACCAGCATTGGCTGAGCGACTTCTCACCATGTACACGCACATACATACATACCAACCATACCTACCTTTTTTTTTGGAATATCGAATTCTGGGATCATTCGCATGTGTTGGCTTCTCTGAACATGCATGAGCTCGTTACGATAAAAATAGCGAGGTCGGTGTTGTTGCACTGGAGGTTCCGACGTCGATGACTTGTCGCAGCAGATCATCGGTTTGTGCACCTCTCACCACTGGAAGTTTGCAATGCTTTCGGTGGCATAAACGTGTCATATCTGGAGGTCCAGTGCCAGCTTTATGAATGCCGTCCTTCGCATGGGTGATTTGAGGCCTTTGTCGGAGTTTTTTGCAAGTCACGTTTGGTGTGCAGGGATGCTTTAGAGTTTTGCATGCTTTTGCTCTGTCAGGGAAGAAGCGCGGCTTACTCGTATTCGCAAGCAGCAGTTGCTTGAATGCATGGATTTGTGTATGCATGTGTTCGTCAAGGACCCTCACTCATCCCAGTTGAAACTGCCATCAACTACCGTCCGCTGGGGCATGCTGCTGCGCTTGCCCAGGAAGGCTGACTTGAACCTCTCTCGAGGCTTCGTGTTCATGGCTGTGCTTTTGGTTGCATGGTTTTTTTTGTTGGCGCAGCGCATCCGAACCCGGGGTAGGCGAGCAGAGGTAGTCGCAGGTCGGGTCCCAAGCGCAGAAAGGTTGGAAGGGGTCACGCGCAAATCGGGTTGGTCCTTTTTGTGTGACTTGGGGGCGGAGGGGGTTGCTGGTGGTTCACACTAGCACAAACCCGAAAGCCTGTGAGCCGAGCTGGAGAACTCCAAAAGAAAATGCTGGGTGGCAAATTCTGGATGGTTGGCAACCTTAATACGCCAAAAGGTCATGTTGGGTGGCCCTCAAAAAAGTCGTAAGCCAAAGCCGAACCCCTATGCATCAAGCCCAAAGAAACCCTGAGATGTCATATTGGGTGGCAGCCAGGAAACCCGAACAGGTCATATGGGGTGGCCTGTGCGTACTAACTGGGACTTCGTCTGTGGCCCCGTGCACCTTGGACGCGGGGGCGCGTCCGCCTTGAACAGCCCTGCCAAGTGTTCAATTCTGAGTATGACAGGAAAGGAATCGACCGCAATAGGGTTTCGTTGTAGTTGTTTGGACCTGGCCAGCTGCTGGCCGCTGGTCATGTGTCATGCGAGACATGCTTGTCCTGCTCACTGTTTTGTCGCCTTGTCCTCGGTGCAGTTGCCTACGAGAGCATGTACGGCTTGCGAACGCGACGCATTGAGGCACATCTCCTGTGCATAAGTACCACTGCAAGCACGTAATGATGAATGAAAGCGCTCGCTGTGTGCAGGACGCTGCTCAGAGATCTTCTCAGGCAGTTGCAGCAGGGTGTTTTCGGTAATCCTTTTTATTGTTATGTTGTTGCCTTATGCAGGTGCGCGCATCCAGACGTGCGTCCGCGGTTGTCGACTCAGAACAGTGGGAGAAGCTTGTTTGGGGCAGTACTTGTTGTTGAAATTCGGAAAGTCAGCAGGAGGCCTTTCGATGCAATTAGCTCAGGGCTATGACGTGAGTCAAAGGGGCCGACGATCATCGAGGATGTCGCATCAATCTGCTCCTTGCTCAGGTTATTATCAGGCCCTAGGCCCCAAACAGAACCATGTTCTACCACAAGCAACTTTGCCGTAAATTTTTGCGTGCTGAGGCCGATGACGAAGAGGCCATTTTGCCTGCTCACGGCTCCTAATTTCAACGCTGTCGACGCGTACATTCACCACAAGTCTGATCAGAGCGCTTGGGTCTTTTCATTCAGAGTTTGCCAAAATTTTCGCAGGGCTCCAGCTGTTTAGCACGATGCTGCATCATGCCACCGAAAGGATAAAACACAAGGGCTGTTTGTTTCAAGTCGGTGTGGTGGAGCCTGCCTGGATCCGGAAAACTGCACGTGGGATCAGAGAATCTCTGTCCCTGCAAACCTGAAGAGCCCAAGTCCCGGATACGTTCCTAGCAACAGAAAGAACCCTTGCTATGAGATTGTACGAGTAGGCCGGACAAGGCCCATGTGCGAGGCAGCACGCGAATGAGAGCAGGGCACCCAACCCAAACAAGCCAAGGCAAAAGCATCAAAGGATATCAAAGGCATAGGCGAGCATTGGGGTTGTCCCAGAAACATGCAAGCTACCTTGCTCTGAAGCCAGATGATGTCTGTACGACATGTTTACCAACACACTGGACTCAGCAAAAAGCGGCCAGTCTTTGGTCAAGTGCAAGGGAAATCGTGTTAGCACGAGCCCGGGGTCAACATAAAGCTTGGTTTGGCTTTCAACTTCCAGCCTTATCCTGCTTACACTTGCGAGGTTGTCTTAGTTATCTTCGCCTGCAAGTGAAGTTTCCTCGTTGGTTTATGTTTTGCTAGCTTTGACTGTCTTCTAGCAGCTATAGCCCTATCTGCCCTGTGTTGGGGACCTTGTGGCTTCAGCTACTGTGACCACGGCTCCTGCCTGTGACCATGTGAGTTAGGCCGCGACCCTACCGCACCAGGCCACAAACGTAGTATACATGGATCTGCCTCTCTCTTTTGAGGGCCAGAAATATGTCTGAGTTCAGACGCCGGCAAGTGCGGTTTACAGGCGCGCGTCGCAGGGCTCAGCTCTGGAGGTTTAACACGAGGTTTTTGTACCTGCGACTGCCTCTGCAGACCACGATGGGGCATCTAATAACTCGTAGCTCCCGACCGAAGCTGACCTGAGTGGGTTCGGGCGCTAAGGGCTTAGGGTAGGTCGGCTGTAGGCTTTGGCACCAAGCGCCTGTTTCACTGAACCCGAAGGTCTTAGCTCACAGAGCTTCGTGCATGTTTAACCCTCAACCCAACGGCTAGGCGGTGGCAAGAAGAAAACTCGCATAAGGACATGTACTGCTCGCAAGTATGCAGGACCTTGCGTCAAGTGAAGATGAAGAACTCAAGGATTCCTTCCAGAAGCAGCCTTGCCGGGATTGATCGACCAGTGTGTTGTGCTGCACATATGGTACAAATTTTCTCGACTTAACGGAGGTTCGACAAGTGGGCGACGAAACACTTGCGAAGAAGGTCGGGCAATGGGATAGTTGCCAGATGATGCTTTTGCTATTCGAACAGGATGAAGGCACGCCCAAGGTTCAGGGCTCCAGGCTCGCCACGTCCAGGAGCGCTTGAATGTTTTTTTTTTTTTTTTTTTTTTTCAGAGGGTTCTGCAAGTGCCTGCAAGTGCCCGCCTTGCATTGCCCATTGCATTCCCGAATGCCAGTGCTGGACATGAGCTTGGTTGGGCTTGGTGAGATCTGAGTATGAGCAGCACAACATGTTTAATTGTACTGGCCAAGCAGCAGCGCCTGTCAAGCAGCTGCAGTTGTTCCGGCCACCGATCATGGTATTCTCGCTCTCCCGTACGGGAGGGGCTTTAAGTTAGGGTCTAGATTTGTGCATGTCGCCGGCGTAGTAGTCTTCTGCAAGTCCGCATTGCAGAATGTGCAGTTATGAGGTTGCAGGCTCTGAAGGAGTTATGCAAGTTTTGGAATTAGTTTTGCGACAGGTGACATCACCTGTGACCCTGTTGGGTGTTGCTTCTCTTGTACGACGCGAAAGTGATGGATGGTTGCTGGCGGACACTCGAAAAAATTGGAAGTGTGCATGTGTAAGGCGCTCGAGTTTGACAGTGGAAGAGTTGCAGCATGCTTCGGCCAGCTCCGTTCAAGCACCACGCCCAATTCAGTGGCTCTACACGTTGCAGCGCTGCACGAAATCAAGCACTCAGAAAGAAGACGGAACGAACCCCTAAAGCGAAATCCAATAAGAAGCGCTTGTTGTCAGCTGGAGCCCAGCTACTGCAGTCATCACTTCATTGCACACAATGACCTCTCGCACAGATGGGGGAGATCTGATTGATGTCATCAGTGATGCTTGGTACCATTGTACGGTGGTCGTTCCTTGCAGCCTCTAGAGGGCGGTGCTTTTGGGGGAGCACATGCATCTGAGGCCTGATTCCGTTTCAAAGAGCCTGAAGACAAGTCCGCCTAGCCGTGAAGAGCTTCCTCCTGGTTGGAAGCGTGTGGAATCCAGGACAAAGCCGGGTGTTCCGGCGGGATTCGGCGGGTGCATGCGGTAGTGGTCCTAATTGAGTTGTGTCATTTCCATGCAAAGGGATGGTGCGACATCTATTCAAGCGTTTCTTTTGTGCATAAGGTACGTACTACTATGCGCATCCTGCAAGCAACCGCACGCAGGCCAGCTTTTGCGGCGTCTCAAGGGGTGGGGGGGCAGTGGACAGAGGCATACACACGCAGTGGATGAGCGATGTCCCAAGCTTCTTGTAAGATCAGGTGACGCCACCCCAAGGAGCCAAACAAGTTCCGGCAAACTTGCCAAACGGTGGTCAGAAGCAAGCTGCGGCGTGCGCATCACCGAAGGTCCAGCAGTACCCGTTTCATGCATTTAGTGGCGAAGAGTTGACAGCACGTCAAGACCGAGCCGTGAGCTGTGGAGTGGCAGGAAATGGTGGAGGACGAAGGTGTGCAGACAAAAGCTCATGAAGAGAAGGAGCAGCGAAAAAGGAAGCATCAGCAAGTGGAAGAGGAGGCAGAAGCCGAACAGGAGCTTTTGCATTTGCATGAACGAGGTAGTCTGATCGTCTACTCGGGGTAGTTCTGGTAATTCTGTGATTGCATGGCTTCAAGGAGATGGTGGAGGAGGAGCTCAAGCGAATTAAAGCAGCCAAGAAGGACCAGCCATGTCTGCGGAGGTAGAAACACATTTCCGACAGTTCCTTTTGCACTATGCAAGATTACGAGGCTAAGGAGCTCGAGCAGAAGCGCAAGAAGGAGGAGGAGCAAAGATTAGAGCAACTCCGCAAGGAGGAGGCTTTGAGGTTGGAAAAAGAGCGCTTGCGAAGAGAGGAGGAGGAACGCAAGCGACAGCAGCTCGGCATGGATGGCATATACATTGCCGTCGGAGAATATGATGGCAGCACATGGCAGCGTACAGTGCATGGGCGGCCTTGTCTCGAGGCAAGAATTGGAGGCCTTGGCAGAGGAGCGTCGGAAGCGAGAGGCCGAAGCCCGGAAGAAGGCAGGTTGTGGGGTGAGGAATCAAAAAGGATCACTTGGTGCGCGTGTCAGTTGCGATTCTTTTCGAGCTTGTATCAAGAGCACATGGCTCGCTGGACCTTGACCACGGCTGCGTGGCCAGCATTTTCAATATTTCTCATAATATGCCTGGGTCCTTTAGTGTCCCACTGCCTGATTAGAAGTTTACTCGAAGCGCTGCAGGACCAAGAAGCGCAGCGAAGAAAGGCACCTCACTTGAAGAGCGGTGAAAGCACCCTTGTCATGATGAGCATGCCATGAGGGTCATTCATTGACAGGCAATGGTCTTTGAGCAGCACTCCATCCTGCAAAGGAAGCTTGCTGAAGATGCGAGAAAGAAGGCAGAGGAGGATGCGAAAAAGCGCCAGGCGGAAGAGGAGGAGAACCGCAAGAAAGCCGAAGAGAAACAGCAAAACGCAAGCCAGGAGCAAGACCTTGACGCGCATGCGTGCAACTCTTTAGTGCACCTGAAAGATCCTGAAAGATCCTGATTTTCCAGCAAGGCTTTGTGTGTGTTGTGTGTGGGGCCGAGGAGCCCCCCAAAGAAGAGGAGGACGAGGCAGCCCGTAAGGAGAAGATCGCAAAGCGAGAGGCGAAGGTATCTGGCCTCAGCTTTTTGATCGTGAGAGCTGCTTGCGTGGTTTTGTGCTGCAGTTGTGCTGCAGTTGTGAGAGCATGTGAGAACCTTCTTCCAGGTCTGGAATCAGCAGATTCCGGAGCCTTCGGATCCCGTTCTTGAGCCTTGCTTTGATGTATACAAGAATGGAAAGCTGGTGCGCACTCATCACCTGGCTGGTGAGAAAAGCAGCTGGATCATAGGCAAGACTGAGTGAGAACTGAGATGTCCGGACCCTTCAGCCATCTTTGCTGGACAGGTCGGGGCCCGGCGGGAGTGGACATTGCAATCGGCAATAATCGAATCTCACGGAAGCATGCCCTCTGACTGGGTCTGGCGGTAGCTAGACAATTTCGCTTATGCTCCCTGCACCTATATTTGCATATTTGACCCAGGCCGAGATTTCTTGCCAGACGCCATTGATGTTCTTGACTGACCTGGGGTCAACCTATGGCTCAGCAGCTTCGGTGCAGTCTGGACATCTTGAATCATGACTCGGACCACATGACTGAAGAAACATTCTGATGACATGCGATTGCGCCTGATTTGTCCAAGAGGCGATGAATGCAGAGAACCTGGAGAAGAATCAGCCAGTGGAGCTGGTCGACGGGGCCAGGCGCACACAGAGACACTTTGCAGACATGCGTCATCATCATACGTCATCATAATTGCGTCCATTTTTGATGTGGGGCCAACTGTGTAGGACTGCTATGGCCCTTGCGTAGCTGTGTAGCCGGCCTCCTAGAAATACGTAGGTGTGAGGAGGCCGTGACTACTTTTCGTGCCCTTGCGAAGCAAGACCCTAGGGATGGCGCGGCAAAGAGAGAGAGAGAGAGAGAGAGAGAGAGAGAGAGACAGAGAGAGAGAGAGGGAGGAGGCCGTGAACCCCATGGGTTCGGTCAGGTGCGGCGTAGTTTCGGTCCACGCCGGTTGAATGCCATATGAAAAGCAACTTCCAGGACTGAGAACCACGCAGTCCTGTGTAGATGCGTGCGTGAGGTAGGCGCGCTGGGGTGTAGGTCCGCGGAAGTATGCAAAAGCAAAAGCATGCAAACACGTGCAAGGCAATAGTTGCCTTTCCTCCAGAGTCAGAAATCGAAAAGGCATTGCTCAAACCAAATGCGCTGGACTTTGCATGTTGTACCAAGTGCCACAGGAGTTTTTTCCGCCTGCAGGTTCCGCTTCGGGGGCTTGCCGGAGCTGTATGTGTACCGTGAGCCGCCTGCAGCCGAAGAAGCTGAGGAACGGCCACCCAGCCACCAGCTCTGGTCTAGAAGTGTGGGCCGGCGTCACCAGTTGCTTTTCGGGAAGCCCCGGTCTTGCAGCGGCTCAGTCAGGCTCAAAGCATTGTCAAGTTTTTGCGTAGGTCACCAACATTTGAAGGAAGCCGTGGGAACAAGGAGAATGTCGACTTACAGTTGACAAGCTTCGAGTCAGCAGGAGACATGGACATGCAACAGCTGCTAGCTGCTCGCGGTTGTCCCGGAGAAGAACAATTTGTTGCTGGCACTTGATCCACAGGGAGGACTGCATGTCAGAAGCTCGTGAACATCATGCATGCAAGATCCACCCTGCGACAGATGAAACAAACCGGTGTATCCTTTCCTGAATGTGCCCATGGTGTCTATTGCAAGCGGCCTCAGTGTGTAACCCCGGACTATTTAAATTTGTTTGAACTCAAACGTTAGGGGTGGAACCTACTTGCCTGCGGCTCGCCGGACTATCTTACACGGAGTTGATGCCCTACGGCATGGTCTAGCGACTGTCTGGCTAAAGGAAGCTGCGAAAGGCTTGCGAGTGCGAGTGGCTAAGCCGGATGGCTAGTTGGTGCTGAGCTAGCCTGTGCTCTTGCGAGCAACTGGCGACGACCCATGCGCTCGCATTGACCGCATCTGGTGGTGGAAGGATAATGACGACAAGGTCTACTGTAGGGATGTGCTGGGCAACTCCTTACAGAGCTCATGGGATTCACAGACGAGGGGCTGAACGAGCAAGCCCAGAAAAGGTTTCACCACGGAAGTCCGCATGTAGCTTCGCTCCCTGTGTACAGTTGTTAGACCTGGTGGGCTCTCCATGTGTCCCGTTTCCACAGGATGGTTTCTAAACGTGCAGTTGCTCTGCTGGAAAGGGACGGAGAGTCCAAATGCGACTAGTTGTGCAACTTTTCCAGGAACCTTCCTCACCCCCTGTCGTTGCCGAGGCTTGCTGCACGGGTTACGCGGTCTGTTGCGAAGTTACAGTTCGGCTCAACTGTGGAATGCGGCATGACACAGGTGTCAGGCATGGCGACAGCCGAGGATGGCCCCGACCTGCCGCAGGTGCTGGTATATATATATATATGCTATGTCTTGTTAGAGAGATTCGAAGGAGACTCGCCGAAAGCCGTCTTTTGAGGTGCCGCCTGCAGAGACTGCCGCGCCAGCGATCGACGCCGAAGCAGCGGCGGCAGCATCAGCCGCCGCCCGGGCAGCGGCAGAAGCTGAGGATGAAGCGCGGGTCCAGCGCATCCAACAAAAGCGGCAGGAGCACAACAACAGAACAAAAGGCACAGTGTGTAACAGTCAGCCGTAAGTTTGCACCCGTGCTGGTGGACAAGGAGCGCAAAGCAGCTCAGGAGGCAGAGCGCGCGGTGGCCGCAGCCAAAAAGGAGGAGGAGAAGAAGCAGAAGCAGGACAAATAGTGCACACGCGTCATCAGTTCGACAAGCAGGGGTGAGCAGGCAGGTTCATGCACCTGCTACGGGTCTCTAAGCCTGAGCTTTGCGATTGGACTCTTCTTCGTTTCCCATGCCGCCCACCTGCTGAAGTTGTGGAACTGCTTCAAAGAGTTTCAATCACTCACCAAATGCGGCACACTCGTGTTTCTTCATGATTCGTGCTCGATGCTTTGGCATGTTTTACATATCTCAATATCTATGGCCCCAACTCCATGCAAAAGTCCACCCAAAAGAGCCTAGATGAGCCTTGAGGAGCCTTGTGCTTATTATGCCGATAAATGTTGGCCCTTGCCCCTGTGCTTCGCAATGACCCGAATCATCATGGCCCCCTGTTCATCAGGTCATTCAAAATGGGAAGGTGTTCCCATCCCTATCGGATGACTTCTTGTCTTTACTCAGCGCTTGGCAGGTGCGAGGTATTTCTACAAAGCAAACGGTCGCACTCCTGCATGCTCCGGATATCCTTGCCGGACGTCGGTAATGTTTGGTGTGATCGTGGATGTGTGCAGTACTTCATCACTTTGCCAAATGATGTCTGATCTCCTACGATGGCTACTGGTCCGCAGGAGCGGATCCAGAAAAAACGTGCGGCCAAGGAAGCGAAAGTTGCCAAAAGGGCAGCTCGAGCTGCTGCGGCCAAGTCAGCTGCAGCTGCAGGTGCTTCTTGTCGCCGGGCTTGGCAACGCTTTTTGCAAGTCTCCGCACTGTTGTGGAAGTTCTCGGGGCAGGTTCCAACCCCCTGAACCTGGGTGATGCCACTCCTCCAGATGCGGCCCTACCGGATGCAGCCACTGCCTCGCCACCGGATCCTTCACCGCCGGCCAGTCCGAAGAGTGCGAAGTCTGATAAGAGTGATGAGGCTGGGATAGGATATGATAGGATCAGCTCGTTGGCAAAGCTTCTTCCAGAGCTGCTCAACTTTTGCCAAGTGTCGCAGGCAGATGCAGAGAAGTCTCCTGATCTTGAACATGCTGAGGACGGATGGTGTGATGCAGCCAGGCAGAGCACGTCGCTTTTGTTTTAGCTTAGTGCCAGGAGGGGGCCGACAAGTCAGTGGACTGCTCCTTCTTTTGATGGCAGGGCCGTAGGAAGTCCTGAGCCAAAGTGATTAGACCCTAACGTGTGCTGGGGAAGATGCGTCGTGGCCATTTGCAATAGGCGCTTGTTAGCTTTGAAATTGTATTGTCGAAAGGGTATTCGGGGGGGGGGGGGGGCAGGACGCCCAACAATTCACTGTTGCCAGATGGGTTGCATTTTCTGCCATGTCATTGCTCGTGGTTTTCTTGGCTGTCGCAGGGGAACTTGCCCTGTGTCGCAACGCCTCACGTGCCCATTTCCAGCCATGGCTGCTCCGGACCTGCTGTGGGAGTGCGTGAAGCAACGGCCCTAGAAAAAGAACCGCTGTTGATTGCGTTGCTCCGACTTGGAGGGCTTGGGCGCTACCAGAACAGGAACAGCTCGTCCTTCATCCGCAAGAACAAGAATGTTCCCACCATGACGGCTGAGCCAGGCCGGCACAACTTGCAGGCATCACTGGCAAAGTCGTGTGGCCCAGGGCATCTCCAGTCAACTTTGCACAGGCAACCTTACTAGTCTGAACTCCTTCAAGCCCCCGCCCCAGCTTGTTCAGCTTTCCTGACTTGTCAGATCTTGTCAGTTTATGAACACCCAGGTACAGTGGGCTTGCTGGCAAGCAGGTCTTGGGCCTGGATTCCAAGAAGGTGGGGAAGAAGGCGATGGACACACTGAGGTTTTGCTTGCTTTAGATGCCGCGTGTTGTTCCAGGGAAGTGGTTGTTGATGTTGCAATGTTGCGACTTGCAAAACTCCTTCTGAGTTCATTGCAGTCTGTGCTGGTGTGTGCTTTTGTGTGTGCGTGTATGTCTGTCAGGAGTCCATTGTCCTCACCACACGAAGCAAGAGGAAAGGCAGACAGCAGCGACCTGGCACCGTGCTGGTCACCACTGGAATCAAGAAAGGTGCTGCTGTCTCGCTTCTGGGTACCCGGCCGCAGAGGTGCGTTCTTTTGTGGCAGGCGCTAAGAAGGGCCCGGCGCAGTTGAAGAAGGTGCAGTGATGTGTAGTGAGGGCAGTGCGTGCAGCGGCTTTGCGAGAAGTCATCCCATGATCAAACCATCATCCAATGATCCAATGATCAAGCCATTCGCCCGGAATCCTCTGCAGATCATCGCGGAGACCTACAACCGACCAGAGCTGCTGGAGATGGCCCTGGCCAAGCCACCGGCTCAGGGACCTCAGAGACTGGGCGGCCCACCCTTCGTCCGGTGATCTGGAGCACGCGCAACAAGCAAATGCCCGGAGGTATGCCAAGATCAAGAGGTCCTTCAAGAAGAAGGTGGCCTTGCAGTCCCTGCCCTAGGTGCAGTGTTTCTTGGGACACCCATGCCTTGGCGTTCATGGCGGTCTTAGGTCTGTTCGCAGCAAGAAGTGAACAAGACGGCAGAAGGGGCACGTTGTGACACATTATGGGAAAAGAGCCGAGAATCTCGGACTCCACTGCGTATCACTGCAGTGCCCATCATCATGCTTAGTTTCAGGGTGTGGACGTTTGAAGTAAATAATCTTGTTTAGCACATAAGCTGCGTTAAGCACATAAGCCGCACACATGTGCTTCACCCGACTTTCAGGCATTGACGATCCGCTGCCATTTGAGGATCAAAAATCAGGGTCACGACCTGCTGCCTCTGTCGTGGCCTGCAAGCGGTATGGACAACAACTCAGAACTGATGCAGCTTGCATTGTGATGCAATATTCTCAGCAAGTTTAGCCGTTTTGGGTGACTAGTTTGGTGATTGCTTTCTATTGTGCCTCCGTAAGGCAGAGCCAACCTCGCCTGCAAACCAGGCACACAAAGAGTAAAACCAGAGTGAGACCTGAGCCGCAGTCTTGTATTTGTGACGGATCAGCGTCAGTTGAATTGACTGAACAAGAAGCGCAGAAGCAGGATTGTGACGTGCAACTCTCGGTGCAACATTTGTGCAAGGGCAAATGGATCGAAAGCTCGGAGAAGAATATGATGCAGGCAAGTGTCTGTGGATGGAGCAGTGTGTGGAGCAATGTGTGGAGCAATGTATGTCGCAGTGGCACGTCGGCCATGTGACTTCGGGCAAGTTGGGGTTTAGGATGACGATCTGATTACGCAGGCTCGAAACCTTATCCGTGACATGCTCACAGTCGTCCGCAACAACGAGGTTACCGAGGCGTGCTGTTGTTTGATCACCGTTCAGTGGTGGAATCCCATGAAACTCCTGTCTGACTGCAGGCTTCCAACAAGGCTGCAATGCAGGAAGCGGTCTGGCCCTGAGCAGGTCACGGTCAGCCTGCATCCACATCAAAATCGCCTTCAAGTGCCTTCAGTGCCGTCAAGCAAGGACAAACGAGAGAAGGAGGCAAAGAAGGCTGTGGTGTTCAACAAGGCCGGTCAGATATATGCAAAAGCCTGCTGAGCTAATGCGCTCAGGCGGCTTCGGGTAGTGTTTTCATAAACTCCGGCATCCCGAGATGTCCAAAGTGTATTGCCGTGGTGTCGGTATTGCTTCGGCGATGTGCTCCACCGTCCAGTCGCCAGTTTGGCTCGTCACTTGAAAGGCTGCAGCCCACGAGAAAGTTATCGCCACCTCTTTCAAGTGCATGCAGGAACCTGCACGGCTGGCTGAGAGACATTTTGAGACAGAACTTCGTCATGTTCTGCACGATACTTCATAGCCAATAAAGTCAAAAGTCAGGACATTGAGGATGGCATCCTCCAGACAGAGGACCTGCCCAGGGCATATTCAGGCACTCTCTTCTCCGCTTTCCTCCTGATCCGCGCGTTTGTCACGAAAGCTGGTGCAGTGCTTGAGGTTGTGTATTGCTTTAGCAGGAAAGGGCGGACACAGTCCGGAAAGCTGCGAGCTTTTGATTCTATCATAGGGATAGGGGTTTAGGAGATTCAAGAGATTCGGGGTTGCAAGTCTCCGGGGTGGGGTATAGGGAGGTTTACGGGTTCAGGGGTCTGGGCATTCAGGGGTTTGGGGGTTTGGGGGTTTCAGGGGGAGGACATTTAGGGTGCGGGGTTTATAGGGGTGTGGAATTTATGGGTTGATTGGTTTGGGCGCTTGAGGGAAAGGGGATTGGAGTTTGGGGGCTCAGAGGTTTGGGGAGTAAGGGGTTTGGTATCTAAGGGTTCAGAGTTTTGCGGTTAGGGTTTCGGGCTTGGGCCGGTGTCACACACTTGGGCTTGCTGTTGTTCAAGTGCCACTTCAAGCAGCCAGGACAGCCTCAGCAAGCTGACGCACGAGCGATATAGGGGGTTTGCTTACCTCCAGGCGATTTCCAAGAGCGTTTTTTTCGTTTTGAAATGCGAGTGCTGCTGATGCTAGATTTGTGGTCATGTGCACAGGTTTGTGAACGTCGCCTTGAGCTTCGGCAGAAACGGCCGCAGGCAGAAATGTTCAAGGATGTCTCGGTCCAAGCAATGAAGACTCTTGTGAAGCTGCTTGCTTGTCTTCGTTCTACAGATATTTTTTGATGCTGCCATAAGGCCTTGACAGACGCATGCATCCCAGAGTCTCACGAAGTTCTTCCTCCAATCGTTCAATCAATGAGGAGCGCTTCCACTGAGGCCTTGACTTCCGAGAAGCAAGCCTTGGAAGTGGCCCGAAAGGTGCGCGCAGATCTCGGTGATCTCGGTGCCCTTTTTTTTCAGCACAAAAGCCGCCCAGCCCAAACAGCCCAAACAGCCCAAACAGCCCAAACAACCCTTCCTCTTCGGTCTCTCGCTTGAGAAGGAGCTGCTGGAACTCGAGGAGCAGGGCAAGAAGATCGTGACCGAGCTCAGGCCCCGATGTGCTCCCCCGGAAAGGCACTTTCACAGTAGGCAGCCTCTTGGCAGCCTCTTGGCAGCCTAACTTTTTCGCTGCTTATCAGCTCACAGATTCGCAGTTGCGACGTTGTCTTCCAGGGACAAGCGGAAGTTCCTTTCCGAAGACACCGGGATTCGGTCCATGGCTTGGTGGAGCCAGATGTAAGATGTAGGGTGTGCAAGTAATGGCCGGTTGTTCAGGGTGGTCCTTTGGGAGGGGGGGAGGTAGCAAGTAAATTTGCAAACATATAGTGGAATTGGCGCCCGGCGCGCGCAAGATCGACTCTGCTCCTTTGTTCCATTGCGCTGCGCTACATTGCATTGTATACAACGAAAGTAAGTAGCTAGGAGTTCGTCAGGATGTATGTAAAAGCATTCACACTCGTACGGGTTCTGTTTGCCCTCATTCCGCCTAAGCGTGCATTGTTGTCCCAAAAAATCGTAGTGCTTGGCTCCCAATGTTTTGAGTTGTGTTTGTTCACTTCACTTCACTTCACTTCACTTCATTTCACTTCACTTCTTCACTTTACGACGGCTCACTCCGCTCGAGCTCTTGTCCTTCACGCACCATATGGACCAATTCACTCGGCTGTCGACTTCCGTCCCCTCCACTACGCTTCACCAGATCTGCGCTCCACTTCACTGTGCCCGCTGTGCCCATCTGTGCCCTACATGCGCCCCTTCTAGTCCATGAATTTTCTTGTGTTCTAATTCGCTTCACTTTCTTCCGCTCCACACTGCACCACCCACTCACGACAAGCCTCTCCACTCCTTGCAAACAGCTGCTAAATTTCCAATCTCATGCCTTACCAGTTCAGGATTTCGATGCATGAGCTTTAGATTGAAGGTTTCCGATGTTTTGGCGGAATTGTGGGTTGTTTTTTCGTTGCTACTTCTTAGATGAGGTGCTACCATGCTGGGGAAATGGAGACTCGTATTTCCGAAATGTGACATGTCGTCCTTCTCCCATGCAGCTTCTTACCTTACCTTCCATGCCAGCAAGGAAGGAAGGAATAACAATTGTACGAAGGAAGAAGGCCAGGATAGAAAACCATACAAGTGCATAAATAATTAAATAAGTGGTATTAGCCAAGGGAGTAACAAAAAGACAGTTGCTAAATTGGCCTTGCAAGTGCCAACATTGAACGTAGACAGCAGTTAAATGGTGCTAGCAAATGGAGAAATCAGAAGAAAGTCGCAAAACTAGCCTTGCAAGTACCAACATTGAACGTAGATCTTGGGGACTGTGGGGACTCGATTTGTTTGACAGGGGACATCCTGACGCTGTGAAGTAGACGTGTGTAGAGCGCGTTGCCAAGGCGCTTGCAGATGATGGAGGACTTGAAGACTCTCTCGCATGAGCCCAAGGTACATTGTTCTTGGAGAGTAGTAGGGACCGTTTGACTTGTGGGTGCCGAATTCAAGCCCGGTGGCATAAACAGCCAAAGGCAAATGCCCGCCTTTTGAGCAACCATCACTGAGGCCTCAGGTGGCGTTACCACCAGTCAAGGCACAGTACAAAAGACTGCCGGAAGATGTCCTGCAGCAACGCGGCTGTTCGCTCTTGTCAGGCAAGCGCCAGTCCGAAGAACAACAGCAACAACAAGGCAGAGCAAAAGGAGGAGAAGAAGGAGGAGAAGAAGGAAGAGAACATTGAAGCCGAAAAGGTTGAAAAATCCGAGGAGCCGACTGAAGCGGCGGAGGCATTTCTTGGGTCGCGATGGTTGTACTTGTATGCGCACATGCAGTACGATACTTTCAGATATGCAACAGATTGCAACGGTGCCAAGATGTGCAAAACCCTATGAGGCCGAGCGACCCGTCACTGCACCTCCGCACATGATGACTCCCGAGGACAGAGAGATAACAGAAAAGAGCAACAGTGTATGGTCCCTGCTTTCGGACGGGTTGCCTCAAGACAGCTGCAGTGCTCGGTGTGCGACCTCGGGACGAGCTGAAGGAGATGCTGTTTCGAGTAAGATTAAAGTACGATTGAGCAAGATCAGTGCAACATGAAGTAGAATCAGTAAGACGATTGCGTAAGACTACGTAAGATGACGCACTATTACGATTAAATCAGATCAAGTGAGTAGAACATGTGGTGTGTGCAGGTTCAGGGTATCGGCTTTCGCTCCATGATTCCATGTATATTCCCTGTGGAAGGAGCAGAAAAAAGCGGAGCAGGCTTCGAAAGAGCTCATTGCGGACCGCTGCTTTTTCCCGTGAGCTTTAGGGGACAGTCAAGCATTAGAACTACAGTTTTGGTTTTGGCGCTCAGGATACCATGAAACTTCTGGAAAAGACGAGCTGTCACCGCAATAAGAGCTTAGAGACAGTCTTCAAGGTCAAGCAGGACCGAAGGTTGTCTGGGCACTGTCTGGGCACAGTCTGGGCATTTCCCATGTGCCTTACATATTATTCTCGCACTAGGACACATCAAGGGCCAACCATCGATCTGAAGATTGTCTTTCTAGGCACTCCTGCTTTCGCGGTGCTTTCGCCGTGCTTTCGTTTTCCGGAAATGTGCTGGGATGCCAATGATGCTGTCCTTGAGGCGAACTGGCGAGCTGGCTGAAATGAAGAAGCAGCTGGAGAAGCACGCGCTTGATGTAGAGGTTTCCTGTCTGCTTGTCCTTCAAGCGCGCCGCTCAGTGCAGCACGCTGTTGGGTGGCTGCTTGCTGTTTAGGCTGCCATTCTGCGGGCAGAGCGGTCTCTTGAAAGGACGGAGCGAAGGCTCATCTGCAAGCCGGTCAGGCAAGCGGTAGGCACTGCGGCGTTCCCAGCGGCACTGCCAGGTTAGACGTCAAGGATAACAAAAAGGTGGAGAAGTTCAAGCAGGTTGGGGCCTTAGATAACTAGGTGAGGCGTGCGGTCATGGAAGAGCGATGAAAGGTTTGATGGCTATGGAATGCCATGCTGCTACGCGCAACCTTTGGCTCTGGCAGGGGAGCTTGCCAGGTGTCGCAACACCTCGCGTGCCGTCGCCAGCCATGGCTGCTCCGGACCTGCTGTGGGAGTGTGTGAAGCCATTGCCTTAGCAAAAGTTACGTTGCTACGACTTGGAGGGCTTGGGCACTACCAGACCAGGAACAGCTCGTCCTTCATCCGCAAGAACAAGAATGTTCCCACCATGACGGCTGAGCCAGGCCGGCACAACTTGCAGGCATCACTCGCAAAGTCGTGTGGCCCAGGGCATCTCCAGTCAGCTTTGCACAGGCAACCTTACTAGTCTGAACTCCTTCAAGCCCCCGCCCCAGCTTGTTCAGCTTTCCTGACTTGTCAGATCTTGTCAGTTTATGAACACCCAGGTACAGTGGGCTTGCTGGCAAGCAGGTCTTGGGCCTGGATTCCAAGAAGGTGGGGAAGAAGGCGATGGAATTCGAGACACTGAGGTTTTGCTTGCTTTAGATGCCGCGTGTTGTTCCAGGGAAGGGGTTGTTGATGTTGCAATATGTTGCGACTTGCAAAACTCCTTCTGAGTTCATTGCAGTCTGTGCTGGTGTGCGCTTTTGTGTGTGCGTGTATGTCTGTCAGGAGTCCATTGTCCTCACCACACGAAGCAAGAGGAAAGGCAGACAGCAGCGACCTGGCACCGTGCTGGTCACCACTGGAATCAAGAAAGGTGCTGCTGTCTCGCTTCTGGGTACCCGGCCGCAGAGGTGCGTTCTTTTTGTGGCAGGCGCTAAGAAGGGCCCGGCGCAGTTGAAGAAGGTGCAGTGATGTGTAGTGAGGGCAGTGCGTTCAGCGGCTTTGCGAGAAGTCATCCCATGATCAAACCATTCCAATGATCAAGCCATTCGCCCGGAATCCTCTGCAGATCATCGCGCAGACCTACAACCGACCAGAGTTGCTGGAGATGGCCCTGGCCAAGCCGCCGACTCAGGGATTTCAGTGGGCGGGAGCACGTGCAACAAGCAAGCGTGCGCAGGTATGCCAAGATCAAGAGGTCCTTCAAGAAGAAGGTGGCCTTGCAGTCCATGCCCTAGGCACTTGTTGCGGGCAGCGATGCCCGCATGGCCATGGCGCCAGCATGGTTCCAGAAGCATGGCTTCGGATACTTCAGGTCTGTCCGGAGCCGGAAGTGAGCAATGGATCGAGCCGACGGCGAAGAAAAAAGAAGCGCATGCACCACGTTTTGCAGCATGGTGGTGTTGACTGCAGGGTGCTGGACATAGAACACCAGGTTCTGCAAGTATTGCAAGAGTGTGAATGTTGAGTTGTGTGGTCATGAAGCCTGAGGACACTGCCATGTTGGAGAACCTGCGCGGAATTCGTGACCGGCTGGGGGAAGACATCCGAAACAAGTGCTTGCCTTGACTGTGTACTTCGAGTGTCGAACATTCCTTTCGGATGTGGTTCTACTTGGTGACCTGATGAGTTTGGACTGCACTGTAACCACTAGCTGGACTGTTGTCACTGAGTCTGGTTGCATATCTAGCTGCTGCTCATCAGCTCTTTTGGGTGGTGCCTGTTGGTATTGGAGTGATGTCTGAGTTCTTGAGCAGTATTTCTGGGCTTGAGTACGGGTAGTATTCCAGTATTTTCGCGAGGATGCCTGAGTGGTCCAGCAAGGTGGTGAGCACATGGTGCAGTAGTGTATGTGGCATATCACCGATCTATGCCACTATCCGCTGAAATGTTGGTGCTTTGCACGCAACGACATTCTTGACCTTCGTGTGTAGGGACTAAGGTCTTGACAGAGACTGGCCCGGAATGTTTGTCAGCTCGTGTGTTGGGAGTCACGTGCGCCTTTTCATTCGTTTGTGGTTCGTTACAGTTCCCTAAAGCGATTGTGGGCATCCTATCTGGCATCTTTTCATCGCCTTTCAACGAAGAGCGAAAAAGCTCCACAAGCTCCACAAGCTCCATGTTCTCGAGCGCCATGAAGGCGGTGAGTCGAGCCTAATCAAGGCAACCCAGATAGGGCCCCAGGAAACTAAAACAAAAATGGAGCCTGTTGACCGCTTCCTAGTGGGCTTATGTTTGTGCACACGTGCCTTTCGCAAATCCGGCATGGAAACAAATAAGTATCCTGGAGGACAGTTTCTTCTTTTTTGCCCCTCAGCTGTGCATCTGTGACATCACCCGAGCCTTCAGTCCCTGTTTTCGAAGCACCTTGTGGTAACGATTTTTTCTCTAACAGCAGTCACGTCCGACATGGGGGCAAAGCCGCTATCCAGCAAGCTTTCTGCTTGTTGTCAAGCATTATTTACGACAGCATCCACAGCTCGGCCGAAGCACACATTGTGCATGAAACCACAACGCATACTTTCAAATGTCGGTGAAGCAGAGCCTCGTGCTAATCGTACATTCGAATCTGATCAGTGGAAGAAGTGGCGCTGCTGAAGAAGCGGCCCCGCCGGTTGTACGTACGTCTCTCGAAGGGTCGAAGGGCTCGCAGGAGCGGCTCAAATCCACCAACCATCGTTACCGACGTTAATCAAATTAGCCGTAACAAATCGGCATTGTTTGACTGCTTACATCCATCAACGTTGAAGCAAATTGGCCGTACCGCATCGGCCAAATTGGGTAGATCAAGACACTGCCATCACGAAAGGGCGCAGTTTTGATGACTTTGGGGGCAATGACGAGTACAGCCCCCCTTGAGATGTTGACAAGGGCAGTAGGCCGCCCTATAAGTCTGTAATTGACTCGGGCATTGATGCCTCGCCGTGCGGGCTTGACGAGGCTTGGGCAGGAAGGTTTAGGCTCGCTGGTCTGCCGTGGACAGCGAGCCTCGGTCATCGACTGTCCGAAGCGTCAGATGCTGGCCGCCTGCCCAAGCACGTGTCCTGTGCGCTGACCCCGACCATGTGCCGACTCCGATGACAGCTGCCGGAAGCCACGCAAGCTGCATTTTTGGAAGAGTATGGAGGCGCAGCGTGAGTTGCAGGCGTTCTTGAGGCGGATAAATCCGCCTGCCTTACAGTAGCACGGTGTTTGTGGCGCGATGGGGCAACAGTTTCAACCGCGAGGAACGGACGGCACTGAGTGGAAGAATCGCCTCGGCGCTCCGTTTCGCAGCCCTGCAGCTGCGTGAGTCAGGCCTCCCGTGTGTGCGCTGCGCCCACGTGACTCCGCACACGCTGCGCACGCGGACGACCCGCACACACGGGAAGGGGAGGGGGTGGGGCGCCCCTAGAGCGTCCAAGGCTCCGTGCCCGCAATGGTGCAGTGCCGCATTTGTCACTGACGGGATTCCGCAGGAGAGCCTGGCTATGGCGCATGTGTGTCCACCGTTCAAACAAATGTACTAGCGATTCCCGAATGACCTTGAGAATTCAGAGTTCTTTGCACAACGTGGTACAGGACTCCGCGCCGAACACGGAAGCCGCGGCCATGGCGACGTCAAAAAAGGTTTTTGCACGGTAATGCTTTTATATAATTTATATAATGTACCCAGCGCCTGTAAGTGCGTGGGCCGGTTTCCGCCCCGAGCTGCTCCAGGCCGGCGGAGAGTCCGCTTCCACTACTTCCGAGCCGAGGTTCGAAACGATCCCACTGACGGTCCGTATGACCAGGTCCAGTGGGACCGTGCGGGCAAGGGGCGAGGGCCAACGAGCCCCTTGTTCGCGGCATTCTCCTTGCGGAATGTCCCGCCTGCGCCCCGCCGCGTCCCAGCAGCTGTAAGCCGAGTGCTGGCCAGAAAACACGCGCACGAAGGGCGCCTTATTGGAGCAGCTGCCCACAACTTGCTGAGGAAAGCTGCTTGGGAGATGCTGTCGTACGCGATGCGCCCAACCACGGCATCGGGCGCCTTTCGGACTGGACTCTGGCGACTTGCCGTAAAGGGGACCTGGTGCCCGTGCCGCGGTGCTGCTGGCACGCAGGTGGGGGGGGTGCGGACCGTGCTCGGCAGCAGGAGAGGAGTCGGACGAACGGGATGGTCTTTGCGCTTCAACGTTCTGCGATCTCGATGGCAAGCACGACCAGGCGACAGCGTGGGATCTTACAATGTGCTATGCGTAACGCAACCGGAGCGTGCGCATCGCACAAAATCCACGAACGCCATCGAACGCCCAAAATGCGCGAGCCGCAGCTGATACATGGGCTGGAGGTCCACATCCGCATATTGATCACCTGATATACAAAAGGTGCAGCCCACGTGCGTGTTTGGCCCACCTCAATTTTAGTGTCCGGATCCAACCATGTGGGATCTGGTGGCTGAGCGGGTTTGCTCACAACAGGTAGCTGATGGAAGCTGTTTGGACTCGTGCAACGCATGTTGCTAGCGCGGTGCAAACAGCGAGGTCATGCAGGGCGCAGGAGCTGCTGGAGCGGGTCGCGGCGTTCCAGCGTGGCGATTGGCTTCGGCTCCTCGCCGAGATGCATCACGGGAGTGCTGGACGCGGGCCGCACCAGCCCGGCGAACCGGCAACTAAGGCCGAGCGCAGACGCCTGGTGGCGTATGCCCAGGTTCGTCGGGGTGAGGTCGCGCACGCCCGCGTGACCTTTGTGGGCCCGGTACCGACACGACGCGACGATCCCCCACGCCGCGCGTTGCGCATCCGCCCGACGTCCTGTCCTCGCAGCTCGACTTCCCCTCCGTCGCTGTCACCGCACGCGATCGCCATGGACGGCCTTGCACCCCCGGCCTCTCCGGTCTGTGCGCGGATCTCAACACTTTGCTGCAATGCGAGGTTTCCGTCGAGCTTCTGGCGCATGCCGCTAGACGTCTGGCTCGCGCCGACTCTGCGGGCGGCGTGCGCTGGATCGTGTAGCATGCGCTCGCGCACCTCCGGGCACCCATTTTTGATGCGGCCACGCGCCCCTTCCGCGACGTGTTCCAGGCCAGGTGGCCAAGCGCGCGCAGCGCTGGAGCTCCACCCGACTGCACGTGTCCCTCGACGGCCGCAGCACGTACGATACCATCTCACGGGCATCGCTCTTCACAGCACTCCGACATGGCGCCGGAACTGTTGCCTTTCGTGCGACTGTTTAATGGGACTGCCACGGTCGCTGCCGCGAGATCCGCCAGGGGAGGACCCTGTTCTCCTTCGGCCAACGCGGCGGTCCCCTGGCGGCCGCGCCCTGATGGCAGCACACTGCAGCCACACGAGCGCTTGCGGGGCTTCTTCGTTTACCTATTTCGACGACCTATATGTCCCGACGCGGGACCCGGAACATGCTCGCCCGCACGACGCTGTTGTCGATCCCCAGTGTGGCATGGCCCAAGGGGGCGTGGCGGAGCTGGGGGAGGATGCTTGGCAACGGGACAAACCTCCCGCCGCGCACGGCTTGGTCGGGGGGGCGCATGCGCAAAGAGCAGCTCTTGCTCGATCTCCTCCTCCCGTGTGCCTCGTCGCGCCAACCACGCGCCCAGAACGGTGCTGCCGGACTACGTCATGTGGTATGCCCAGGAGTCGGCGTACACCCCAGGCAGAGGGTGGGGAGGCGACCCGCTCCTGCCAGCCATGGTCCCTCAACAGCCTTGTTTTGGAGACATTCGAAATCAATACAGTTTTTTCAGGGCCACTAGCAACGAGCTAACCCCTGGGGAGGTCGCCAGTCACCAGCGCGCTCGGGACATCGCGTTCTTGCCGGCGTGCTTGCGTTGCGCAGCGGCCTCCAGCGCGGCACCGTCACGGTCAGCCTAGCAAGCCATCCCCTCCGCAGCGGGCGCGGGCAATCGGCAAGGTCGAAGGCGGCGCTGCAGGGCGAGGTGCATCAGATCCGGCGTGAGCTCGGCAGCTGGGTGCACGGGGATAGCACTAAGCCAGGACCCCGCATGTGGGCATGACTGGGACCGCAACGTGGCTCGGGCGTCGGGGGTCAGAGTCGGACAGGCCAGCCTAGCGAGTGTGTCGACAGAGCGCGGCCGCCGCCCGAGCCCCCGCCGGGGCAACGTGCTCTGCAGCGAACAGGCCCAGGCCTCCCAAGCATGCGCGCGACCCTGAACTTTCCCTCGGGGGGCCACAGCGCCTGTGCGTGTTAGCTGCCGAAGTGGGAGGGCGCTGGCACGACGAGTCCCAACGTCTGCTTAAGCAGCTCATCCAACGGCGCGCGCGCCGAGCACCGGCTGTCCTCCCGAGCGGCTGCCGGCCAAGGCTGGGCGCGCCGGTGGTGGAGTGCGTATTCTGTTGCCGAGCAGCGCGCCCTGTGCAGCGCCGCGCTCGGCGAGTGGGCGATGCCCCCCCTTCCAGGCCAGGTTGACACACAGCCGACTGGGCGCGGGGTGCTCAGCAGAGGGAGCCAGCCGTAGGTCGTCGGGCTTCCGGCCAGTAGGCGTTTGAAACCGCGGATTCGGCGGAAAAAGGTGCGCAAAAAAACAAAAAAAACATCTTAGCGCTCATCAGCCGACGGGCCTGACAAAAACAGTTGAGGTCCTTCGGGAAAGATGCGCGGCGTTCACAAGATTGGTCTTACACAGAACTCAATTCATGTTGGCCCAGAAGGCGACCAACTGCTTTACGCCAGAGCTATTCAACAAATAATTTTTGGCCGAGAAAAAGTCGAAAGAAGCCAGGGCGACGCTGAGCCGGGGCCTACCGCCCGGTCAAATATGATATCTTATTATTAGAAGCCCGGTGAAAAAGGGCAAATTTTCTTAATTAAAATCGTGCATCGCTACGCTCTTTACATTTTAATTATAAAATTGTATGCCCTTTTTAGTAGTATTAATATTAGGTTTATAGACAGGCCAAATAGTATCATAATAGGGGCCCGTATTTCGTTCACATTAAGCCTTCTGCCGCTGCGGCCCTAGACCCTCATGACCCTGTGCGAAAAAAAAAAGGTGATTCAGGTCGCATGAGCGTGTTCTGCCCACTTGCCTCCGCCCTGACATTCCAAAGGGAGGATGCAGGGTAGGCTACAGCTTGGCAAACAGTTTTTGCATCACAAGGCCGAAACCTCGGCAAAAGCCACGAATCATCACACGCAACTGCAACTCTCCAGGCTTTTCATGGCTACAACTACAACCCATGACTTCACATCGTTCTAAGCTTTATCAACATACGAGCCGAAAACCTTAACGCAGCTTTATGGGGCTGCATCATCTTGACATTTGTGTTTTGTTTCTCGTTTTTTTTGGAAGGCCACGCGTTCAGTGGGCTGAGGGAAAAATATCCCTCGATTGCATCAACTTCCTGCATCCTCTTCTGCATGGGCGAGAGCACGGCCATGACTGTGCATGAATTTTGTCGGATAGCCCTCCAACCGGGCATAGGGGCCTGGCAACACACATGCTTGAAATTTAGGGCCAGGGTTTGTATCAGAAGAGGGTTGTAATTATCGTCAAGTTATTGTGGTCGTTCTGCTGAGGTTCGCAGCTTTGGAGATCGACAACATGTGCCGGTGCCATCCACCACCTTTTATTGCCGGCTAGCTTTTCAGACGCTGTGCTCACATTGTGCACATGTTCCTTGCAGTCAATCAGTCAGTCAGTCAGTCAGTCAGTCAGTCAGTCAGTCTCAGTCACTGTGTGTGTGTGTGTGTGTGTGTGTGTTTGTGTCCGTGTGTCCGCGGGCATGTTCGGCTGTGCTCGTGGCTCCATACTTGGCGCTTCCATTCGCAGGCTCACTGGTGTAGTGTGTTGGATATGGTGTGGTGGCTAGTGGGCTGGTGATTTGGTGGCTGCCAACGTGCTCGGGCTGCATTTTTCGTTCCAGTGGGCCACCCGTCGGATTGCAGAGGTTGCGCACCCTTCAGCCAAGGTGCAGCAAGAGAAGCGAAGCGACTTCACGCCAAAGGCGGAAGGAGTTTCCAATAGTTTCAAAACCTCGTTGTGAAACCGGCAACATGCCACAACACGCCAACATCACAAACCCAAAAACGAATAGGAACTCCGGTTTGAACCTGACAAGACAACCAAGCACCACGCCCAGAACATTTCCACGGTCATGCAGCAAACGCCTGGGTTTCAGCGCCATGGTTGATTCCTCCGTGAACCTGTCGGGTTCGGGTCGTTTGCGCCGGCGTGGGTCTAACTTGCACTGTGCCACTTGGAGGACAAGATTCTGTGGTAGAACATGTTCGCGACTTGAGGCCTGTGTGGGCAACCCCACCGCAACCCCTGCAGTCTCTGGACGATCCATTGTTGAGGGGCGAGGCAACAGCATGTGCTCCTTTGGATATGTCGCAGTGACGTTACATTGCAAGGCCTTGCTTTCACCGACGGTCGTGTCATCGCACACGCAACTTCCAGGCTGAAACAGAAAACTTTCATATTGGAGTGGTCGTGCGTGTACTATTGTCAGGATTGTTGAAGCAGCCGAGCTTTCCAAAGTCTGCGTCCGCTTGATGCCCAGAAATAGCACGAAGTGCATACTCGTGTTGTCGAGCACTGCATCCAAGCGATGAACTTCGAAGCAGCATATTGTAGTAGTCACAAGCTTCCGAAGGCGAAATGCAAGCAGACTTACTGGATGAGACTCGTGTGCTGTGTCTGTTTGATGTGTGCTTGGTATGCAGAGGCACCGGTTTTCCCTGCCGCCGAGAAGAAGCCAGTGTTGCGGTTCAAGACCCAGTTGATGGGTATGTTCGGGTGCATGCCGGGAGGGCAACAGGTATCCGAACATTGTGTTTGTTCAAGGCCGCTAGAGCATCGGCCAAGCACGTCCGCTGGCAGCGACGTGTCTGTACCAAGCAGAGGCACGGCTTGCGGGCATGTCTTGGTGCTCAGGTGCTCAGGTGCTCGTTCCTTTTGTCAGCCGTTTTATTCGGCTCATGAGCTACCAATTCTTTTGATGCGTGGCATGAATGCTGCGATGCCTCGCCTGTGCAGCTGTTGCTGCGTCCGCCACACGCGATGTTGTGGCAGCCGAGCAACTCTTACACAGGTGGCATCATGAAGTGTACCTGTGTTCATGTCATGTCATCTCAGTAAGATCAGATAGGCCAAATGTGCCCGCCTGTTGAGAAAGCCGACGCAGGTTGAATAGAGGCGAAACACGAGATGCACAGGATGTGCAATTCGCAATGAAGCTGTCTCTGACGTGCCGATACCCACTACCATCAGGCCCACAGCTGAACTGCCAATACACCGGATTTTTCGCTTCTCAATACTGTGCAACCTTTGCTATTAAGCTTCGAAATCGAGGTGAGGCCTTGGGCCAAGCTATCCGACGTTGGAAGGCACCGAAGTGGACGTGCCTTGGACTGGCCCTTGAGAATGCAGTTTTTCCTAGGGTAGCACATTTTTTCCAGGTTCCCATCCTTTGGAGACTGTAAGCTCATAGACGAGGACAAGACAAGTAACAATGCGTCAGCGGACTGGCTGTGGTTTGTGTGTTGTGGATCGCGATCGCTGCCAGGAGGTTTGCAGCCTCGAGGACACGCAGATTGACGAGATGTTGAAAGACATCATTTTCAGCACAGTGGCAGCGGCACGAAGTGCAGGTTTGTCTGTTGAGGCGCTGTGTGTGCCACCAGCAAATGATAGCATTTGGCCTTTCGTGGCCGACAGTCGACAGTCACAAGGATTTGGTTCATTGGTTGTGGAGCATTGCAGGTCAATCGCTTCGATCTTTTCCATGGACACGTCGTCCAACGCCGAAATGGTGACATTGTGCTGTTGCTCCACGCCTCGGAGTATCCTGCCAGGACCGGCTGGTTAGCTAGGGACGGTCTCCTGATCCTTGTGTCGCTTGCACCCGGCAAGCAAACCCCGGCGTGGTGGTGGTGGTGGTGGCGGTGGCGGTGGTGGTTTGGTAGTGCTGCTGTGCTCTGGTTGCGATGCAAATGGCCATACAGCGCCAAAAAACGGGCACGGGTGATGAATGGGGGGCTTTCTGATTCAGAAGCACAGCGTAACAGATTCAGAATGGAAGCAGGACCTTCATGTCAGTCACGGTTCAGAACGGCGGAAATTGTGTTGAAAGGCTGCCTTCTTCTGTGAAAGTTCGGGCAGGAACTTGGAGTCCTTTCCGGTCAACCTGGGCTACTGCCAGATAGATTCGCCACTTGAGCCCCTTGGTGTCTTTAGCTATCACACACTGATTGGTGTCCGATTGCCGCGTGCGTTTGCTGACCTCAGGTACCATTCTGCGACAATGCAGTTCCGAAATCTCCTGGTTCTGTTCTCTGATCGCGTCCGGGCGTTCGCACTGGATGCAGAAGCAGACACTGTCAAGGCGGTGAAAGTGAGGGTCCGGCGATGGTTCTAATTGCTCCAGCTTGCGCACGTAGCTCCCGCCAACATCCCAATCCCAATACGTAGACTTTGTGTATTTGCTTGGATGTTAAAGTGCTAGTTCTGAGAAGAGCGTAATGTAGCCAGTATAGCCATGCCCATGGCCGTGAAGTTCGGAACTTCAGGCATCTCCTTCCCTTGGCCGGGACAAGTCTATTTGCAGCAAGCATTTGAGCAACAAACCGCGCGACAAAAGGGTCTGTATCAGTGGGGGAAGGAGGGATACACCAACTGAAGGCTGCATGCCATGGTTTAGCATGGAACTTTTCGGTGTCGCATAGAGAAGGCTCTCATCCCAGAATATGCGCGGAAACCCGTGTATGTTCTTTACGAGGACTCTTCGCGCAATGAGACACCCTTGACAATCTAGCAGCAAGTAAGAACTCATTTTTGATGCACACTGGCAGGACACATTGGGAGAGCCGCTTGCCGATGTTTACTTCCTCCCAGAGAAGCCCTTAGGTTGGGTATTCCGCAGCTCAAAACGGGCTTTGCGGGCTCAACGGTCGAAGCTTTGAAGATCCCTGGAGCGTGTCATGCACAAAAAGCTGCGAGAGAAAGCAGTTGTGTCATGAAGAGATGCGAATTTATGCCTTGACCAGGCTCCATCAGATCTTCTTGCGGTACCCGCAAGCCCACGACCGAGCATGTCTTGTGTTGTTGCTGAAGTACTGTAGCACGCAGACGGCTGTCGCACGCGAAGAAAAGAAGTGTATCTATTGTTTGCAAGGAAATGGGCGCAGCCACTAGAGGAGTTCGTGTTCGCCTTAATCAGTAGAGGGCTCATCCGCAGGGCTGTCAAAGGCTGTATATCTCAGGATCGGACCCTTTCCAAAGACTTTCAGGGGCAGATCCAGCTGGAGCATTGCACTTAATATTTCGACGTGTCTCTTTCGAAGCTTCAGCCCCAAGCGTATGCTCTCAGACCCGCAGGCTCAGCTCTCTTGAAGACGAGCAGGTGCCAGACTCGGCTGTTGCACATACTGTACCCTGTCAGCATGCCTGTGCACATCCCTGTGCGCATAAAAAACACATACCTCTGCACGTACCTGTGCACATACTCGAGCACAATTCCGCATACCTGGGGGCGTACCTGCGCGTGCGTGAGGGATGCTTCTGAGGCTTCACGGACTCTTTCAGATGAGCCTCCACTGGATCAGGGCCTGTGGGGTGCCCATTGCACGGCGTGTGGAAATATCGCAGTCGGATTGAACCTTAATCAGGTCTTATCCAGCTCGGAAAGAGAATTTCAAGAAGGAGCAGTTCTTTCTTCGGCCAGAACCTTTTTTTATGTTGCCAAAGTGCTACCGCCCCTGCAGAGCCTAGTCTCCATGCCACACGTGGCGAGAAAGCACGGAAGAAGCCTTCGGATGCTGGTGCAAAGCAAGGTTTGAGTCTGCACAGTATGGCCGAGCTGGCAGCGGCAACCTGAAGTTCCAATTGGCAGAACCCTGCTCCAATATGCCTTGGCGGCCTCTGCACTTTGGTAAAAGGCGCTGGCGCAGCTTCAGCCAATGATGGGACTGAGGCTTTTGAGGCCCGATTATGTGACTTGGCACGTTTTTGCCAAGCATGTTGGCATGTGCACAGGCGGAGGAGTTGGTAGACCAGGCCACGGCTCCAAGATCATATAGGCCATGGCTTTGCAGAGATTCGTTTCACTTGCAGGAGGTGTTCTTGAAGGATCTGGCCGACGTGGACCATCACATTCAGGAGCAATTCAAGGGATGTTAACGAGGATGTTGCAATCAGACGGTCCAGCCGTGAAAGGATCTTGCTCGCAGCATCCTCTTCCAGCATCTCGAACGAGCAAGTCATCGAGATGCATTTAACGTTCCCATGAGCTTGTCACAAATGTCCTAAGAGACAAGAATGCGTGGTGCAGAAGAGGCATGGAAGAGCGGGCGGCAGCCAAAGCCGAGGAGGCTCGTCTTTTGCTTTGATTCGTTTTCGCATGGGCCGGAGGCTGACGGAGAGCCCTAGAGCATCGCGTGTGTTGCTGTGAAAGCCGGCAGGCACGGCGCCGGCGCGAGGCAGAACTTCGCAGGGCCGGGCGCTGCTTTTGACTACCTGTTTGCTGCGGTGTAGTGGCAAGCAGCAAGGGTTTTACGTGAGAAAAACGCCACCCCCGGCCGGCTAGAAGTCCACAACTCTCCTCTTTCAATCCTCAGGCCAGGAAGAAGGAGCAGATGGCCAGGTGCTGTTTGACTACTTTGACTACTTTGCGCGAGTCGAACCAAGCTGTTCTTGCATAAATGCCAGGGACCCAAAGCGAAAGGTTGCACTGAAGATTGAAAACAAAAGGCGGTTCTCTGGACATGAGGAATGCTTCCTGCGTTGTGTGTTCTTGTGGCCGACATACACTTGGAGCTCTGCACACTTGCTGAGATTCACCTTGTTTATGCCTTTCCAGGAGGATGAGGAGGATGCCAAGAAAGAGAAGGATGCTATTCCTTTGAGGAAGTACGAGGCTGTGAACGACTGCAGCCGAATTGAAGAAACCATGCCCATGGAACTTTGCGGAGGGAAAGTTGTTTACCGGAATGAACTCAAGTTTTTGCACACCAGGTGTATGGCGAAAGTGGACCAGAGAAGGTGAACATAGTTGACATATTGTGCCCTGGCAGTAAGATCCGGGGTGGATTCTTCATCTGCCAAGCCTTTGCAGAAGCTGAGGAAAATCCAGAGCCAGTGTGAGATGCTGAACGAAAGTGGCGGGGCTGCCATCTCAGCGAAACTAAGCCTTGTTGTGCTTCCCACCAACGATGTAGGGAGATGTTTTGTGTGCCAAGTCTGTGTGCCGCATGACGGCTTGAACGGAACAGCCTTATGCGAACAAATGTTGACACGTTGTATACGTTGTGTGAGTGGAACGTTTTCTCGTTCTGCTTGCTGGACGGAGAGGGTGATTGCACGAATATTGCACGGCATAACAGCTGGCGTGGAGCGCTGAGGTTAACCGCATGTCAGGTGCCTAGTAAGTCGGCAGATGCATGAACAAGGGCAGATCTTGCGTTGATACCTCAAGAATCTCAAGGCTGGATGCAAGGCACCACAGCGAGAAGCTGCGGAGAGCCTTGACCTTCACAGACCCTGGTGACAAAAACTCTGAGACTTCAATGTGTCTTGGCATGTCTTGGCAGCCGTGCCTGGCAAACGCCAATGCTGGACAGTACTTGCAGCAGCCAAGGTTTCCCAGCGACATCTCGCCAGATCTTCCCAGAGACGAGCGTGCGAAGCAGCTGCGCAAGGCCACGTGGCTATTGGTCCCAGCGACGCTATGCAGCCGATCGTTCTGTGGGCAACGTGTGGGTGTTTGAGTTGCTTTGCGGAGTTCTTTGGCCGCAGCTTCTGTCAAGAGAAGAGTCTTTGGTAGCAAACGTCAGGAAATAGGAAAGCTTTGATGCTCGGAATGGCGATGTCCACGATGTCCAGAGCAAGGCTCGAAAGGAGGCTTGCGCGATGCTTCTCATCAGCGACATCAGCGACCGGGAAGCTCTCTGTTCTATGCTTTCTGGGCACTACTCGCAATGATGGCCCTCCGTTCCCGACGCGGGTGGGAAGCAGAGTCGCAGCATACAGCGCATCATTGCTGAAGAAGCACGGACATGCTGTGGAGGTGGTTGATCCACTTGAGCTAGACTTGCCTTTGCTCAGAAAGCCAGAGTTTGCATACCAGCGTGGAGAGCAACCGAAAGTTTTGTCGGAGTTGGCAGAAGCTATTCGTTCGGCAGACGCCTTTGTCATGATCTCTCCTGAGTACAATCACACGGCCTCACCTGCTCTGCTCAACACGCTGAACCACTTTGGAAGTAGCATTTTTTCATACAAGCCGTCTGCAATCTGTACTTACAGCCAGGGCCAATGGGGCGGCGCACGTGCTGCAGTGGCCCTGCGACCTATACTGTCCGAGCTGGGATGCTTACCGGTTTCTGCGATGATCCATGTCCCAGCTGCTCACACGGTCTTCGATGAGCACGGGTCCTTGATTAAGGAGGAATCCGATTGGGAGCAATACTTTATGCGCACCTTCAGTCAGATGGAATGGTGGGCGATGGCTGCAAAGAATCACAAGGTCCTACAAGATCCTTTCAGCTTGTCACCAGCACTCAAGCGTCAACCTTCTCAACGCAATGCTCCTAAGTAATGGGACTACCAGCCATAGTGCTACTAGAGGGCAAGACGGTGGTTTCCAGTCGCAATGCTGGCGGTTGCAGCAAAAGGGCGTTGGGCTGAGGGGTGTGCAAGGCATGATGTCCTTCGTTTGGTGAGAGAGCCAGGACAAGTATCTCAATCACCTGATCGACAAGATGAGCACCTTGAGGCTCTGAGTCGATAGCTTCAGTCACAATCTGTCACAGAGGCATGTGCTGTGCAGGAGCGAATGGAAGTACATGCTACCTTTTGACCTCGATCTGGCCAGCTCCGGATTTGTTGATGCGCATGGGCAGAGGCAAGAAGCCGCGAATCAGTCAGCAACAAGAAATGCAGAACCTGCCAACACGCATCTTTAGGATATCCGTGTCGAATTTGATTGCCCGCAATCCGCGCGCCGCCCAGAAGTTCCTCAAGGACACAAGCCGAGTGTTGCACAGTGCTAAGAAGTCTAAGTCGTTGTCTCGCCGCTGTGTTTTTGTTTTCAATGTGCGCCGCGAGGAGCTTTCGAGTCTCATTGGCCAGAGAATCCAGGCAACCGAAGTAAGCGTGCCTAAGCGCTGCCCAAGTGGGCCGAGTTTGCTCAGTTTGCTAGGGATATCTGATGACTCCTAGCGGTCCTAGCTTCAGCACTCAGCCGCAGAATGTTTCCTGGTAGGTGGGGTCAGCAAGGTTAGGTTCTTAAGCGAGGTCCGCTAGGTTGTCGTAGCGTTCATTGAAGTTCGCTAGGTCGTAGCTTCTATTGAAGTTCGTGCGCAAGGGATGTGGGGTATGTTGACGTGATGCCATTCCGGGCCCCTGGCCGTTTCTTCCCTGAAGACTCCCGTCTCCCGTGAACATGTCTTGATTATCTCGCTGAAAGATGTGGATGGTTTCAGAATTCTGTTGTGTGATGCTCAGCACTTTCGTAAAGCTCTGCGACGGCTGGCAAGAAACAAGTTCTGAACCGGTCATCACCGTTGTCTCCGTTTACCCCTTTTAATCGCCTTCTTCTGGCCTCTTCACATGGCAGCAACTCTTGCCATGCCTGCTGCTTCGTGGGCTTTCATTCAAGCCTGTCCTCATGACTGGATGCTTCGTGTTGTGCCCCCTCTTGATTTGGCCACAGGGCAGTGCAGTCGGCAGGCCTATGGTGGTCGAAGAGGTGGTATTGTTGGGGGCTACACCTTGCTGGAAAGTCTGGGCTCAAAGGACACAGTGTTGGGTGAAGTGCTCTAAGTTACCGACACACATGCATCACGACTTGCATGCAGGATCCAGTGTCCGTTACCTAGCAGAAAGAACAAGTGCAAGTTCAACCGCAGAGCTCGGCATTTCTAGTAGAGTATTGCTTGAACTGGCCTGTTCCCCAGGTCTTCAAAGGACACTCCGGGCCCAGTGGAACGCATGATGAGCAAGAAGAAGAGCCAGGCGACTGTGTGTGCTGAGATCGGTCCGCAACAGTCCACTCTTCTGCACCCGACCCTGCCCTCAGAAAGAGCTCCTGCGGAGCGAATCTGTGCGAGCCATCTCCAGGAAGCGCTGGCCTGAGAGAACTTCGAACCGTTTCATGTGACCCCACTCTCAAGACAAACGGAGATTCATCTCAGCTGAGGAAGTGGTCGGTCATCAAGGCAGGCGGTGTTGTCAAGACTCCCATAGTTGGGTTTCAGCGCCAAACAGGCTTGTTCAAGTTTGCAGAACGCAAAGCAATGCAGGCGGCAACGCAGTGGCTTTTGATTTGGTTTCGATTCAGACGTCTTCACATGCCCGGAGCTGATTTCAGCACACGTCGGCTTAGAATGCCAGATCTACAAGATGAGGTCAGCAGATGTCTGCGTAATGGTCGCCTGTCTGCATGGCTGCAGCCTTTCGTGGGACTTGTAATCTGCAGATATCTGGAGCGCTGCAGCCTTGGGATGCCTGATGCCAGGTACTGCGACAGATGGGTGAGTGGTCAAGAATCAGGAAGGGGTGCCATATGCATTCGCCACATGTGTTCGCCTCCTGCATAGGCTAATGCATTTCCGATTAAGGAGCATTCGCACTGCACACCAGGAGCGCGATGAAGGGCTTTGTGGACAGTGTGACGCTGCTTCAGCAATGGTGCAAGCGCTTCCTTACAGTGAAGAGGCCGCAACAGCAAGCCTCACCATGGTAAAATGCTCTAACATGCGATCGGGTTGGCAATATATGCTTGAAATTGCTTGAACTTCGAGCTGAGTCGGGCTGGAATTGTGCCGATCGCATTGACATAGCAAGTCTTGTCAGGCGAAGGTGCGGCCTTTGTGAGAAAGAATGGGAGAGGCCAGGCTTAGGCTCAGGGTTGCCCAGATGTGCAGATCTTCTCCTGCCCTGTTGGAATCCACCGCAGGTTCGAAGACTTTCACTTGTCACATTTCTTCCGCAACAAAGCGCAAGCCATAATTCAGGACACCTGCTGCTGCGGTCACATTTTTGCCCAAACAGCAAGAGCTGCCAGGAGCAGAAGGATCTTGCAGCTGCTGAAGCCACGGGTGGTCAGGGAAAGAGGCAGCCACCTGGCATGTCGATGCTTGCTCGCCCTAGGAACATCTTCGGCATATGTTTGTACTGCGCCAACCTCTGCACGTGCCTTTGTGAAGCATAGGTGGAAGCTTTTGTGCATCGTCTCGTAACCATCTGTGCTTGCTGGAAATCCACGAGACTAGTTCTCTCATCAAAAGCTTCAACAGTCAACGTCTTGTCTGTTCGGCAGCCACGTAACCCTTGAAACAAGAAACGCCATGGAACACTTCCCCCAATCTTCACTTCACCAACAACATTTCAATCACGCAAACTAGCTCCTCGGGAGATGGCGCAATTTCTGGTCCACCATGTCTCGCACAAGTAAGTCTTCCCCCTGCTATTGCTTGATGGTCAATGCCGCAAACGCCTGGTCAATGTATTGTATTGCAACGTCCTTGCATCCTTTCAGCTTGTAGTCGTGCGGCTTGCTGAGAACGCTTGGGGTTCGTCGTGTGAATGGCAGGCAGTACAAAGGCCTGCAGTCTGGGAAGGCGAAACGAGACAAACAGGCGATCTGCGATTGCAATCAGCTGGCTAGGCCAGGCTAGACACGACGATTCACAGTCTCATGCAGGCTTTCCTTAGCTTGCTGGAAGCTGGTGTTGAAGGAGGTGCCGGCAAGTGCAGGGTGCCCAGGGCTGCTCAGGAGCACGCTGTGGGCCCTCTCAGGTGAAATCTCCATCGACTTTCGAGCCTACAAGATTCCGCCGGCAGAGAGGCTGGAGTAAAGTCTTACATCTGAGACAAGTGGGCTGCGTGGGGACACCCCAGGAGAGCCATCATCAATCGATGGTATATGGTGACGTTAAGGACCCACCTGTGGTTAATGATGCGCTTTTTGCTGGTTGCTTTAGTTTCCGCCGCGCCTGTTCAGGAACCATGTGCGTTCAGAGCAGACCATTGCTGCAACCTTGGTCGTCGCAGACAGTACTCGGCGCACAACACCTTGCAGCTCATGTCAGAAAGGCTTTTGTTCGACTCTGATCCGGTGCTTGTAGTTCGTTCGGTCCCTCAACTCCAGTTCAACTCAAACTCTTGATCCATCGCACGCATGTGTGTTTTTCTACTTGCCTCAAGGTTGATGCGCAGCAGAACGCCCCTTCCTGCAACATCCTGAGTCCTGAAAGCCTGTCACGCTGAGGCATTGACTATCAAAGAGATGTTGGCCGCCGAGCGGGCGTCACGACTGAGACATCGTCATGTTTTCCTTGCTCATTGTCTGAGGGCTCCCTTCAGTCGGTGGCATACTGCCATCTGAGGAACTGGAACGCTTCGTGAACACGTGCTCGGACTTGAACAAGTTTAAGAGCGTAGTGCATGATGTGTTCTGTCGGTCTTGTGCCATGATGCTGAGGGATGGCCGTAACAACAGGGCTCCATGAAGGTGCATGGGAGCATAGTGAAGGGAGCCACAATGGGAGCCATGGAGGGAGCCCGGTTTCCGCCGACCCGAGACCCCAAGGGGAGTCCAAGTTACGTTGCGAACCCCAAGCCGTACCTGTGTGGGGGAATTAGACACTTAAAATTGGTTTTCGACCTTACCAACCTTTTGAAATTGCGATTCTTCCTCACCTTTGCCAGAAGGCTTCCCTTGAAGGTCCGACGTACATATTTCTATAGTGCCTTTGATGCCAGAAGCTTAATCGTCAAACCCGATCGCCCGAAACATAGACTCCAAGCCTGCCTACAACTCCTCGCAACGCCGGTCCTGATGCGCGATCTACCGGCAGATAGCGGCCCTTGAAGTGAGTGTTTCGGTGTTGTTCGATGAATTTCATCTGCTTGTTCTTCTCGAAATGATTCCTATGGCGGTGGGGTAAAATCGCATCTCTACTGGGACAGTCACGAGAGGTATGCCTGCGTATTTACGTGGGATTTTTGTGCTGCCGAGATTCAATGACGCCCAGATGGAAAAGGGTTTCGGGTCATGTTGACCCCGCCTGCCCTGGCCCCTTCCTAGAGTGCTTTTGGCTCAATTCGAGTGCCGCGCCTGGGCGAAAATACGCATATTCCATTTGGCGTTTATTGAATAGTTTTCTTTTGATCGCAAAATGGTCTTTTGATGCTGATAAGTTTGCTGATCTTAAGAGGAGACATTTTCTGATCCCTCACGCAGTGCCGAACTCATGAGCCAGTTCTGCAATTGCCTGAGGTTTGGTTGCCGGACTGCTGTCGTGCAAGCCGCCCCCGCTGAGGAGGAGGTGTGTAAGCGGACGATAGTGGAAATATAGGGTATGCATCAGGGCTGAGAATGGGCAGTGCAATTTCCACATAAACGTCGGGCACAGAGCGCCGCTGGCCAGGTTGATGACAAGGGCCGAAAAGTGGCCCGTAAGGGACAGCTGAGCGACGATGACATGTGGCAGCTTCGTGCTTCTTCCAAATTGCAAGATGCCGCCAACATAGGGGTTCGTTAGGGTACGTTAGGGTACGTTAGGGTACGTTAGGGTACGTTAGGGTAGGTTAGGGTACGTCAGGGGTGTTGAGCCTCTACTTAGACTGTTAAAGGTCTGCTGAGATCTTGGAGGGATGGGCTGCTTGTCTTTTGTCCATTGTTGGTGTGCAGATCCGTGACCAGTCCATTGAACATGCAACTTTGTCCAGGTATTGGAGCCAAACTGAAGCATGAATGGTACAGGGTCACGGAGGCCAGCCGGGGTGACGTTGCGCTGTTTCTGGCAGAAGCATGTCGCTGCTGGGGATTGTCTTCGCATTTTGGGCCCGGTGTTGGCACGTTGAATTACCTATCCTTGTTCAGGATTGCCCAAACAGTGGTAGGCGAACTAGAGGCAGAACCTCTGTCGTCTTGAGGGAAGCGTGAGACTTTCCCATAGGCCTGACCGGGGCTCCATAAGGCGGGAACAGAAGCTCAACAATGGCACAACGGATCAACTAAATCCGATGCCCGTCGCCCTCAGCAAATGGCAAGCGAATTTTCATTCCGCTGGGTGCTGTCTTTGGCATTCCTTTGTTGGCGGGGATGTTTGAATGGGAGCCTTGAGAGGGTCGTGCATGCCTACACCGTCCGAGTGGATCAAGACTTAGTTATACGGCCGGGTGTTAGGACAGCGGTGCCCTACAAGATCAGGCCGAGATGGCCTTAAATTTATAATGGAAGCTAGTGCAGACAGTACCTGGAATGACGTGCAAACTTTCAAGTCTACGGTGCAGCAAGTGCCCCGCAAATGCAGTTTTCAGACCGTCTTTAAAGTCCGACCCCAAGTGCAAGTGCAGCGGGTACAAGTAAGGGTTGACAGAGTCTGGACTTCCACGTTTCTACGTAGTGGTTCAGGGTTCGGATATTAGATGGTTTCGTGGTGTCAGCTTCGAATGGGAGGCTTAAACCATTCCGGTTTGACAAATTCTATACCTCAAGTTGTGGGGGTATTAGCCTGCAATGAGGGCCGGGCGGCAAGATGAAGAGCATAAGAAACCACCATCCGGCATTGAGCAACAGAACCTGGCACAAATAAAGAAGCACCTGGGCAGGTGCAATAAAGAAAGCAACCATCAGCAGCAACCATCAGCAAAGAAACAGGTCCTGTGCACAGGAAAGTTCGATGCACACGGACGAGCCTATGCCTCTGTAAGCCGCAAGATGCAAGTTGCAGGCGAGGTGTCCATGAGGTGAGAGCCTTGTGTACAAAGAGAGTGTTATTTTGGAACATGTCTTGAGAGCACAGCCTGCCGACTGAGAGGAGTTCGTCATCAGATGCATTGCTGTGGCTGCCCAGGCATCCGGGGACAAAATAACAGCACAACGTAGAGTCTTAAAGTTGAGACAGCTCTGAGAGCTCCTGTAATGACTCGAAGGACTTTCTTCTTCAAGTTTTTTCGCACAATTTGATTGAAAAAGGCGATGGCCCACGTGACGCCTTTTCAAGACCACCCGGCCAATCGCGTGCCGGGCTCGAAATTGCTTGAATTCTTTCGCAGTCTGGAGGCACAGAAGCTCCTACGCCTGTTTTCGACCCTGACTTGCCTCCTTATGCCTTCGTTCTTTCCGCAGCTTCAGTTTCAAGTGCTTGTGGCCAGTGGCCGTACGTGCCGCTACAGTAGCTTTCGACTTAGTTGGCCAGTCATGGGCGAGAATGTTTGGGGCCCGCCAGGGCAGGAGTCCTGGGTTACCATGGACGATGGCTGCGACATCTTGCTTCGCAAATGGGCGCCCGAAGGTCGGAGCGTTGCAGTTCTACATATATGCCATGGGCTAGCTGAACATTCAGCGCGATATGCTGGTTTGGCACAACGGTTCGTAGCTGAGGGCTTCATTGTATATGCATCCGACAACAGGGCTCATGGCCAGACTGCCCTGAGGGCAGAGGAGAAAGGTGTTCAGGGTCACCGGCTTGGGCATGTGGACGTGCCAAATGGCAAGGATGTGGTACAGAGGATCGTGGAGGATCACGTCTTCCTTTGCAGCCGCGCAGCTCAAGAGCACGGCTTGCCATTGGTTATTCTCGGCCACTCTCTGGGCAGTGTGATTGCGACCCACCTTGCGGCAAACCTGAAGTATGCGCCTGCTGCCGTGATTCTCAGTGCGGCACCTGCCAGACTTCCATCCTTGATCCATCTGGCCTTTGGACCGCTGCTGCAGATCTTGAGCATCGTGCATGGAGTGGGAGGCGTATCACAGCTGATCAGCACGCTTACATTCGACAAATGGAACAAGGAGTTTGCACCAAATGCGACCGACAATGATTGGCTTAATCGCGACGCAGCCGAAGTGCAGAAGTATGAGAACGACCCCCTCTGTGGTTTCAAGGTCAGTGTCGGGTTCTGGAAATCCGTTTCAATGGCTATCAAAGCAGCCGGCAGCAAAGAGACGTTGACCAGGCTTCCAAAGTGCCCCGTGCTTTCGATTCAGGGCGGGCAGGATCCTTGCACTGTGAACGACTTAGGTACCAATTCTTCTCAGCACCTAGTATCCGAATTCCGAGCGGCTGGACGTGAGATTCACAAGACCATCTCTTACAGTAATGGCCGCCATGAGATCTTGCTTGAGACGTGCAGAGAGGAGGTCATGCAAGACTTGATCGAGTTCCTTCGACGGAATGCTCTCTCTCCTGCGATGCAGAGCAAACTGTGATATGAACGCTCGCGCGATAGTTGTAGTAAATTGATGTAGCCGCTTACTGTTCTTCACATGGCAGGAACAGCTGCCGATGCTGTGACCAAAAGAAGATGGAGATTCTAGGGGCAACGTGCCACTGATGATGCTTCTCATGGCGCTAGTAGTCAGTGTGCCAAGCCAGAGTGGAAGCTTCTGCTATGACTGAGGGCCTAACTACCCGACCAGCGGCAGTGCCGTACAACGGTGAGGCCAGGCTTTGTGACTGCCAACTGTGAGCACTGTGCGAGCAGTTGGCAGCCTTACTGCAGAAGCAACTTTACAATGACAAACGCATGGCTCACACAGCAGAAAGGAGGTTAAGGCAAGTGCAGCAGTTGAACCGAAGAGAAAACTTCGCACGTTCCATGCATGTTCGTAGTCTGGCGGCCATTGCAGGGAGACAAGAGGATCTTTGCCACTGCTGTGCGGGCCTGAGTGAAATCGTGGGTAGGTTTTTTCTGCAGGAACGTTGGCATCTTGAGCTCTATGACTCTCTGAGCTCTGCCGGCTGTGCATCTTCAACATTTTCGGCCTTACGTGTCGAATAGCTCGGACTCTAGTGCTTGAAGCCTGGCGTTGGAGCGCGCCGTATTCAATGCCTCAGGATTGCAGACACAAGTTAGGCATCCAAGCAGTCCAGAGCGACGCCTTGGGCACTCTGTGAGGTGGTTCGAGCTGCAGCCCGTCCTTGCGACCTGGGTCGCTTGGGGACGAAGTCGCTGCAGGTCAGGGCCAGGTGCCAAGGATTCCTTGGCCAAAGCTTTTTGATTTTCAATGCTAAGCGCCTGCCTCGGCCCCGCCCTGCGCGCAGAGGCTTTGAACGTTTAGGGCACAGCTGGTCTAGTCGGCCCATCGTCAACGCAGTGATGCATGTTGCCCATATTGCTGGTGGACGGGGTGGGGGGTGGCCAAAAGAGGTGTTTATAATCGGCTCTCCATTGAAAAACTCTGAGAACTTACCAAAAGAGCGGGCGCAACTCATGAGGGTTTGAGCGGCGGGAATTTGGAGGAGCGGGAATCAGGGGGGCGGGGTCCCGTAAACAACCTCTGATGCCTCACGGCCGAGGCCGAAGCGAATGTTTGTGATGGGATACCCTTTTCAGAAAGACTGTCCTAACAAGCCTTGCAACGACATCAAACGAAGAGTGGCGCGCTTCCACTGGAAACTAAATTCATTGAAGCGCCAGTTGTGGGATTTTGCTGAGCTGTACGGAGCCTGTGCTTGCCTACATGTCTACATGTACTGGCTGTACCGCAATTATGGCATCAAGCCACGAAGTAACTAGGGCGCCAAAGGCTAGCTAGGAGTGCATCGCTAGTGGTTGAGAGAGACACCGTCACACCGTCACACAGACACTGAGCTAGCCGCTAGAAGTAGACATGGAGATACCCAGCAGTATACATGAGTGGAGCGACGAAGGTATCACTAACCCCGCATACTGCGTGCGATGTGTGTACCTGTGTTTGATTGTCGCCAAGTGAAGTGCCGATTGCAATGGTAAATGAGCTCTGACTCTAGCTCTAGCGAGACCAGCTCAGCATGCTCAACTACCGAGACAGAGGACAGCGATCGGCCGATCCCTGCACAACGATTTGCAGTGGACATTGTGGCGTTGACCCGGGAATGGGGAAATGCTGACTCGGAGCTTTCTCTCGACACGCCTCCATCTCCGCAAGGACGCCATACCCGGTACAGGAATATGGCTTTGGCTCTTGAGGCTGCTGAGAGACGCCTTTCTAGCCGGAGCCAGCTTATTCAATCACCTGTGTGTTTCGAGAACCCCAGGGTGCAGGCCTTTGCGAGCTTTGTGATCTTTGTGACTACGAACACAAGGACCATGGTTAATGCAGCAGTCGTGGACCACTACATCAACTCAAGAGGCTTTGAGGCGTTTGCTGATACCACTTGGAAGTTAGACTCGCTGGCAAAAGACTCCTGGTATTTTGTCTTCCTGGCAATGGATATTAGTTTTATGTTATTTCAGATTGCCTGCGTGCGCCGTGACCGGTGCATGGCCCAGCTCTGCCAGCGCTTATGGAGGAACGGTGCGTACGTCAGATGGGTTGCCTTCCAGATTTATTCCATCCTGTTCCTGGGGATTCTCTCAGGCGGGGGAGCCATTTTTCGCCACGTACGGTTCTATTGTTTTTGGGTGGGGGGGGTAAGACATGCCGCAGGCTGGAAGAAAGAAGACAGCAAGGGAAAAACACACACACACACACACACAGATTTCACTAAAGTTCATGAATATATTAAATAAAGATGTTAAATGAGAGAGAATGAAAAAGGTGCGGCTGCGCCCCATGAGGGGTGCCCCCCAACCTCCCCCCTCCCCCCCCCCCACCCCCGCCTTTTTTTGAGCCTTGCAGAGCCTGCTGTGAGGGACCTCCTTACAAACCTTGCCGTGAAGGACCTCCTGCCATGAAGGGTATCAAAGAAAGCCCTGTGATTTAGAGACCATGCCCATAATTCAGAGCATGCTTCCCAAACGGGTCATACGAGCATTGTGTTTGCACACGGGAGGGGAGGGGTTAGCGCCCCCAAAAAGAAGGCAACAAAAGGCTAAACACAAAAACGCAAATCTCCAACCCCTCAGGTTGGCAGCTTGTGCGCGGATATCGGCAGTTACGCAGCCAAGGGTATCGGGACAGTTTCCTGCTTGAGCTCGGTGACCCATCAATGGCTGACAGCGGGGCATTCCGAATGCCATTCTACAGCAGTCATCTCACATTCTTTTACGAGATGCCTTTCATGTTGCGAATATGCCATTTCCTTTCCAGGGATCGCCTGTCAGCATTCAACATCATCGTTACTCTTGCGGCTGGTGGCTCCTTCGCCTTAGTCCTATTTGCACTTTTGACTTTGGACTACGGAGTTTCAAGCGCCTTGGTGCAACATTACCACAGCTCAAAGCGACGCTTTTTCAGTGTGGCGCATGCTTGTCTTCGTGGAACGGAGATGCTGGCCCGCGCCCTGGTGGTGACATCTACCATGTTGGGTATTGCCGGCCGAATGTTTGGGATTTGGCTATTTGTAGCAGCATTGTTTGACTGGCTGATAGGACTAGTGTTGTTGTCGTGGGCCTCGACGGGTTTCTCCAAAAGAACTGTTTTTCTGTCAATTCCACTCTTTGGTGCGAACATTGCGCTTTTTGCCGACCTGCCGAGCTTGGCCGGTCGAGTACGGGTGCTGACAGTCTGCTTGGATGTCTTGCGATCGCTGGAACTGGGGCCTGCCGTATGGTTCTACATCCTGGAGTATCGTGCCATTGAATCTGGCCAGTTAAATGGGAACATGGTTTTCCACATACGAGTACTTGGGAGCTGTGTCGGGATCAGCAGGCTTTGCTTTTGATTTCTGATCAGTTGCTGTATTTGTCTCCGCTTTGTCTATGTCTGAGCTCTTTTGCTGAGGTGCCTGGTTACGATGATTTGTGCTTGGTGCGCGCACGTGCTATTGCGGTGGTCACTTTCCGCTCACGGCCTGAGAGGGGTGGCCAAAGATGCCAGTGAACCTGGGAAGCTAGAGACTGGTGGGCAGTTTGATGATACAGTTTTTGGCTCATCACTGGACGAAGCTTATTTCTACCAGCCAGATGGCATGGCAGACCTGGCAGGCTGGCTCTTTTCCAAGGGCATCGGGGATCAGTTCGCTTCATTGCTGGAGATTTGTTGGGAGCGTCAGCCTTTGAGACTGTCGCGCCTGGAAGCGCTTGCCAAACTGGGTGAAGGAGGTTTTGGTCGGGTCTACAAGGTACGAGATACCCGACGAGGGAACCAGTATGCGCTGAAACTCCAGGGAAGAAGTCGGGTTGCATCTGCAGCTGTCCGGGAAGCAAACGCGCTGCATGAGGTCAAGCACCTGTTTGTTGTAGAACTGGTTCAGGTCTTCTGCACGTCTTCTTTCTATTGCATTCTTCTAGAGTTGTGCGATGTTGATCTGAACAGACACATTCTGGACTGCCAGAATGCGTTTGGGGTCGCCGAGGGCCTGCCAGAGCAGGATTCTAAGCGGTTCCTGGGGTGCCTCTTTCTGGCCTTGCAGCACCTTCATGAACGAGAAATTGTTTTTTGTGATCTCAAGCCCGAGAACATCTTGATACAGGCCTTTTGGCAGCGAGGGACGCAGCTGAAGCTGGCGAAATTGGCTGATTTTGGATTGGCAAAGTCCATTGACAATCTATCACAGTCGTCCATGTCCTCTTTGTGCGGCCGCTTCTCTGGAACTCCAGCTTTCTTGCCGCCAGACAGGCCTTTCACATCTGAGTCGTCGCAGGACTCTATGGCTGACTCTCCTGGCACGATGTCACGGCTATTTGTTAGTCGGGATTGGTATGCCTTGGGCTGCGTCTTATTCCTAATGCTGTTTGGCGAAGTAGGCGGTAAGAAGATTCGACATGGAGTCCGGGCGATTCTGCTGCCGCCTCCAATGGAAGTCATTGCAAACGTGATCTCAGATGCAGCAGCAGCAGGCGCTCACAGTCAAGCAGCTCTGGATTTGAATACCAGACTTTTGGCTCCGTTGCCCCAGCGCGGTGGCGGTGACGATGTAAAGAGCAGTCCTTTCCTTGCAGACACGTTGCCTTTCCTGGAGAACATGGTCAGAGATTTCAGCTCCTCGCGATGACTGGCAAGCTTAGCCAGAAAATGCGGAGGGCTGTCGCAGGCGCTGTGACAGAAAGAGCTGCGCAAACAATCGTATGTGTGGGGACACTCTCCAGGAATTGTCCATGCTACACGGTTTGCTTCAATGCTCAGAGTAGATTTCCTTCTCCACGCTCGAAGGCTTGTAGCGCTCAGGTGGAGGCTGTTAAGCAGGTGGTGTGGTTCGCAAGCTCGCAAGTGGAAGCCAGTGCAAGCTTGGTCCCTTGGTCCGCGAAGTTGCCAAGTCTGCCGAGGCTTCCAAGGCCCGCCGTCTGGACGAGGATTCCATCACGACCAAACCGAAAGGACAATTTTGCTTCAGATTTGAAATGCTTCTTTCTGTACTGCTTTATTTGCGTGCTTTCTGCTGTCCTTCGCTCCCAGCCCTTGAATGGATTGGTATGTCAAAGCACATGGCATACTGGTCGGACCGACAGTGCGCCGAAAGGCATACAAAGATTACAAAACCAAACGCATCACTGAAGTGAGCATGCTCACAGTCAGTCGAGAGAGTCGACAATGATGTCGTGCTGCAGGAAATGCAGAGACCAAGCACAGGAACACGTTGGGCGATGCAGGCACATGAGAGAGAGAGAGAGAGAGAGAGAGCGAGAGAGCCACAAGCCTAGGACTCAGCCCTCAATTGCTGATGGACAATGCAGATTGCGAGGAAAGCCGCCGACTTCTAGTCAGGACATTGAAGATGTCTTGAAGCAACTGACGCGGTGACCCCAAAGTGGGAAAGATTGGGAAAGCTGGAAGCTGGCAACATTTTGCCTTTGCTTGTACAGCCGAGGCCGCGGTTACGCCAAATCAGCGAGGCCCAAAATCTGGAGTACAGGCTCGCTCAGAAAATCTCAGAGTGTCAGAGGGCAGCGGCGTGAGGTTTGTGAGCAGTTGTGGACATGCAGTGCTGTGTGCCCCAGGTTGAGCAAGTCCAAGGAAGACAAAGAAGAGAAATTCGAAGCTGATGGATGAGTAGGATAGGTTTGCGGTTGTCGGTGACGGAATGATGAAGTGGCAGTGAAGCTTCCTGATGCCGATGAGCTCTGCTTGACAGAGTCAGAAATTTGCCAGCGCTCTCAGCCGAAAGCGCTGGCCTAGTCCCTTGAAGGGCCGAACTTGTTCCATGCGGTATGGAGCAGGGAGAGTGTTGCATGTCTTATGGTGTCACCGTTAAGTCTTGCTTTCAAGCCCCGGCCTGCATATGCAGCCAATTGCTACTGTAGAAGGTTGCAGCTGTCTTTCAAGATGCAAGTTGTGGAACTTGATTCGCTGCTTCCTGCTGCCACGTGACAACCTTCTGCTGGGCAAGACAATCGGTAGCAGCGGCGGGAATTGCTCCAATCGCATTCGCGCGCTATCAAAGTCAAGTGCATGTGCCATGCGGAAGCGCTCGCGGCTCTGGGCTGACCTGGGCCATGAAGCGGACCTGCGCAGGCGAGTCACCGCGGCCAAGGCAGCAGAGACAAAGATGAAACAGGCCTTGAACCGAACCAATAGTGCCGGGCCTTCAGGCAGCTTGTTGGGAACTTGCGCTTCGCTCTCGTATGGAGCTGCAAGTAGGAAGAAGAATCAGCCAAATCAGCCCAACTGAGGCACCTACCCTGAAGAAATCAAGCACGTCGGCTTCGGCCTTAGATGTTCTCGCTTTGTACGAACGGCATGTTCAAGTGACAGTAGTGCTGTACATATTCAGGGCTCGGCCCGACGTTGCACAAATTGACAAAGGAGCCTAGTCAAGGGCAAGCAGAGAGTCTTGGAGATAGGTTGGGGCCTCAAGCTCGTATGGCTTGCCCATGACCTTGCCCACGCTTTCGCTTTCCTGGTGGGACTTGCGATCGTCCATTCAGGCCACTCGAGATCAGTGCTGCAGATGCAAACAGCAGCACGGTGGCACCCGCCAAGACGCTTGCCTGGCAAGCTGAGCAGGGTCGAGTGGGGGCTTGTTGTTTTTTTGGCAGTGCTTCTTCAGACGTGGTTACTGCAGGTCCTCCCCTGGAAGCTCCAAGTCATTGAAGGCGTGGACGATCATAGCAGTCATAGCATTCGGCTCGTTCTAGATGTTGAGTTTTGCTTTTCGGTTCACGGGTGGGTCTCGTCCTCTGGCCCTGATCCTCTACTCAGAAGCCGCTCCTCGCATGGCTGTCCCCGAATGGAAGTCCCGAACAGTAATGTTTCCAAACTATTCAGCATTATTCAGCTAGAACATCTATTGTGCTTATCGCGCTCCACTCGGCAAACACCGTACTGCTTGTTGTCACGAGCATGTCTGCATGTGCTCGGAATTGCTCTGCTAGAGGATTACGGGCTTTGCTTTGGAATTGGGTGTTCTTTGTGAGGCTTCGAGATATTTCAGATTTTCTATGAGAGGGCTTTATTTCTTCGGTGTTGCCGTTTGTGTTGTTTTTGGGAGGTCGCGCACGATAGCTACCCAAGATCCAAGATCCTCCCACGGGACTCCTGGGAAGAATGTTGGATCTTGGATGTCCCACATCTTGAGATCTGGTCTATGCGCACGTCTAACTCCCCTACAGGCTTGCAAAGTATCACCCAAGGCAACGAATCATTGGATTTGCAGGTATCTGAGTTTAGTATTGGTTGGGCTTTGGCTTGTAAAGGGCTGTAGACTTCTGAGTCTTCTTTTGGGCCAGATTTCTTTGCAGGGCTTGTGCGGGGGCAGGGTCTGGTACAGCTTGCGATTTTCGGTGTGCGAGTTGCAGTGCTTGCCGTTCGTTTGGATTTCTTGGCAGAGCCTGTAGGACGACTGTTTTTTTTGTCGGAGGGTTTAAGTCTTGTGTAGTTTACTTGCTGTTCGGATTCCTTGGCTTGCAGGACGAGAGCTCGTTGTAGTTTGGATTTTCGTCGCGAGGGTTTTTTGTATTCGGATTGCTTCACAGTAGATTTTTTCGCGGGCTTCGGCGGCTGGCCTGGCCTTCTTTATTTGCGCGCTGGGGTTGACACGTCCGTGCTTAGCACGTGCTTTTCGTGAACAGCATCAACAAGCATCAACAGTGACAGCATCGTGTTCTTCTGGAGACTTGTGGAGGCAGGTGCTGCTGCCGGGCTTCAGCTCGCACCCTGGGAGAGACTGTGCTGCTTAACGCACGGTTCTAGTATGTTGTTGACAGATGTGCATATGCAAATGCCACGGCGCTGCAAGACGTTTGCGTTTGGCCTACGTGGCTTAATGGCATCTCAATTGCGCAGAGTCACGCGAGGTGAAGCACGTGGTCGCAAGGTTCGCCCGACTTCCGCCCATCCTCGCTTCGAAGTCCTTGATTCAAACCCTTCTTTTCTGAAGGCTCCAGGGGTCCAGATTGCCTCTGCAATCTCAGCTGGGTCACTGAGCTGATGGCTCCGCTCAGCTTGCAGAGATGCAACATCCACAGCTTGCCGAGGACTTCCAGCAGAGCCTAGACCTGCCGGAAAGCAAAGCTTCAGTCTCAGCTGAGTCTGCAGGCGCTTGACTTGTGCGGCGGGTTGTGATCGCAGGTCACTTCCGCACCGTCCCATACCCTGCAAATGCAGAGCCCTGTGTTGGCAAAGCTGCTGCTTTGGTTCTGCTGGCGAACAAGGAGCCGCTGTGCCTGTGTTATTGAGGTGCCAGACGGCCGCTAAGCGGCATGGTCTCACTTGACGTCAGGCCGAAGCCTCAGCACGTTGCTTATGGCGAGCTGGCGCATGCTGACGATTGAACGTACTATGACACTTGCAGAAACAGGCCGCCTCAACGAGCACCTTACTGTGAACGCTGCTGCGGCAGAGAGTTGCAAGAGACACTTTGCTGACAAGTCAATTTTTGGAGATGGGTTTCTCGAAGAGAAACTGATGTGGGATCCTCGTGAGATGAGGTCCTCGAGGTTGCTTAGGTTTTGCCTTGGCAATCTTTGACTCGTGAGGAGGAACATCTGAGAGTTTCTCAGAAAAGTTCTATGCAAATGCAGCGGGAGTGCGGGCTTCTCCTTTGTTCTCAAGAAGAAGCCCGCCGACCTTCCTGAAAGACGGAAATGATATGAAATGATAGTTGTTGAACAGGAGTTCGAGTTCGAGCCCTTCAACGGAGTTGCAGGGGCATTCTGCCTTTCATATCCTCAGGTCATTTGTCCGTTTCACCAGGTTTCCCTGAAACAATAATGCCAGAGGTCAGTGCTGAAAACGTTTCGAAAAGGGCATCCTCACTTGCAGCTTTTCTTCATCTTCGTGACAGGCGCATCTTTCCCAGTGTCTCAGATATGAAGTGGAATCTGTTCCTTTGAGCTCTCAAGAGCTGTAGTTCTCACGAGTGGCCTTGGGAAACGCACTTGTCCCTACAAGCGCAGCTTGGCAGCACCAAGTACTCAGTGCAGTGTGCAGTTTCATACCAGTTTCATACTGTGATTGTATGTCGTTTGGCCTTGCGGATCCTTGCGGCTCTGAGGTGTGGTCGTGAAGACATGGGCCCATCATTGATTGTTGGATGCCTCTGGTTTCTTCTCATCGGTTTTATGTTCTTTGCACAGCATCATGTCTGTGATGCTTACTTTGTGCCTGCTATCAATGTATTTGTTGGAAAGATGAAGCGCAGCGACAACCGGTGGCTGCAGCGCTGGGGTGAGGAAGCAGTGGCTGGAGCTACGATCTGTGCGCTCGGGTGCAATGGCCCTGAAATGTTTACCAACCTGATATCACTGTACACTGGCTCTGATGCCGGAATTGGTGTTGTGGTTGGGTCTGAGATCTTCAACCTTCTGATCATTGTGGGCTTGACAATCTCAGCAGCACCAGTCCTGCCGCTTGCGCTCGAGCGGGTGCCATTTGCTCGGGACTGCCTGTTCTACGCCCTGTCCATCATCTTGCTGTACTGGGCATTGCTTGATCGGAAGATCGAGTCTTTCGAGGCATGGGTGCTGCTTGCTGCGGCCGGGATCTATGTTACATGCGTGTATTTTACTGACGACTTCGTTCAGTGTATTCCAGCTCTACAGCCGGCGAAGGTGGAGGTGCAGGACGTGGAATCTCCGTCGAAAAGGAAGGGGAAGATGCATGGCGTCGAGGTCGAAGTTGAAGAAATCCTGCATGGTCGCATGGTTGATGCCCATGGAGCAGGCGGTGCTGAGAAATGGAACCTCGATGCCACCGAGCACGGAATCTATGCAGAGTCAGCTGAAGTAGAGCAAGAGATAAAGGGCAAAAATCGTGGCTCCATTGGCTTCCAATTTGAGGGTGGCGATGCAATGCTGGGTTCGGTGCTGAAGTACAAAGACTTGAAAGAGGTGGTCCTCATGGACATGGGCGTTATCAATCTGGAGTTCATCCACAATCTGCAGCACATCACCTTACGGCTGACAGTGGAAGATGCAGTAAAGCGCGCAGAGCTTCTAGACAACATCCAGGAGTTTTCTCTTCAAAGACCTTGGGTCCATGGCTATGATGCAACAATTCGAGGTGCCTGGCAGCATCTTCGCCACTCGATGATGTCCAAAGATCCGCCTCTTGCCAAACTCCTTGCCATCCCCCATTTCCTCATCGACGGCTTGCTCAAGCTCACGCTCTTTGCCGTGGATGTGAAAGACACGAGAAAAGAAGGCCGATGGCCTTTGTGCTTTGTTGGGGCCATGTTCTGGTTGGCGATCTTCTCCTTCTTAATGTTGGAGATCGCGAATGAGATTCACTACAATATCCCGGCACTGCCAAACAGCTTCCTGGGGATCACAGTTTGTGCCATTGGCACCTCGTTCCCCAATGCTGTGGCTTCTGTTCTCATGGCGCAGCAGAACAAGCCAGCGGCGGCAATAGCCAATGCGCTTGGCTCAAACGTGCAAAATGTTTTCCTTGCCATGGCACTGCCTTGGGTCATCTTTCAATTGCAACATGGTGGCAAGCCCATTGATCAGAATGTCGCGGGCATCAATGAGGGTGTTCTGTGGATGAGTGGCACCTTGATCCTGGTGGTCTTCTTTGTATTTCTTCCGCCATTTTGCAAGCTCTCATATGCGTATGGGCCAGTACTCGTCTCGGTGTACCTGGCTTACCTCGTGGTGACGAGTGGCGAGACCTTCCACTGGTGGCCTCCACTGGTCAAATGAGATGCCGTTGATGAGAGTCAGGTAACATAAAAATTGAAGTTGGCTTGAAGCTTGCGTGTGGTGTGTATATGTGTCGCCCAACAGGGGCCAGTGACTTGATTATATCTGACAGTGTCAAAAGGCAAAAAAAGGGCTAAGGAGCGTGCAAGTGTGTGATGTGGGTGTCCAAGCGGCCGTCACCGTCACCTGGACAGTCTGAACATGTGGTCGCCGTGGCATGCTCAAGCAGCCCAAACGTGATGGAAAGCTGAGGGATCGTGACGGCGCGCGCTGAGCGCGACCTTGAAAGACATGGCACAAACCTCAGAGAGCCCATGGGAGCCCTAGCAACTGAAAATTTTTGCACCTGCTTGCGCCGCTAGAACTTGCAACGAGGCTGCGGGCGTGACCGACATTACCACTTCAGCCGCGCGGCTGATGACGTTGGTATACGTTGGTCCCTTTTCTGGTTGCTCCTTCTCGGTATCTGTATATTGTCGCAAGGAATCCTTCCTCGAAACAGTGGCAAGCAGTGGGGTGGTACTGGTGCCTTGGAGTTGTTGGTTTTTAATTGTAAGTCATTTCACATGCGCGGCTTTTGCACTGCCCCGTGATGCTGCCCAGGTTTACTTCAGCTACGGTCCAAGAAATGCAGATTTCCCGGCCTCTTTCGGTTTCCTGACGCTTCTAGTCGCTAGTCTTGGCCCCTTTTGGCTGTGTCTGTGGCTGTTTTACGCAACAACAGTTTTGTGGAATGAAAGGCGATGAATTTGACCCTCAGTTTCAAGACTTCGGCCAGTCAGATGTGGTGCCCCAGCAGCTTGTCTGGACATGTGCCCCCTTGTGCCCTCTACACTTGTATGCACTTGGGTGTGACACTGAGGCTATGCAAGGTGACCTACTCTGATGCGACACGTGGCATTTTTTCCGAAGCTGGCATCAGTTGTGAAGATGGTGGCAGCTTAGTCCTCTACAGGGAGGGGATTGAACTTGGAAACATCTCGCTGAAGAGCTTAAATGACAGCGAAGAGCTCGAGAGCGAAGTTGCTCAATGGCTCTCCGGCTCGTATCCTATGGATGCTGGCGGTGCACAAGCATGCCCTGCTCCAACAGGGCACGCCATGGGCGATGCCGAGCGTACCCCCGTGGCAAGCCCTGTGCCGGGTCAAACTCCTGGCGTCACGTGTGGCGCTGCCCCAAAAGGCCCCCCGCCGGGACCAAAACCGCCCTCAAGCCAACCGACAAGCACTGTGACATTTGGCGCTGCACTGTCGGGACCACCGCCGGGACCAAAAGTGGCAGCAAGCCCCGTGCCGGGTCAAACTCCTGGCGTCATGTGCGGTGCGGCCCCAAAAGGCCCCCCGCCCGGACCAAAACCGCCCTCAAGCCAACCGACGAGCACTGTGACATTTGGCGCTGCGCTGTCGGGACCACCGCCGGGACCAAAAGTGGCAGCAAGCCCTGTGCCGGGTCAAACTCCTGGCGTCATGTGCGGTGCGGCCCCAAAAGGCCCCCCGCCCGGACCAAAACCGCCCTCAAGCCAACCGACAAGCACTGTGACATTTGGCGCTGCGCTGTCGGGACCACCGCCGGGACCAAAAGTGGCAGCAAGCCCTGTGCCGGGTCAAACTCCTGGCGTCATGTGCGGTGCGGCCCCAAAAGGCCCCCCGCCGGGACCAAAACCGCCCTCAAGCCAACCGACAAGCACTGTGACATTTGGCGCTGCGCTGTCGGGACCACCGCCGGGACCAAAAGTGGCAGCAAGCCCTGTGCCGGGTCAAACTCCTGGCGTCACGTGTGGCGCTGCCCCAAAAGGCCCCCCGCCGGGACCCAAACCTCCATCAAGCCAACCGGCAAGCACTGTGACATTTGGCGCTGCGCTGGCAGGACCACCGCCGGGACCAAAAGCTGCAGGAAGCCCTGTGCCGGGTCAAACTCCTGGTCCTGCTCGGTGCGAAGCGAAAGGGGACGAAGCTGCCGACTTGGTGGACGATGCAGATATCAGGGCACATGCGCCAGACTGCCATCAAGTTACCAAGCTTATCTCGATGCACCTCCGGCTTATGGAAGCGCTGAAAATATTGATGGGATCGGCTGCGCCTCTTGTTTAATGTTTTTTTATACTATGCTTTGGGCGGAGTAACTTTAACGCTACGCGACCCGCCTCGGCCGGGCCCAATGCAGCTTCCGACGTTGAGGCGGGCTGGGGCGGCGGGGCCTGCACCGTCTGCTCCCACACACCCGTCGCCTACAAAAAGTACGGCTGCCAGATAAAGGGCTTAAGCTGGTTGGGGAGGGATTGGAAATATATGTTTTACGCTAGCCCTAAACCCCAAACACCCATGGCCCCGCATCGGCGAAGTGGTGGTCCCTGTCAGTCACGTAGCTCACGAAGTGCAAGCTGGGCTGTGTTGTGTCCAGAAGATGGGGGGAAGGTGAGGGGTTGTGGCGGTGGGGTGGGGGTTGGGAGGTGGGGGGAGGGGATGGGTGAAGGGCAGGAAATTTTGGAGGATTCTTCGGATGTCATTGGCATTCTGCACCTCTTTTGCTGCAGTATCAGGCATGAGAGGACCGGCGGTGGAGTGATGAGCCGAGAGAAGCTTAAGCTTTTGCTTCAGTTGCCGGGCTGCGGCAGAATAAAATTTTCCAATGCATAGTTGCGCATCTTGCTCTTTGTTTGATTTTGTTGGCACCAAGGTCTGAAGCTTGGTGCCTGTAGCAAAGTAGTCCATATGGCAACTTTGTTGACCTTGCGCACGCTTGAGAAGCGCACGGCCTGTGCAAGGCTACTTTTGCAAAAGCATGCTGGCAAGACTCGCTTACACACTGGTCATCTGGACCGGGTGCTTGACGCATTCATGGAAGAGACGTCGGCATCATGGCCGAGCGCAGTCTTGCAGAATGTGTGATTATTTGCACACGCCTTGGCTTCCAATGCTTTCATGCACGACCAAGGAGAATGCTGACAAAGTCGAAGCATGCCACTTTGTCGAGTGGGCATGGGGCAGCCTGTCGAAAGTGCAATGTAGGCCAGGCTAATTGTTGAGTGGCCGTCACATGTTCACAGCTGCACTGGCTGCCTGAGGCACTTACAGCAAGTGACCATTGGGCAGCCCTCATGCCATGAGGCAGTGTAGCAGTTTAAAGCTGGGCTGGTTTCATCTTGTTTGTACGGTCGCCTTGGCAGTCCTGGAGGCGTCTAGGTCAGTTATGTGTACGATGTTTTTCTTCGTTGTTTTGCACCTGTTCATTCGTCATTTGCATCTGTTGCCTACGATAACATTGGCATGTCTGCAAGGGGCATGTTGCTGATCTCTGTTTGCTGATGTCACCATCTTAAGATCGTGGATGTTCATTTGCCGGTGGGGTCGAGGGTTGGGTTATTTTCAGGTTTTGGTCTGGGGTCGGACACGTGCCTGCTTAAGTCCTGAAGAAGGAAGGCAACTCACATGCACGTTGTTTGCGCAGGTACCAGTAGCAAGCCAGAAGTGTTGCTTACAATCATGATCATGGCGAGCTTGCCACCTATCAAATGGTCACGTGACGCAGGCCTTGGACAGCAGTGCTTTGCTTTGATGGGCGAGCGATGGGAATACCGACGCGCCAGAATTTGCATTTTCAACTATAGTGCTCGAGTTCGAGCTTGCTCCTGTTTTTTCTTCGTCTCTTGTGCCAGTTGTCACGGAGGACTGCGCCGTTTGTTGCTGCTGTGGTTGTTATTGACAGAAACGAAGGACTTCCCTAATTGCAGCCTGCTGTTGTCAGCGCGTGGGCAGCTACCTACAAGATCCTACAAGTTATGCCCAGCAGCAATTGCATCGCCATGTCGTGCATGCCCAAGCTTTAAAAGCGATGTTGTGTCTAGTGCAGGGACCACCCAAAGCCCAAAGAAGTTTCACGAAGCCATACGGCTTGCTCGTAGGTTGTCCTTGCAAAGCAAGGTGTTTCGGTCTTGAAGTCTCCGTTGATCGAGATGAATCAAGTTGGCAGCAGAGACTTCTGACTTCCGACCGCTCTTGCCTTTGTGCAAGGCATAGCCGGCATGATTGCATGCCGTAGCTTGGGCGCTAGGTGAAATGAAATGCAATGAAATGCATGTCGAGATGGGTGGGGTACCGGTGTCGGTTGTGAGTCAGGCCTGGCATCCCCATAAAAGGTTGCCTCAAACTGGAACTGGGTGCCGGGATCGGAACGGGTTTCCCAGGTGCTTCAAGGACAGCCATGCGTCATTTTGTCGGCCCCGAGCCGACTTCCCTTTGCGGGTGGCCAAAAGCGACATTCGTGACATTAGCATTTTGCATTTGGATCGCAGTTTTGGTTGCTGTGGTTGGGGCCGATGTCCGGGCGTCTGCTCGTGGGGACCGTGTCTTTGCTCCTGAGGGTCTTCGGTTCGACAATGCTGATCGAAGCAGCACACGCTTGCCTTGCAGAAGGTTTAGGACGCGAAGTTCGTTTTCGCTGGAGGGGGCGTCCACGATCTTCTTGGTGCGGCCACAAGTAAATGAATGTAGGAGCATTCGTGGCGTGTGAGTTGCTGTAAGGCGTCGTCCTTCAGTGCATGGCAAAACCATGTCGCATGCCTAGTGGAAGCTTGCTTGGCATTTGTAGATAGTGGTCGGCCTGCTGCTGAGAGAAGCGAAACATGTAAGTGAAGGCGCGCGCTTACACCGTTTTTCAGGGGCGCAAGGAAATTTCAGTCGTTACACAACAAATGTCGTGCTTTGGAGCGGGGCCTACAGCAGCGCTGCTTGCACAGTTGCCGGACATGTTGCGGGCGGCCCACTGGGTACTTTGCCAGGCTCTCGCGAACCACTTCAGGCGATGAGCAGTCGCTTGGGCCCATTCCTTGTAGCGTGCGCCCTCTGCGGTTGAGGTGGATACCCGCTGGTTCCGTGACTGCCCCTGGTTGCTGGTGATGATGGACAGAGCCGATCAAGTAAGTCCTCGCAGTGCATGCTTGCTTGCCCGACCACAGGGCACGAAACCCAGCATACTGCCTGCCATTCGGGTGACTGTCCTTTGTGCGGACATTTTCTTCTGCCACGCTGGTTCATCTTCATCTGATATCGACACCAGGGTCAACCGGGTCATGGGTGGGGGGACCCGACCTGTTTAAGGTAACGTAACTGTGTTATAGCGTCATTGGGTCTGGGACACCTCCATTTCTCTTGCTTTGAACGCGAAAGCCCTCTATCTTCTCTGTATGTTCGTAAGAAAACCTCGCTCGCTCTTCTTTTTCATAGCGTAAAACGTAAATTCGGTTTTCGTAAATCTTCCTGTATGCACTCGTCGTATTCGGTGACGAAAACCTTTATTTCCTCTACATGCATAGACAGACGGAAGGCAAGAACAAAAAAAAGCAACAACACAAAGAAACACATCAAGAGAGACAGAACCCACTTGCAAGCACAATGCTCGCCAGACGGGTTTGGAAAGCTTTCGTATGGCTTTGCACGCAAGCCCCCTTCATGGCATGATCTTTTTTGCAAGACTAGCTTGCCCGCCCCCCGCCCAACCCTACTATGTTAACTCCTGCAAGCTTGCTTTGCAAAGAACATCAGCACCCCATGACGAAAACTTTGCATGTGAAAATCTCTCCAAACCCGGCATGCGAGCATGGTGTTGGTAAATGGGAAGCCCCCAACGGCCCTGTTTGTCTTCATTCTGTTGAAGCCGCGCAAGCTTGCTTTGCAAAGAGGATCTTGTGTTTGCAAAAAATGGGGCAGGGGCTCCGCCACCCTCATCCCCCCCCCCCCCCCAACTGTCTTCATGTCTTGACCCGAGCAAGTTTGCTTTGTAAAGAAATGGGACTTTATGGAGGAAACAGAGGGTTTATAGGTTTCCTATGAGCAAAACTAGTAACTAGAAGTTGTAGAGGTTTTCCGACTTAGAAAAAATGAAGGAACACAATTAAACACCATATGAAATACTAAGAACAATCTCCACCCCTTTGCGTGGCTACCGTTCGCCAGAGTCGCATTGAGATTTCCTGGGGCCCCTTATCCAGGGCGATCTCTGGAATCTCTGGTGCATTGTGGTGCCAGACCTTGTCGACTGGTCCTCGAGATCTCGAGTTGGGCGGTTGGACCTGCGACTTGCGGCGTCGTTTAGAAGCCCCTGTCCGACGTCTCTTCATGGGTGTCGGTACTGTGTGGACTCTCCAGCGGGCAGAGTGTCGGGGGGTTGCATGTGCCAAGCGATGAAGGCTGTGAAAACAAGTGGCATGAGCAGGCCCATAGCAGCCATGGCAGAATGCATTTGACTGCGGTGTCCGTCTCTGCATGCTCAAATGCTCAAAGACATGTAGATGTTTTTTGTCTTTCACGACCCTGCAAGATGTCGCTCCTTGGCTGTGCTTTCATCCAAGAGAGGCTGTGCGGACGAGATATAGTCCCGGTAGTATCGGCATGGCTTTGTGATGCTGAATGCCCCTATAAATCAAGGCAACTACTATTGAAGGCTGCGTGGATTGTCGCCTCAGGCCTGTGACGATGCACAGATGCATGTGCTGAGTGCATGGATCTGCTGACCCCTGTCGCATCTTTCCTGGCAGGGAGATGCATGGCATCAGCTGCTCATACGCAAGTGTTTCCAGGTTTGCTATCCTCATCCTCACAAATCTTCATGTCGTGATTCAGGCGACTCCCACACTTCGGGAAGCACTTCTGGTAGAAGCACGGCATCGGCTGCAAGACTGGCTGCCAGGCTGAATCCTCCTCCGCCGGCAGATGCTGCAGCTAGCACGCGCAGAGCACAGAGTGTGCAACTCAGGTTCCTCAACAAGGACTGGGAGCAGCATGCCCCGCCGAATGGGCGGTCGCTCGTTTGGTTGATGGCAGAAAGGGACCAGTATTTACAATTTACACAGCTCCCTGAAGCAGGCGGCAGGTGCTCGGCAGGTCGTGGCATGTAAGCATACTTCTGCGAGCATTGTTGAGCGACTGTTGGAGTTTTTGAGTCTGCGAGGCTCGACTGGCCCAAACGGTCAGATGGCATTCAGCTTCAGATCACGACCAACAACTATGTTTGCTGCTAGTCTTGGACATGCTTTAAGACGGGCAGTCGGAGCAAATGAGTCATGATGAGCACCAAGGGTCAAACATCAAACGCGGCCCAGGTGATGAGGAGTCGAGGATTGAACCTTGGGAGGCTGTCACGGGTGCCTACGACAGCCTGTGGCGTTCCCTGCTCCGAAGCTTGCAGCTCAGGGCATTCAGCTCGACAAGGAACATCAGCCTCCACGCCCAGACGTGCCTTGTCTTCTGTAAACCTGGTCTTGGCATGCTGCGTTCTTTTTTTCCAGCAATCTTGAGAAGCGTTGCATGTAGGTGATTCCAATCACCTTTGGGCGATTCGATGTGCAGCTTCTGTCTTAGAAGATTCAACATGTGAAGAGAGAAATGGGTGATATGGAAGAGCATGGAGTCTCGGCAAAGAGAGGCATCCCCCGTGCACGCACAGGAACGCTGATGTTATCGATGTATTCAATGCCTTAGCCGATACGAAGGGCGAGGACGGCTGCTTGCTACCTACCGTTGAAGCAGTTATCTCCATGCTGACACACATTCGCTTGGATCCATCTGCCACAAGCAGGTTGAATGGGATGATCTTTTGATGAACGGCCCGGGTGTCACGCCTCCTGTCGCACAAGTCATGGAAGCCAGCAGATACAAGGTTTGATATTGTTCCGCTTTCAATAGTCTACGCCATTGATCGCGAGAAGAGGATTCAGTACGGAATTCAGGGCAGTCTCCAGGGCAACGGTTGAGGATTCACGCTTTGCCAAAGTTATTCCTGAGGATGTGTGCATTGTGCATGTGTGTCAGTATGGGCAGTATTGGCGCGGAGCAGTCTGGGGTTGGTACTCCCGCTGCACAAGTTTGTAGGCTGAGTATGCTCAAGGAGACTGAGTCACATTGAGTCGTCGCCTTTGGACCAGCGTTCCTCTGCAATTTAGAATTGTGCCCTGCCCTGTTCTGTGGAGAAACAGTCTAGTTCAGTCGTGTCGGAAATCAAGCGTCTGCAGGGCCCAAAATTGCTTTGGCCCGGCCACGTGGAGGAAGTTTAGCGCGCCCATGAACACTGCCTTTCCTTCCGGAAAGGGCCCCATTTTCAGATCAGTTCAGCAGAGACAGGCATTGGATATCACTCAGTCACATACCTGACAGATACCAGAGTGACTTTTTGTGGCGTGTCGACTGGTGCTTACTGGTGTGCAGTTCCACTGATGACAGATACTTGGGGGACTTCCCGAACGAGTTCGCCCGAGCAGCTGCTGTTAGTTTTGTGGCGCGCCCATTCCCTGACAGACAGGCTGCGTGGCTTAGAGATGATTCAAGGGGATGTCGGGTTCCTGCACAGCGCGAGATCGAGCGAAGACATGTTTAATCATCCAGGTACATCCAAACTCGAAGATGTAGATCATGTCGAGAGCTGGAGTGTAGCGGAGTTGCCGTTTAGCTCATCTGCTACCCATTTGATGGCTGCGCGTGTCCAGAATGCTTTCGCAGCGTGCCCAGCAGGGAAAGATCACGGGGGAAACGTGGAGTTGTTGGAGACGCGGACATGATTCTCGGCCAGGGACGTATGCCGAACATGGATACAGTTGCAAACTGGATGTGCTGCTGGTCGCATCTCCATTTCCACGCGCGGCTCAAAAACCCTCCACGGCGCAGACCACAATCGACGGGTTCGAACGAAATCGCGTGGTGCGCACGCCTAGCCGCCAGTCCTGCATACCTTGTATGGATTTGGATGGACCTTCATGCCAACTGTTGGCGCAATTGCTTGTAAATGCCACGAGTCAACCAAACTGAACCATCATCCTAGTAAGACTGCCTGCCAGTAAGACTGCCGGCAGGCAGTGTCTCAGCATAGTTGGATTTGAGGCAGTTGTCAGTTCGGCTACAGGAAACTGCTTCTCATAGATCCTCATCGTGACTTCTCTTTGGAGGTTTTTCAGTGGATGGTTTACAACTCCACGAAGAACTATGATGACATGCGGCAAAGCTGCAAATATCTACATCTGGCGGAAGGGCAAATTTTCTTGCAGCGCCGGTCGGTACTGTACGCATCAGTAGGCTCATGCCCTTGTCATGCAGCTGTCTCTGACTTTGTCGCCTGCTGATTGCAAGGACGGTGGTGTACTCGACTCGAAGAAATGCGGTACTGCACCAGCGCGGTGTAGAAGATGAAGGCACGCGCACAGAATGCAGACTGGGTGCCGCCTTTTGTGCCATTGGAAGTTCCGCAGGCTGGCCAGCGGTGCAGGCACAGAATTGCCTAGGGCCACTTAGCATCGACTAGGACAGGTGCATGTTCAGTGGCGCGACCTCATACTGGCCAGCTGAGGGCCTACCATGTGGTGGCATTGCCACAAGGCGGCTGCCATGCAGCCCACCAGCAATTCGCAGATGCCCGCATGCTTCACATCATCTGGTTACTGCCTAGGAGCCAGTGTCAGCAATCGTGGCCGCGGGATTGAGGTAGTCTTCACGACCATGGTGAACTCTCACCCGCCATGGCCGATTACGGCGCAGCCCTTCGAGCTGACTAACTCGGCGTGCATCATGGGTTGGGAACGACGAAACAACGCATGACGCGAGTGGAACGCCACACAGCATTTACATTGGAAGTGAACATCCAAATCATCCAAGTTCTCAAGCCTAAGGTTCGTTTTCAACATCGCATGGACGAAAACAGCTGAGTACATCGAGGCAATGTGGTGTGTTAAGAGATTCGTGATGATACGCAGTGTTACCTTTGTCCTTGGATATGGCCCTGCAGAAGCTCCGAGCACGAGCCCAACTACTGAAGCGGAGGTACCAAACCGGGGGCGCTTGAATTGTGCCAAATTGCACCTATTGGCACCTGGCTTCATTCGGCAGTGTAGTCCTTGGGAGGCGTCTTTCTGCGAATGCCCCTGCTGAGCCGGCGATTGAGCTGCAAACGCTAGGGAGACAAGGGAGAGTCCCAGTCGCGCTGGAAGTCCCGAAGATAACTTTGTGCTTGCCCAGGTGGTTCCCAGGTGGCTCTTGTTTGATGGCATGGTTCCCAACAAGGCTGTGGCTGATGCTGGCACATGCTTCATAGTGTAGGAGGCAGCATTTCACTTTGCCCAGATTACCTGCTTTCTGTTGAATGCATGCCCTTCAAGAGGACATGGCTAGTAATTAGCACCAGCCATTCATGAAATGCTTTCATGTTTCATGCATTTTCTCGTCTGGCGTGCGAGACCGAATCCGGAGATATGTTCGTCGAGGGTGTGCCAAAGGTCGTACCTCCTTTCCAAGGAGCCACGCCAAGGGAGCAAATTGCGTTTGTATCATCACATTCAGAAAACTTCTGGAGGTGTGGGTGCAGTGTTGCCAGGGCGGAGGATAAAGAAACGCAGGCCTTGCTTATGGCATGTCGGAAATCTCCTGGAAAGAGCGTGCAGGACCAGATTATGTCGCTGCAGCTTGGCAGGGTCGGGACGTTTGGTGTTCGAATATTCCAGGGCCTCCCAGAAGCTTTCAAGGGTCAAATCTCGGACTTCAGCAGTTTCGCGGACAGTTGCGGAGCGCGCCCGTGTGATCGTTGTTGCAGGCAAATTCTGACTCTGAAGGCCCAAGCTGCAAACCTGAGGATGTGATTCAGATCGACTTGTTGAAGGACTTGGAGAACGTAATCAGATCTGGAAAGATGTCTTCGATGTGGATATGTGCAGCTTTGCTTAGTGAATTGGGATGTGCTGATGGCTCAAATGGGGTCCCGGGCTGGGGCTTCTGTAGGCTTTGTAGCCTTGTGGTTCGAGATGTCGAGACTCACACGCATGTGTTCCCAACACGCCCGCCGTTGGATGGAGCAACAGCTTGCTTTTAAACGCTGCGTGCCGGCCGCCTCGGCCTGGGTGAGACCTGTGGTAAGGTTTAAGAAGGGTCGGGCATTCACAACACTGTACGGACACCCTCTGCAACTTATGGTGTTGCTGGAACTTCTCCATCAACGCGCGTATACCAATCAAACCCAAAGCGCAGAAGACGCTGCGAAAGAAAGGTCGATGCGACAGCAAGTGCAGCAGCAGGTGGTGTGGCCTTGGTTTTTGTCGTGCCACCAGAAAGAGCCCGCTGGCTTTGGGCTCTTGTGGCTTTTGCGGCTTTTCTGCTCCAGTTGCCCTCCAATCCCAGGCGCCAGTCCCACGTAAAACCTTTGCCCCCGGCTTAGCCCTCGGCTGCTGCGATGCGACAGGCGGATGCCAGGCACAAGGGATCTGCCGCGAAAAGGAGGTTTGATCCGTGGAGTAGTGAATTGTCCCCCCTTCTGGGGTAGCCGTGGGTAGCTTTTTGCAGGCGGAGGCTTGATCTTCATGTTTTTGTGGGAGAACTGAAACCTGAGACTGTCCACGAACATGCCGCCGCCCCTGCGGACACCTAGGACCTAGTCAGCAACCAGATGCCCCTACCTACCTTTGCAACTCTTGCAGCTCTTGCATTTGAGGCGCTTCTTGTGGTTGCCCTGATGGTCTCAGCCGTTGCCGTTTGGCGTCGGCAAAGGTCACGGGTGTGGCAACCTCTGACAGGCCCTAGTCATTTCGCAAGCTTTCATCTCGACCCCAGAATCCGCCAACAACTTTGTGATGAGCATCCGGGTGTATCCGGCAAGTCCTGGCCAGGTGACGAGCTCGAACGAGGGCTCAGCCCAATTCCGTGCTCAGATTAAAGCCGCCTGACAACTATCTGCAGACGTCCAAAGTGCATTCGCGGGTAGATGAAGCTCAGGTGCTTGTTTAGGTGTGTTGAGCCAAACCATCACGGTATGTGCTCGAGAGTCCCACAGATAAGCTGAGAGAAGAAACGGGTTTGTTATCGATGGTGTTAGCGCTGTGGTGGCGCACTCACTTTTGTGAAGCTCTCACTTCCAATGGCTTGCGAACAAGCGCGGTCGGGCAAGTGACAGACAAAAGTGCTTTTCAGCTTTCCACTTGCGTTGCTCGCTGCCTCTGGTTGCTCCACCCGTGTTTTGTTTCGTTTTGTTTGTTCCTATCTCTCTCTCTCTCTGTCTCTTTTTCCCGCTCTCTCTCTCTCTCTTTCTCTTTCTGTGCTGGCACATACACATGTTCAAGCACGCGAACTCCGTTGATCGCTTCGATTCTCTCCGCCTCACTCCTCCCCTCCCTGTTCCTCAGTCTGTCTCCGTCTCATTTCCAAGACGCAGACACTTCCCCAGATTCCTGCTCCTCTTCCATGTTACACGAAGGAAAAACGGTACTCCACGGTCCCAACATTCAACCGGCAAACGCAAGACAGCTACTGGGAGACTCACTGACTTCATTGAAACCAATGCTTTTCCGCAATTCTGAAAGCAATGTTGGGCACGCCCAGAAACCAAGTCTGATTGCTGAGATGTCTGCGCGAACCCAGGTCGGAGTTCTAGTTTGTGTCTGTAAAGGACACAGCCTGGAAGTTGCAAACATGCTCCTTGGTGCCCACAAACAACAGCCCCATGAAAAAGATGGTTTCACGACCTGCGGGAGAGGCAGTTGTTGTCGCGGGTTGCTGGTTTCTCTGTCGTTGTCTCCTTCCCTCTGTCTTTCTTTCTTTCCTTCTTTCTTCTGTGTGTGATGTCGGTCAGCATCTTTCCAGTTTATGACCAATGTATTTGAAAGCATTTCGGCTCTGCATCCACCGCATGATGCCATGTTTACGAGTGGTGGAATGCGGGTACAATCCGCTCATGCCCCTGACTAACATACTGTGCAGTACGGCCCGGCCCAGACATGCACTGCCTAAACCTCAGGTCAAATGTGCCCCGTCGACCCGCGCTCCCAGATTCTTATATCGACTTGTGCACCTGCTTGACTCGACTAGCCTTGTTACCGATATGCCATGGATTTTCTCTGACCATTGCTTTGGTTGGGTTCATTGGGTGCGTCCTGTCTATGCAGTCCCCGACCAAAGCCCCAAGGAGGCGGAGACAGATTCAGGAACAATCGATCGTGCACTGCAGCGGTGTGGGGGAAGGGCCTAGGGTGTGAAACCTGAAGCATCTGAAGCCGACGACGCATTGCGAAGCCGCATTAGTGCTCAAAGGGACCAAGGAGGGAGGACATGACCAATGTTTTTTTTTGTGGTCCGCGGTCCCGTGGTCTGCTGGTCCTCCGGCCTGCTGGTCCCGTGGTCTATGGCGTTGCAGATGCGTTGCAGCGTACCGCAGGGCATCGCGGCGGCGCGCTGGTGATTGGCGTGGCCGCTTGCGGAACGTTGCGGAACATTTTGTGGAACCATGTTCAGAGGTTTCTGAGGTGATGTGAGGTGGAGAAATTTTAGAAGCCCAAGCTGGTCCATTATTCTGCTTGCAACTGGGGCACAAACGCGCTATCGAAAGGCATTCCACACTGATTTCCAGACCCAAAGAGTGTTTGCGAGGAACGGAATTCTCAGGGTATGTGCGAGGGCGGCCTTGGCTCACAGGGATATTATCGAGGCGGGCGAAGTCTCTTGGCAAAGGGTATGTGCGAGGTGTTGAAGTAAAAGGGGCTTCCAGTCAGTCAAGCCAACGATGTTTGCCAAGTTTTCAAACGAACGGAACTCATGCTTGTACGGAATTCCGGTCGCGCATATGTACCAGGCATTTGTGTATGCGAAATTTCGGTCCCGTTATGTGGGGAGCCCCATGGTACTTGCGACGTTTTTAATGTGGGGAATTGCGGCACCATGGTATTTCCGAGGCTTGTGTGGATTTCCAGTGCCGTGGTGTTGGCCAGAATTTAAAATGCTCACCGGAGTTCCAACGCCATGCCATTCGTGAAGTTGTTGTATAGTCGCTTTTGACGGCCTCGACACAGGGCCGTTTGTTTTCTTTGTCCGCCTCGCTGGGGCCCAGATTGATGTTTCGGGGTGGTTCCCAAAGGGAAGCCAAGAAATGCCCCGCATGCCCATTCACCTCATTCACCACCCCGGAAGCCTGCTTAAGCTTTGCTTCTTTTCACGCCCCGTGGAGTGGCACGGCGCCGACGTGGACCAATGAACGCAGCCTCGCAGTGCGGAGCCAGGGGTTACTTTGGTGTCAGAATTCGCGCCAGGAGCCAATTGGCGTCATAATTCGTATTTTTTCGGCTTCACCGTTCGGCTCGGCGTCCGTGGTAAATTCGGTTTCCAGCCGCAATGCAGCTTCAGGAGACAATGCGTCGTGTCCTCCCCACTGCGGCTTCAATGCGTCACAAAATGTAGCGGAGCGTCACTTTAAAAACAGCAATACTATGCCGCTTTTCATTCTAAAGGCCTTCATATCCTAACGCGGCCTATCGGCTTCAGGTCGTTTCAACCCGCAGCCGCCCCCCTTTAAAAGTGTTTAAGTGGGGACTCAGTTGGGAGCAGCGGACCCATCTCAGAATTCCACGTGAGGCCGGCAACGCTCACGTGGAGACAACGAAGTCGCCCTGCTCACCCATACCGAAACTTGGAGTAAGCCAGTGTTTCGCGCAGCAGATTCACGTCGACGGCGGAAGCAAGGCTTAGGAGTTTTTTGTCTGGTCCATCTCATGGTTCGCTGTTGCTGTCTCAACCCAAGGGAGTTCTACCTCGAAGTTGTTGACAGTCCCAATGGCCGGCACAAAAGGGAGATGTCTGATGCTGTTGCTGAGATGCACGCGAGCTTCTGTGCTTTTCAAGAGCAGAGCCTTGGCCTGTCATGCTCTGTTGGTTGCCATCGCCGATGCCGTGGTCAGTGGAGATGTTTCTAAGTGTTGATAAGACATGATAAGACTGTCCGCAAAAGTGTTGCGCTGCAAGGAATCAGATCTTTGCTCCAGCAGCACCTATGCCACTGCCGGTATTGATTGTAACAGGTTCTTTGGGGAGCGGAAAAACCACTTTGATGAAGCGGCAACTTTGCTAAACAGGTGTGCATGTGACTGGCGCATGCTACTGGCGTGCTTCAAAGTTTTTTTTGGGTCTTGGGCGTCCTTCTAGCGATGGCTTTTAAAAGCAGAGAGGCTTATGAATCGACGGGCAAACCTGCGGATTGCGGCCTTGGCACATGACCTGGCTTCCAAGCTCAATATCGATGCATCTTTCCTGGCTGCCGAGATACAGCCAGGCCGGACATGCTTGTCTTCGTATGCCTTCTAATCTTGACATGTTTGATAGGCTTGGGCAAGGGTGAGTACCTGTTCCAATCGGCATGGCGAGATGGCGAGGTGGCTGGCCTGTCTGGTTGCGTGGCTTGGCTGTCCCAGGAGGTTTGGAGATCTCGCAAAAAAAACAAATTTCCTGCTGCTGACACGAGGCATGCTGTCCTGGCTTCGATGAAGCCCTGAGCATGGCTGTGAAGACTGCTTTGAACGAAGGCTGGCAACATCCATTGGGGAAAAGCCTGTTTGGCTGCAGCTTCTCAGGAGCAGACCGCGGACTTCTCGACTATCTTCTTCTGGAGACAAGTGGAGCGGCTGACCCTCGCCAGATTGTGTCATCCTTGGAGGTGCTGACCCTGTGCACTTGCACCTAGAGCACCCATTGCATGAGTCTAAGATTCTATCTCATTCTGTCCCAAACTCAACTATCGATCTTCAGCAAACGGTCAGAACATATCTGGCAGGTGCGCTTCGGACCTCTGGCACGAGTAAGGTTGGACCGGGTAGTTACTGTCGTAGATGCCGCTGGGCTGCACGAATGACAGACGAATGACAGCCGCAACGCAATAGCAATGCTGTGGGCTGCGAAAAAAGACCTGAGCAGCGTGTCATTTGGGTTGGACGAACACAGCTACCTTGGCACCGCCTCTCAGTTCTTGGTGCGCTGAATGCACGCGATTTTTCCGTCTTCCTTGGGTCTTCATGTCGGGGCCGGATCGGAGCCTGCGTTTCAAGTTATTTACAGTACCTTGCGAACTTACAACGGCTCGGAGAGAAAGAACCTCAAAAAGCTCGTGAAGTGACCTAGACGCAAGCTTGACTTTTGGACAGGAAGGATGACAAAGCACAGCACAAAGAACAAGAGCGATTTGTTTTGAGAACTGCGCCTCACCATGTGACAAGCAGAAACTTCCTGCAGCGATTGGAAGCAGTGGGACCTTTGTTCTGCTTCGCCCCCTGTGACGTGATGTATCTCTCAGCATGCTACGAAAATCAGACACTTAAAATCTGTCCGGAGAGTGATTTGTGTGAAGTTCCAGGAATCTCAGTTGGGCTTGAGAAAAATTTTGGTTCTCTACCCCTCTCAGAGCATTTCCCTTTGCACAAGACTGACAAAGTAATGCCAGAGAATGCCTTGACAAGAATGACTTTGCAATGAGTTGACAAGACCACAATGAGGCAGAGCGGGTTCTTGCTGAAGGACAGGCTTGGCTGGACCACAAGACTCAGGCCTTCGGCCGTGTTTGGCCTGGATGGGTCTCCGAATTTCTATATGGAATAGGCGGAACAGGCATAATGAGCCCGTTTAATCCCTTGCGTCGGTCGGAAGCAGGCAGCCTGCAATTCACGCCATCGGGACGAACATCAGCTGCAATTGGCTCAGCTCTTGGTGGCCGATGTCGTGCTCTTGAACAAGGAGCAGATTGACACGCATTCCTGAAACGTCCCTCAAGAGTACCATTTCGAGTCGCCTATAGAGACTACCATAGAGTACCAAAGTACCATTGCCAGGTGGATCTCTGCAGTGAGGAGCCTAAAGCTCTGGAGCTGTTGCGCCAGCTCTGCCCACATGCGAAGGCCCCCAAGATGTAAAATTGGTACTGCGACGTGCTATGTGCAGTTTGGCATCTGCTTGCCTAACAGACTCTAAGAGGGATTCTGCCAGTGGCTGCTTGGTTGCTCATATCTTCTTATAAGTCAACTCACGTCTCAACTGTACACGCGAACAAGGCATAGGACTATAAATGATTACCGAAGCTTCACATAGCTCGGGTGGAGAAGGGAGCCCGTTTGCCCCGAGACACGAGACTTTGTTTGCAACAGCTGGTCAAGACCTGAAGGTCTTGAGCTGCTCCTTCGGCGATGTGCCAGTGCCAGAGCTTCTGGATGTGGTGCCCGTCCCCGTGTCAGCCAGCGCGACTGTTTCACACGAGGCAAGGGCAAAGGGGAGAGGGGGGCCGGGTTTGCAGAAGACTCTGTTTTGAGCAGCCCTACTTGTGACAGGACATTCCGGCTTGCTGGCAGGCGTCGCATCTAGATCTAGCATTCTGCTAGCAGTTTCACCTGCAACTGCTGAGCAGAATCGCTCTCCGCTCCATGCACAGCAAAGAAAGCCGAGAGGTCTCTACCAGCCTGGAATCTTCCAGACAGAGTCGACTCCTCGAAGAGCTGCCCGCAGACTTGTCCACAAAGTTTCATCACCGAGTGGTGGATACTCCGACAAGACAATGCACATGTGAAGCGTTCGGACATGATAGGACACTGATAGGACTATCCACGCGACTTGCAACTTAGCACGTCAGCTCAAGGAATGGTCAACCCGTGGCAAGGAAGCCAAGCCAGTGCAGCTTGCCAGGCTCCAAAGCCTGCCTCTCGCCACAAGAGTCCAAGAGTCACAAGACACAGCCCTGTTGGGCTGAAGCTCCGGAAACTAAGCGGACCATGCAGGAGTATTCGATACCGCCTACCGAAGTTGCTGTTCCTGTCCTTGTTCCATGCTGCTGTGCTGGAGGCTTTGCGTGCACCTCCACCGCATCAGGAGATGGCTTCGGCGAGCAAAGGGCATGTTGTGGGTAGCGGAGCCTATGCCGATACCTGTTCACGCCTCTAGTCGTGGGTATGGAGGGTGGGAAAGTGTCTGCAATGCGCCCTCTTCCGAGGAAGATGCGCAAGCACAGTGGGAGTGGGAGCTATCTGGACAACTCCGCTTCAGTTGTCGACGTACTCCGGGTGGTTTCGGCGGCGCTGAGGCTTTTAGCAGCCTTGTGCTTGGCTGGAATTTAGATGACGATGTTTAGATGTGATTTGATTTTTCCAAGCAGTGCTTGCGCTTAGAGCCCTTTGATGCAGCGGTGCACGTGAAACCTCTGGCAGAAATGCCATCAAAGGTGCTCATCTTTGCAGACGGTGCCTTAGCTTCAGCTGAAAAGACAGCAGGTCAGAATCAGGTATGGAAAAAGCTGAGGAGCATCTTGCGTCTCTCCTTCCAGCACTGCTGGCCCTGCCCACCTTGCTGCCCACTTTCGTATTTCGAACCCCCTCGCTTTTCCCTCATGAAGACTTGCCGAGACTGTCTTGTGTTCTCTTTGTTTCAAGGTGTTCCCGAAGCTGAGCTTCTCAACACGCAGCGCGTGCTGGCCGAACTTACCTTGCCTGCAGAAGAGATGGTGCCGCCAAAGGACTCCAGTTGGGGAGGAGGAATGCGTGCATGTCTAGTGCCCCTCTTGCCAGCCGTGAAAACCGCAGGACATTTTGCAGCAACTGGCGGAAGGGAGTGTAGGCTTTGAGATCCTGGGGTGCTCCACCGATCGGGACAGCTGCGTGCGTTTCCGCCTCACAGGCTGCTCGCAGATCTCAAGCAGCAACGAACTTCATAAACTCGTCCTTCAGGTTGTTGGAGTGAAAGCTGTGAGTTTGCATGCAGCATCGTGACCATCGTCTATTGCAAGGCCGTAGATATTTCAACCTCGACTCGGACTTGGATCTTGCAGATCCGCCTTACCGTGTCTGGCCCAAAACGTCCAATTTGAAACGATCTCTCTTACACTCTCTCTCTCTCCCTCCCTCCCTCCCTTCCTTTTCATAGATCTATGTCCAGACGCATTCTGAGATGCCCCGCATTTTTCAGGCATCGACCTCGACGCGTTGAACCAGGATCTTGCTCAACTGGTGAATGCTGAGAAGGGCCCCATCTTCTTGGCCACAGGCGCGCCCCTGAAGTTCTGGGGCGATCGGCATTTCAGATTAGCAGCTTGAACTGAGATTGCAGAAAAAGTTACCGCCTGATCACAAACGGAGCCTTTTTGGAGCACTGTTGATAGGTGAGCTTTTGGGGAGGGGCTTTGAAGGGGGGACGGACCACAGATCCCGGTCTGGAAAATTTGTAACTGCTGCGCACCGACCACCTTGGCCGGATCCGAAAATCCTAGGTCACGCTTGCATTCGGAGGGTCCTTACAGGAACCTTTATCGCCCCAAGCCGAGGCGAGTTCTTGCTTACTTGGCACACCGGCGGCTTACCCAACGATAGTTGTTCACCACCCTCGGATGGGCTTTCTTCAGCACCCACCAGGTGGGCTAAAACCCTTCGGTAATCGGGTGTTAAAGTAACAACGAAAATCCAGCCATCTCACGGAAATGTAGCCAGAAAAAACGTCCAGCCGGCCAGTGCTGAAGGCTTCACGTGTCCAAGCGTCTAGGCTCGTTCTCGGGCTCGGGTTTGGGGGGTTGTCGTCCTTGTCCCACAACCCGAGACCCAGGGATGGCGCGGCAGGGAGAGAGAGAGAGAGAGAGAGCCCCTTCATGCCCCCGTAGAAGAAGAAGGAGGAGGAGGAAGAAGAAGAAGAAGAAGAAGAAGAAGAAGAAGAAGAAGAAGAAGAAGAAGAAGAAGAAGAAGAAGAAGAAGAAGAAGAAGAAGAAGCAGAAGAAGAAGAAGAAGAAGAAGAAGAAGAAGAAGAAGAAGAAGAAGAAGAAGAAGAAGAAGAAGAAGAAGAAGAAGAAGAAGAAGAAGAAGAAGAAGAAGAAGAAGAAGAAGAAGAAGAAGAAGAAGAAGAAGAAGCGAGAGAGAGAGAGAGAGCCCTAGGCGCGGTGCTTGCCCCATGCCCGAAAGAAAGACAGCTTAGGGGAGTAGCCAACCTGGGGGTCGAAGAAAAGGACTGTCAGCCACAGCAGGGGAACAACCCAACAAGTCTTACCAGTCCCCGCTTAATTGCTTCCAACTTCCCCAGCTGACACCTCGATCTTCATGTTTCCACAAAGTCGCAACTGCACAGGCTGAGCACAGGGAGGGACAAACCTACTTGCCGTATTTCCGTGGTTTCTTCTCGGCATTCGTGGTTGCAACCTCCACTCGGCATAGCGACTCGTCTCACACACAAACAGACGGCTGGAGCACGCCCACCCGGGCGGCCCCCTTGAAGGCTATGTGCAGAGGAAGGAAGAGAGAGAGAGAGAGAGAGAGAGGCCCCCGGGTCCCTCAAGCCCTGTAGAAGAAGAAGAAGAAGAAGAAGAGAGAGAGAGAGAGAGAGCGAGAGAGAGCGAGAGCGGCCGGGGCCACCCTCTTGAGGGGGCCTCTTCGCTGGGTAGAAGAAGAAGAAGAGAGAGAGAGAGAGAGAGAGAGAGAGAGAGAGAGAGAGAGGGAGAGAGAGGAGAATTCGGACAGGGCGCGCCTTGTGCGCCGAGGGTGCGTTCAAGCCCCGAAGAGGAAGAAGAAGAGGGAGGAGAAGAAGAAGAAGAGAACTCAGGGACAAGTAAATGGACACATGGTTTTCGTGCAGCACCCGCCTCCAGACGGTTCCGGGAGTTTTGCAGGAACCGCGATCTGCAAGATGACACCTGGCGTGCGCTCACCCCCCAGGCCCTAAGTGCCCACCCCGAAACGGCATTAAACGACAACCACAAGACCAAGTAAGCAGATTATTTGCTTCGATCACCCTACACGAAAGCTAGCCACTGTTGCCGCAGTGAGAGCCGAAATCTAACCATTGAGGGAGGCGCCCTGCCCTTTTCGGACGGGAAACTATGGATACTTCGCCACATGATTCTGTCGCAGTTGTTGTTCCTGGAGACGGCACTTCAAGGCCTCCACCGCATTTTCTTGGGGTGGACACGGCGAGGATTCTCTTCGGGTGGCCACCTCCACCTTTTAGGGAAACACGGCGGGATTCTCTGCGAAATTCCTGAAAACGGAGTGATTCTCTTGCGCTCTTCTTGGAGCGGGCGGCCCGGGCGAGGAGACTGGGCGAGGAGTACAGGAGGCCGAAGAGAATGGCTGACTCAAAATCCGACAGCCCCCACACCGAAAGCCGAGAATGCGGAGTGGCTAGTCAGGGCCGATTGGCACCAGCATCAACACCAAATCTGCAAGTGGACAGGAGAGGGCGTTTGCCGAGCAGCTCGGTCGCAAGTGCCGAGTCCCTGATGCAACCTCTTTTGATTCTTTTGATTCGTGCGGTGCCAACCGATACGAATCCTTTACACATTGTCTGGCTCGAGGGGTAGCCCAAGTGAGGAGACTGGTCGAAAAGTCCTTGCCTTACTCTGGCCTTTGGGTTGCTTGGCGCAGCAAGAAGGCCTCGAGCCCAGCTTTTCTACCAACTGCATGTTGTCAAATGTGCTTTTGTTACTGCCAGCTTCCACCCCAAACGGAGATGAACTCTGGCAATGTTTGCGGGCGAGCTTGAACTGCTACTTAAACGGCGTAAAGTGGCGAGAATACATCAAGATGACCCTGGAAGGCCTCGAATATGAGCGCTGCGCGGCATGCCCGAGGGCATGCCTGATATGCCTGATGCGCATAGGCCGCATAGGAAACTGCGCGCAATCATTCAGCAAAAGCGGGATTCTGGCGGCCACGTGTGCCGCCCGCCCGCGCGCTTTCAGGTTTGCTATGCTGCCCGTCCTGCTCAGCAAAGGTTCAACACAAGGGCCAGGGTTTCCTGGTGTCGTGTCTGTGTGAGGTCTTGGCATGTGGTTGTTATACTTCTTTGCTGAAAATGAAAACCTCCTGTCCCGTAAACGTCGCTGCGGGCGAGCTCTGCAAAAAGCGCCAGGATAACCACAGCCTGGACCCATGCCAACCCAGCATTGGCTCGAGGATGCCAGAGTCGCATGAAGTTCCGGAACATTGCCGAGTCATCTCTTTAGGCGGCCTTGGCAGAACGCAAAACTTGATGTGAAATGAGATGAGTCTGGTGAGGTATGCAGGTCACGAATGAAGGTGCCGAAGAAACGCTGGCCCTGCTCTACACCGCACCAAGCACACCACGACCATCCACGACCACTACACAGCACTCCACACTCCACCACACCACCACAACTCCACCGCACCACCACCTACACCGCCTCTATTTCATTCTATTCCATCTTATCTTATTTCGTAACCTGGGGTAGGTTTGGTGGGGCAAGCGGGACGCGCCCCTCTGCGAGTATCGTGCGTGTCGAAGCGCTCTCGTTGTGCGTTTTGTGCATAGTCATTGGCTTGCGAACGCTCTGCGGGGATCGTTCGCGTCGAAGCGTTCTCGCTGTGCGTTTTTGTGATTTCCAACGTGGCTTGTGGACGAAGGAAAAATAAAGAAGATAAAGAAGAAAAGGACCTGATACGCGACCCTCGCGACGGCTCTCCTTCCCGTCTACACCGCACCAAGACCACAACACCTACACTGCACTTACACCGCAGCACCGACACCACTGCACCTACACCGCAGCACCTGCACCATGGCACCTACTACCACACCTACTTCTCAGCACCTACTACACCGCGCCACGACCACTGCACTTCCAACACCACCTGACACGCGTCCCTTGTACGTCGCATTGATTGAAGCTTTCGGGATAATCGGTGTTTAGTTTATTGATGAAGGGCGTCCCCCGTCCACTGTCCAGGTGCATCGCCACTGCCGCCGCTGCCGCCTTCCCCTTTGCCCGCAGTCCTCGCTGCTGCTCTACAAGAAGCCCCAGCGCTCCTGCAGCGGCACGCTTGCAGCACTCAGCGGCGTTTGTAATAAGATATTTGCAACTGCAAACGAAGCCAGGCTCTGCCAACACATTTGCGCAGATGGGAACCAGCACTGATGTGTTGGCAGTAATGCCAACCGCAATTGCCTCACTTGCCCCAAACTTCGACACGACTTACTCTTTTGCCGCAGCAGGAAGTCTGGATCGCTCCATCAGCAGCAGGATGAAAGATAAATTAAGTAGCGCATGGCATTTGGATGACTTGTTAAACGCGGATCTGCAATCCTGGTCCTTTTGGGTGGATTGTACACGTCCCAGCCATAGTATGAAATATCAGGGCTTTCTAGCGATTTGTGCTGAAACATCCGCGCTAACCCTAACACCTTAAAGAGCCTTCTGGTGACTTTGCAGCGAAACCGACACCTATGAACAGAGCCCAACGCCGATCCCTAGGGGTGGCCAGAGTTTGCTTGACCTGCATCCAAGTTACCAGTCCGCTGACCACAACGGCCTAGCCCCAACCCCACTTTGGAGCGTAAAATGGTTCTTGTAATCCCTGGAGGGATTCTTCGCTCAAGTCGACATGTACGTGGCACGGGAATTAAGTAGGTCCTGAACGTGTTCAGCCAATCGGCGCTGTTTGTACAGCTCCTTCTCGTCCCTTGCTGTTTTGACAGATGCCACCTCGAGCTAAGGTACTTCGGGCACGTAACAACTTGTCATTGTGGCCAGTGAGTCTGAAGAATCAACAGCGGCCGAAGCGTGTGGACAAGAACGAGCCGAAGATCTGCGCAGGATGATGAGACGCAAGAGTCAGAAGCCATCCACAGCGCCGTGTTGGTGTCGATGTCGGACGGGTGATCAGCTGCACTGTTCGAGCACTGTCCAGCTGGCAGCTGGCGGAGGTGTGGCAGCAAACTCAGCGATTCCGCCACAGTGGCTTCGAAAAATTGCTGAGCTTGCTGTTGCTGCGTGTGGCATGTCGCGTGCGTTGACATGACGAAAGTCGGCTTTGTCTTGGCACTGCCAGCATGACAGCCTGTTGGCTCAACATCGCCCCAGATGGTTTCACTCATTCTAAGAGTTTAGATTTTTCATTCTTTCCTGGCTGTGTGGTCTGCTGTGCCGCTCAAAAGCAGTTCCCCCCCAGGCAGAGAAAGTCTATCGGCCCTCCATTCCTCCACATCGCAGTATACACGAGTTGCGACTTTGGCCAGCGCCAGGTTCGCTCGAGTCCATGGCTGAGACTGGCCAGTCTCTGACTCGAAGGCTTTCGCTCCAGGTTCCATGCTACTCACATTACCTAAGTTCTTGCATCCCATGAGCCGATCAATGACGCACTCTTGACACGGCTGTAGCTTCAAGATATTGTCATGGCATGCAGGTGACGCATGTATGCAGCTTCTTGGATGCATGAACTCCTGGTGCACGGCTGTGCAGAAATTCGCAGTCCCCAGGCGATGATGGGGAACGGCGGCCCAGCTTCCTCCGCAAGACCGTGTCGACAGCGATCCGCGGCAATGAGGCGCCGACGGCGCTTTGCCGGTGCTTTGCCGGCTTGCTAAAATTTTCAGGAAATTTGGGATGACGACCAGGATGCGCGCAACAGTCTGACAAACCAAACAGTCAGAGCCAGACGGTAGGAACATGCCAGAAAAAATCAAAGTGGCACAAAAGATCACAAAAGCACAGCACTTCAAGCTGGAACCTTTCAGTGCTGTTTGAGGTTTTGGTAGGCAGAGGCCGGCGTGGGATGCCGCATGGATGCTGATTGTCCAGCATGTCCCGTGCAATCGCACGAAATGCCTTTCAAACGGCTGCTGGAAGTCCTTTAGGGTTTTTCTGGGACAGCAACAGAATGGCAAGTATGAGCCTGCATTGCAGAAAAGAGAGGGGATCTTGAAGTCAATGCCAGCGTCAGCGGGCCTGTCTTGCAGATGACTCAGGCAAGGTCTTAGGTTTCCTTCAGAGTATTGTCAGGTTCCTGCGGCGCTGTGGGGGGTTCCCGAGAAGTTCTAGCCGTTTCCTGCAAGGATTGAATGAAAACCCCATGGGTTCTGCGTGCTAGGCCCGGCAGAAGTGGAGGATGTTAGAGAAAGCGGGATCGACAAGCGAGGATCTTGAGCCGTGGCCTCAAATTCGCAGCTGCGCGAAGTTATGAAGTTTGACTTCTGCCACTGATGCTGAGTGCCTTCTTGAGGCCTGGGCCTCCAGTTGGGAAGACCGACTCACGACTTGGGAGCAAGCTGCCAGAATCTCGAATCTTCAACACCTAGCCAAGACTTTCTCCCTCTGTTCAGCTTAGCCGCTACTCTTATGAGAAGCCATGGTTTGTGAATTTGATTGAATTTGTGATCGGAAGAGGTCGGTGGCAGCTGCAGATTCTTCGCCGCGGCGTGGTCTGAGAACGACCTCTTCAGCTGCACCTTGAGCCAAATCCAGCACCCCACGAGGTTTGTGAGTTCTGCCAAGCACAGAAATACGATACCACTGGAGCTTCCTCAAAACTGAGGTGTTTGATGCGGCGTTTTCTGGTAAAGACATACTGTCCGACGTCCCGCTCTTTAAAGATTGCACCTTCAAGTTTCTTGAGGCAAGAGGGCACCACACCACACACTCGAAAGAAGTCTGATCGATTCGCGTGCAAGTGAAGGCCTTATCTGCTCAAGTTCACACCAGACTTGTGGAGCCCGGCACGGACATCTATTTGGAAGGGGAACAAGGTGCCCCTTTTTGCATGCTGGCGCTTTACGAGTCCATGACGGACAGAGAAGCTTTGAAGAATTTCGAGCAGAAACGTGTGAAAACTTGACTTGAATGCCGGTCCTCAAGAAGTGCCCGTACCTTGTGTCGAGGAGTCGAGGCTTCAAGCTGGGACCCACACCCAAACGAAGAGCCTAGGCTCCGGGCCCATGTGAACAGATTTTTCTTCCGTGCGTCTTCTCCAATCCACTTCGGGGCAAATGGGGGGAAAACGTGGCACTCAAAGTCGACGCTGTCTCGTGATTCGGTTATCCATGCATAGTGAGGTCAAGTTGTGCGAACGCGCCTTCAACAGCCCGGCCTCTGCAAGAGCCGAGGTGACAGCCTCTTCTTTCTGTGCAGAGGTGAGGTGGAAGTGCTTCACGGCGGGGAGGTTCAATCCAAACACCAGGAGAGATGGGGACAGATAAGGACAGATAAGGACGGAGCGCAACAAAGTGCGCAAGCTCCCAGGGTCATGGATGTTGTGGTTTCGAGTACTTGCGACGAGGATGGTGCCGTTTTCGGGGAAATGGCAGCTGCCAGCAAACATCCCGCTGCGGCGAGCTTAGCAGCGCTTAGCAGCGCTTAGCCGAGCTTAGCCTTGCCCCTGATGTCGGAGCCAAGTCTGCCAAGTGACCAAGTGCTGCTCAGCCACCTTGAACGCACCTTGAACGCACCTTGTCCTATGCCAAGTTGACAACACGATCCGCGACGGTGCGGGCGTCAACGCTCTGTGATTTCAAGCTTCTTCAGCGAGACGACTTGCAGCAGGCTAAGCCAGCGCATGGTACAAGATTGTTTTGCTGTCAGCACTTGTCCTGGAGCAGGTCTTGAGCCATTTCAAAGAAGATGCAACTGGGCTGTTTAACAGCTTTGAAATTAAGCGTCCCCAAGCCGAGCGGTAGCTGCAGCTTTCTCGCTTTCATGGCGAGCTGTGAAGTCGGCATGCCAGAGCGATGTCGGCCTTGGACTGGCATATGTTCGCATGCTTCAAGGCAAAGCGGCTTGAAGAGAAGGTTGAGCGTCACATGGAGGAACTTCGCGAGAAGGGAGCGATCCCTGCAAGAAAGGTGCCCTGACAGCAGTCGGGCTGGATCAGCACGCTCAACCTAACCCAGCACGTCTCAGACAAACAACTTTTTCTCGCTGACCAGGCATAGCCAGAGAGGTGTCTGGTACACCCTGATGGGCATAGGCATCAAAAAAAAATAATAAGCATCAAAAAGAAAAATAATAGGGATCAACAAAAAAATTAATAAGGATCAAAAAAAAAATAAGCCATCCGGCCCACCTGCGTGGTCCTCTGGTCCCGTGGTCCTCTGGTCCCGTGGTCCTCTGGTCCTGTGGTCCTCTGGTCCCGTGGTCCTCTGGTCCCGTGGTCCTCTGGTCCCGTGGTCCTCTGGTCCCGTGGTCCTCTGGCCGTGGTCCGTGGTCCCCTGGTCCCGTGGTCCCCTGGTCTTGTGGTCCCCTCGTCCTCTGGTCCTCTGGTCTGCTTGTCTGTCCGCCTGGTCCTGCGGGTCCTATGCGTGTAAGTAAATTTAAATTAGACAAATAAATAAAAACCAATAAAATATAAATATATATTATATACACACACGATAGTGAAGGTCAACGTGTGTGTATATATATATGTATGTATGTATGTGCATATATATATACATACATATTACATAATACACATTACATTACACATTACCTATTATATATTAGACATTATATATTATATATTATATATTATGTATTATGTATTATGTATTTTGTATTATGTATTATGTATTATGTATTAATTATGTATTATGAACTCTATATTATGTTTTATGTTTTATGTACTATGTATTATGAATTATATGTTATATGTTTTATATTATGTATTCTGTATTACGTATTATGTATTATGTGTTATGTATATGTATTATTTTAGTATTATATTTTATTATGTCGTATGTACTATGTATTTCTGTTTATAATTATATTATTTATATATTTTAACATTATATATGCTAATATAATTAATATATATATTCTATATATATATTTTATAATTATATATATAGTATACATATTAACTACCTATATACCATTATACATATTATATATTATATATATTATATATATATATAATTATATTATTTATATATATTATATATATATATTTTATATAATATATATATTATATGTAATTATGTATATTATATATTATAATATATTATATATTTATTATATATTATATATATTATAATTAGATATATTAGAATATATATATATATATATTCAATATTAATATTATATATATTATATATATTATATATATTATATATATATATATTTATAATATATTAACTATTATATTTATATATATATTATATATTATTATATATTATGTATTATTATATTATATATATATATGTATATTATATATATATATTATCTATATATATATATTAATATATATATTATATTATATATATATATATATATTATAGATTATATATATATATCTTATTTATATATATATATATATATATATAATTATATATTATATATATTAATTATATATAATTTATATTATAATATAGATTATATTATATTTAGATATATTATATTTATTATATATTTAATATATATGTATTATTATTATATTATTTATTATATATATTATATATATATAATATATCTTATATATTATTGAATATATATATATATTATATATATTTATATATATTAATATTATATATATATATATAATATAATAATTTATATATATATATATATATATATGATATATATTATATATATATTATATATATATTATATATATTATATATTATATATATATTATATATATAAATATATTATATATTATATATATTAAATATATTATATATATTATATATATTATATATATTATATATATTATATATTATATATGGGTCACCGCCTATAGCGGTTCCCCTGTGTTTTTGCACATTCCCTTAAACCATCTAACCAAAAACCCCTTAAACCATCTAACCAAAAACCCCTCAAACCATTAAACCATTAAACCATTCAACCATTAAACCATTAAACCATTAAACCATTAAACCAATGGTTTCCCCCATATGAGAATCCCCTTAACCATTAATTAAACCATTAAACCATTAAACCAATGGTCTCCCCCCCAAACCATTAAACCATTAAACCATTAAACCATTAAACCATTAAACCATACCATTAACCCATTAAACCAATGGTTTCCCGCTTCTGAAAATCCCCTAAACCATTAAACCATTAAACCATTAAACCAATGGTTTCCCCCTTATGAAACTTCCTTAAACCATTAAACCAGTAAACCATTAAACCAATTGTTTCCCCCATATGAGAATCCTCTAAACCATTAAACCATTTTCATGGCGGGCAACCAGTGGTTTAATGGTTTAATTGTTTAATGGTTTAATGGTTTAATGGTTTAATGGTTTAATGGTTTAATGGTTTAATGGTTTAATGGTTTAATGGTTTAATGGTTTAAGGGATTTTCATAAGGGGGAAACCATTGGTTTAATGGTTTAATGGTTTAATAGTTTAGGGGATTCTCATAAGGGGGAAACCATTGGTTCAATGGTTTAATGGTTTATTGGTTAAATGGTTTAATGGTTCTCCAGCCGAGGTACCTCTACCGCATCTTTTCTGCTCCTAAAGTTCTGATTCGCAAGCAGTGTCCCCTGTATCCTTATTCTGAATCGCAAGCAGTGTCTCCCGTGTCTTTTCTGCTCATAAGTATACGTATACTATATGGGGTTGCGCCTTAAACCCTAACTCTTAAACCCTGACTCTATAGGGTTTTAAGGTTAGGGTTTAGGTTGAATTGCCGGCTTAGGTTTCAATGCTTCAATCTTTAACCCTAAACCTGTCAACCTTAACCCTCTAGGGTTGGGGTGCCTACATCATCATCGGATTTGACGAGCTCTGCGGATATATGTATATGACAAGGTTATAACTTATTGCTGTGGTTATAACTATGGGTTAGGGTTTGATTTTTATACACTTATGTAAACCCATTAGAATAAGGGGAACCCCATCACGCCCCAACAAGCGAAATATCCCAAATACTTGACCTTAGCTAAAATATCTCAAGCAACCATTCCCCGATACGCAACACCTGAATTCCATCATTTAACGATATAGTTTGTGTATATGTTGAATCCCAGCAAGTAGTGAAAGTGACGAGCTCTGCGGATATATGTACATGACAAGGTTATAACTTTTTGCTGCGGTTATAACTATGGTTCAGGGTTTGATGATATACATGTAAATTCACCTATAAGAAAAAATGAGGGCAACCCCATCACGCCCCCAACAAGCAAAACAAAACCTCTATCCTAAAAGCTTTACCTTACCTAAGATCGCTCAAGCAACCATCCCCCGATAAGCAAAACTTGAATTATCCTCTTTGTTTATATGTTGAATCCCATGAAGTAGTTTTCAGGACATTCGCTCACAGTATTCTCGCGTCACCGGGGCGAAAGAGCCCTACAACCGTAGGCATAACCCCATGGGGTTTAAGGTTTGGGGACTTAAGCTCTAAGTGCTCTGGGGTTTTATGGTTCTATTGTATAGGTAATTAATGCCCAAACCTTAAACCTAAACCTTTAAACCCTATAGGGTTCAATGGTTCGACAACCTAAGGTCTGGGCATGTATACCTTCAGCACCCTTTAGGGTTAAAACCTTTGAACCTTTGGGAGCCCTGTAGGGTTTTACGGTTCTGACCCTAAACGAATCAGGATTAAGGTCTGAATGCCCGAACTTTAAACCCTTAAGATTAAAATTCTTTTAGTTTTCGTTTTAAATGCCTAAGTCCTAAACCCCAACCCCTTAAACCTTAACTCTATAGGGCTTAAAGGTTCGAGTTTAGGTTGAATTGCCGGCTTAGGTTTAAATGCCTCAATCTTAAACCCTAAACCTGTCAACCTTAACCCTCTAGGGTTGGGGCGCCTACATCATGATCGGATTTGACGAGCTCTGCGGATATATGTATATGACAAGGTTATAACTTTTTGCTGCGGTTATAGCTATGGTTCAGGGTTTCATTTATATACATGTAAATATCCTATAAGAATAGCTCAAGCAACCATCCCCCGATAAGCAAAACCTGAATTCTATCATGTAACGATATGGTTTGTTTATACTTTGAATCCCAGGAAGTAGTGAAAAGGACATTTGCTCACAGTATTCTCGCGTCATTGGGAAGAAAGCCCTACAAACGTAGGCATAGCCCTATGGGATTTAAGGTTTAGGGATTTAAGCTCCAAGCCCTATAGGGCTTTAAGGTTCTATCGTACAGGTAATGCCTAAACCTTAAACCCTAAGCCTTTAAACCCTGTAGGGTTGAATGGTTCAAGAAGAGCTAAGGTCTGGGCATGTATACCTTCAGCACCCTTTAGGGTCAAAACCTTTGTTCCTTGTAGAGCCCTATCGGGTTTTAGGGTTCTGACCCTAAACGGTTCAGGGTTAAGGTTTAACTGCCCGAACTTTCAACCCTTAAGGTTAAATCTCTATGGGTTTAGGTTTAAAGTTTAAAAAAAAACCTAAATCTTAAACCCTAACCGCTTAGCCTTAACTCTATCGGGTTGAACGGTTAGGGTTTAGGTTTCATTGCGGGCTTACGTTTAAATGCCTCAATCTTAAGCCCTAAACCTGTCAAACTTAACCCTATAGGTTTGGGGTACCTGCATCATCATCGACTTGTTGCTGTGGTTATAACGATGGTTTAGGGTTTAAAAGATATACATTTATGTAAACCTTTAAAAATAAGGGGAACCGCAATAGGCGGACGCCCTTATATATATATTATATATATTATATATATTATATATATTATATATATTATATATATTATATATATTATATATATTATATATATATTATATATATTATATATATTATATATATTATATATATTATATATATTATATATATTATATATATTATATATATTATATATATTATATATATTATATATTATATATTATCTATTCTACTAACTATATATCTATATATCATATATACATACACTACTAAACATTATATCATGTGTATATATAAATATATACACACTTATACTTATATATATATACATATATATAAATATATATATCTATACATATCATAAATATATTTATATTTATATTTTCATATTGTTGTACATTATATGATATATGTATGTATATGAATAAGTAAGTATAAATATGAATAAATAAATAAATGAATAAATAAATAAATATATATATATATATATATATATCGCATATTGAATATTGTATCTTATATGTCATATATTGCATATCATATGTTGTATATTGTACATTATATACTGCGTATAATGCATAATATGAAGTATATAATATATATATATATACAATATACTATATACATACTATACAATATATAAAATATATAACATTTTTTATTATTACTTAATCTGTTTTTTATTATTCATTATATAGTATATTTTATATATTATGTAGTATGTATTATATATTGTTCTTTGAAGCCATTGGAATGCAAAGAAAATGGAAGTTTTTTGCTTAAAACATGTAGAAGTAGAGTTTTTCCGATGGAAACATAGAGATAATAGAGGATTTCTCATGAAAACGCGAAGACAGTAGACGTTTTCTTGTGGGAGTATGAAGAAATAGAGGTTTTCCCATTGAAAGATCGAGAAACTAGAAGGTTTTCCAACCACTACCACCACTTCTACGCATCGTGCGAACATTGTTTGCAAATGGGTGGGGCTGCGCCCCCCCCCAACCCCCCCGCTGTTTTTTTTAAGCTGTGCAAAGCGTGCTGCAAAGCCAAGTGGGGGGGTGTGGGGGGGGGGGCTGCGCCAACCCCAACCCCGCCGCGTTTTTATCAAGCTGTGCCACTGCAAAGCGTGCTTTATGAATCTTGTTGAAGCCATTGGGATACTAAAAAGTTTAAGTTTTTCTTAAAATATATGGAAATAGAGGTTTTCCGATGGAAACATAGAGATGATAGAGGTTTCCTATGAAAACGTGAAGAAAATAGAGGTTTTCTTGTGGGAATATGAAGAAATAGAGGTTTTCCTATTAAAAGATCGAGAAAATAGAAGGTTTTCCAACCACTACCACCACCCACTACTACCCATCGTGCGAGCATTGTGTTTGCAAATCCCCCCCGCAACCCCCCCCAACCCCCCCCCCAAACCCCCCCCCCCCCCCAAACCCCCCCCCCGAACCCCCCCCCCAACCCCCCCCCCCCCCCCCGCTGTATTCCAAGAGGAAAATGGGTTATATTTTTTTGATGCTTATTTAATATTTTTTTGATCCTTCACCCCCCTGATGTGTGTAGGATGTGAGGTTGCAATGTGTCCCAATCAGTCATGGATGCTGTCAAGGAGTGGTGGCGAATGGATGCACGACGCTACGCTGAGAGTTGTTTGGATATGCCATGTCAGATAGTTTGATGTTACGTGTCGTTCTTGTGCCTCAGCCAAAGAACTCAAAGAAGCTTGCCACGGGAAGGACGGTCCTCCGTTGCATCGATTGCTTCGGCCACCTCAGAGGGACGCCGACCGAGCGTGTGGAAGCGTGCTCTTTCAGGCGAGGGCCCGGGCGATGGATGCGAAGTCCCATATGCAATATTGGTGGTCAGGTGTGACACGCCGGATGTCGCTCACCCACAAGCCGCACGCTTACACCCTGGCTACGACTGCGATGGCTGGCTTAACTGGCCTGGCCAGTACAGCGCCGCCTGCTTTGCGAAATCGCGGCCGCCGCATGAGCAGCTTCCCTTACTTTTATTGCGAAGGATTGGTTCAGCCCGTTTCCTTATCGCTGCTGGAGTTGCTGCATGTTGCTGTAGATGCTGTAGTGTCAACTGCAGCCTCCTGAGCCTCTTGAGCCGGAAAGGGCTGCAACATTTCTGGCTGAAGACTTGAGGCGATGGCATGCTGCTAGTGCGGCAAGAAAGACAAGCTTCCAAATCCAGCTGCCGGGCAGCATCAACGGCTTTCGTCGCCTGCAGACTAGCATTGCATCATGCAGAGCGGAAATTGAGGTATCACAAGTTTGAAGTCAATATGTGAGGGGCAACATGAGCCTGTCAATGAAGATGCCAGCGGCCGCACTTTGTTCGCACAAGCGTTGTCTGTTGCCTGTTTCAATGGGGTAACCAAGATTTCTCAGGGACCAGCTCACCAAGCTCGTCATCAAGCTCGTCGTCTTCACGAAGTGGCAGCAGTCACCCAGAGTGGGCAATGTTGGCCGATGACACAAGTGAACCAGGTGAACCAAGGAGGAGCAGAGCAGAGAGCCTTGAAATTGGTCCTGCTGAGGCCCAAGCCGTCACAAGCCACTCCGCTCTCCAGACCCTGCTCCGAAACATATGCAACATGGAGAGACTGCTCTGTAACATGCTGGGAATGCCACTGTGTAACACCTTATGATTTTGTTACCATATGTTACCATATGCATCCACAAGATGCACTTCTCGAACCAGAAACGAAGAGCTGGAATCAGTTGGGAAACCTCGGGCGCAGTAGCTCTGTGAAATGGGGCCACGTGCCCTCTCACCAGGCTCATCCGTGAGAATGTGGTCTGGTCCTCTCCCTCGCTCCTCTTTTTTGGTCTCCCTCTCTCTCTCTCTCTCTCTCTCTCTCTCTCTTTCTCCATCTCATTCTCTCTCCCTCCCTCTCCCTCATTTCTCTCGACCTGGGAATAGGTGCTCCCGAAGTTGTCTGGCGCACTTCTTCGGCAAGCCTTGCCTGGTGCAGCCACCCGGCAGAGCAGCCGGTGGCGCAGGCCATGCTGATGTCCGTGGACAATTTTTTTGAGAATCTTTGGGGGACAACCGTTACCACTCGCACTGCCACGTAGTGAGCTGGTTTGCTGCGCCCCATGTGGAAACGCGCGCAGGGCCTTGGTTTCTGTACACGGTTGCAAACGACTACTCATTTTTGCCTGGCATACAAGCTTTTATGAGTAAACATTCGAATGATTCGAATGGCAAGTTTTCCGATTCCCACGAGGCTGGAGGACCGCTAGTCCCAAACACCCTAAAACTCCTGAAAACCCTTACGCTTTCGCCCCTTAGCAGCCCTAAAATCCCAAGCCCTAAACCCTAGTGCTGTGGCTAGTCGGGTGGCAATAAAAACCCCAAAACCCAAAAGCCCTGAACCCCAAAAACCCAAAATTGGAGTACCAGAGAGCCAGCGCCGAGTAAACCTGGAGGACCCTTGTAGCATGGGTGCTGGCAAACCACACGCTCGGGAGTAGTAAGAATCGGAGCCGTTGCCGTTGCCGTGCTTGTACTACATGCTGAGAAGCTGCTGGCAATTTGGACCGGGAGCTGTTTAATTCGGATCTGCAGGCTTCCTAGCGCGCGCGAGCAACGACAAACCGCCGTCAACCTGCACCCGTTGAATCAAGGAGCGCTCTGATTTTGAGAAATGACAATGAACGTTCTGGAACATCAAAGGGCTCGCGGAGCTAGGGAGAGGCTAGGGCTGACGCTCGTAATCTCACAGTAGAGTTGACACCGTTGACACCGTTGACACGTTGACACCGTTGACACCGTTTGTTTTGACAGAGTGCGATTGTGCAGGAGGCCGGGTGGCTGGATCGGTTCATGAAGCCACGCGAAAGGGCCTGGCTCGGGCCAATCTGGCAGCACTGCGAGTTTGCAGCAAGGATGTGCTAGGTTCTTTTGTTTTTAGAACTAGAGTGCGCCGCCACAGCCCCGAAAGACAACCTATGTTTGGAAGCACCTGCAGGAGCCCATCATTGGCGCAGCTTTGAGACACCAGCAAGCCCGAACAAGGCAGGCATTTGGTAGAATCTTGGCCTTAGACAGTCCCAGGGCTAGGCAGCTTGCCACGTTTGCCACTTTAAAGATTGTTGCGGCGGATCAGGGGTATCAAAGCTTGGCCAAGGCCAAGGCGCAACCAGGCACACGGTCTGCTCCAAGTGGCGCCATCCTGGGGTCAGGATGAAGTGGGGACCGAAGGCAAGGACAGTCTTCTGGACAGCCACGGGCGGCATGAGGCTTGCAAAGCCTAAAGGCTTCTATCTGTCTGTCCAGGTCTGGGTGTCGTCAGGGCTGCCGATATCATGCCCTACGACTTTGTGGCAAGAGTTCCAGGCTATGCGAGCACCGGACGCAAAGTAACAACTTCCGTTTGCGCTCGCGCTCAACGCTGTGGCTTTTGTGTGTGTGGGTGTGTGTGTGTGTGTGTGTGCGCTGTCTGCTGTCCCTGTCCGCGTCTGTGTCAGTTTCTCTGTCTCTGTGTCTCTGTGTGTCTCTGTGTCTGTGTGTGTGTGTGTGTGTGCGTGTGTTCTTGAAAGCCTAAGAAGGCTAACAAAGGCTTACAGCCTACAAGGAAGTCATCAGTGCTGTTGCATTGCTTTCCTTTCCCGACACCATAGCAGCCATTCCCTGTGTTTATGCCAGAAGTGGCAACTCCCGCGGCATAACTCGTGCCGCCAGCTGTCAAGCTCAAAGCATCTGCACCCAAAATCCTGGGAGAGATGACAGAAGTTTGCCATGCACCAGGCACCCAAATGGGTAAGGCGACACACACGAAGGTTCAGTCTTAAAGTGGACAAAACGGCTCCATCTGCACCACTAGAGTCACTAGAGTACTTGTGATTGGTGTAGTCTGCGCAACGTGTCCGGATTGATCGCGGATCTGAGTATGCTCCAGTGACTCTGGTGCCGACGCTTTTGCATCCATGTTGGCTCAGCTCAGCCGATCACAATTGAACAAATGTCCGGGAGAACAGACGTGCAGAAATGAATGCAGTTTGGGATGCTGTGAAAAGGCAATGTCAAGTCCTCGTGATCTTAGTGTGTCGCATTTTGGGAAGATCGAAGATCGGCCATGGGCCAGTCCTGCACCAGCCTGAGCATGAGCGGGTTGCGAATGTTGAGGGCAAGCCGGGTAAGCGCAGAAATGGCTGAACGCATTTTAGATATTTCAGGCTGTGCACAGCCTTTGGAGGAGGAGCGGGGGGCGGGACTCTACACATCCTCATCATGCTGAAGCCATTCCTGTGATTCGCAGGAATGATCTCCCGAAAGACCTAAAGATTCAAAACGCAAGGTGCACAGAACTTTCCTGAGACAACTTGGATCCTGTTGGAGGATGTGGCTTTGGAGCTCAGCGCCGTGGACCATCGAACGGTTTTGCAACTAGGCATCGATTGGATTCTTCACTGACCTCCGTGGGCTCAGCATTGTGTTCAGGATCTGAGAGCGGGTAAAGGCCATCCTATCTTATGAAAGCACCTTTGAGAGACGTTCGGGACTGGGTTTTTTGGGAAGACTCTGGAAGTGGAGCCAAGTGCGAGGGATGGGTGGCCAGCATTGCAAGATGCTGTGAGGGATAACTGCGCAGCTCTACTTCCAGCTTGGCCCAGATTGTTTTGTGTACATATTTAATATGCCTACGGGGCGCCTACGGCTTACGGTGATAGTAGATAAGAAACTTTCGTTTTTGATGAGGGTGCCTGCGATTTCTCCGTGAAAAGCCGACTTATTTGTCTACCTCTGGGGTCGTTTCAGCCCCGAAATTCACACATTGATGGGCTGGACTTCGTAAGTTGAAGTTGGGGGGCTGAATTTCTTGTTGAGCGGGGATTGCTTCAAATTGCGAAGCTGCGGGCTAGAGTTCTGATTTCCCATTGGTAGTTGGCGGTGCCTGCCATTCCGCGCACTTTACTTGGCGGAGTGAAGTTCTGAGCATGGCCGCTTCAGCACCAAAGGCGTCACATGCTCTGCTCCCATCCCCGAATTTCTGCAGCGTGTTGCTATTGGTAGCGAGCTTCTCTCCAAAGGACGGGAACGGAGCAGAGCTACGCCTCTTCTACATTACTCGATGCATCAAGGAGGTGGCCTTGTTGTTGCAGAGGTTGCCGTAGATAGAGGAGGCCGCGCTGTTTGCTGCCGTGTTTATCAATCTTTAACACAAACTCACTATTTCCGTATTTCGAAGGGCGAGGGTTGATGTTGGAATCACTGAAGTTTCCATTCAGACTCCGGGGTCAGAGTCTTGGAACACTGGTTGCGAACTGACACATTCTCCAACGCATATCTAAACAAATCTAAGATTAGCGCTGCACTGCTGCGCTCCTCAGGAGGCCTGACTCCTTAAAGGCTCTGGGAACTCGGGGTGTGCGGTCGGGTTTGCGTGGGCTGCGAGGCGTAGGCTGTGCAGAGATCTCTGGGAAGGATGTTTCCGAACGCCCTCAACTTGAGCCAGCTTTTCCCAAGTCGCCGGGCTGGGTTCAACAGCGATTTACAGCGCCCGTGGCAATGCAAACGAACGGTTCCGTCGTTGGGTTGACAGACCATCCCCGATGCCCTGTCATCGCGTGAAAGTAACAATCTCGAAGGGCGCACGCAGGCAGGATATAAGCCGAGGATTGCCCAGGCAACAAAGGCAATCAACAAGGAGAGCGGATGCGCAGAGAAGTAGAAGGCTCTGAACTATAAGTACACTGGGCTCGAAAGGAGATGCAGCAGTGTCCGACATGGTCCGTGCAGATCCAGGAGAAAGCCTTGCAGCGAGCATGTCCGACCCCGCAATAGGGTCCTCTGTGGTGGGTAGAGCATCATCATCATCGTCATCATCGTCATCAGCCTCATGAGCATACTCAGCATGGCCAACGTCCTCAAAAATCATCAGGACCATCATGTTCGGCTCTGTGCCGCCGCATTCTGGCTCTGAGCACAAAAACGGGGGGTTTTTGACCTTCACCCACGAAGCTGCCTATCGAACTTGGCCGCTGAAAGTTGTACACCGAAGATGAAGTGTACACCCGCGCAAAACGGGCGATACATTCCTTGCAAAAGAAGGAAGCCCTCCCTTTCCTAACGTAAACTCCAACAACCTTCCATGGCGGGGAAGGACGCGGTTTCCTAGTTCGGGGTTTTGGAGGTACAGCATGGTGGTACTCATCATCCAATGCATGCATGGTCATGGCATGTCATGGCAGGTCTGGCGGCCTTGATCATGTGCCAGGACGCTGCAAGGTGACTCGTCGCCATCGCAGTGTTCTATTGTTATTGCCGTTTAGCAGCCGTGTGGCGCCCTCGCTACGGTCGCATGTTTCTGATTGGAAACGTTGGGCTCTGGAGCCGATGCCATTGCAGAGCGCTAGGATATGATCTTCGCTAAGGAGGTGCCGACGCTAGTGGCCGACCCTCAATGCCACCTTGCCATCGCAACGGTCCAAGGCTTAGTCTGCCGCCTGCGCACTATCTTCAAAACATTTGGGGTGAAGTACACGACCATGTGAGCTTCCGTTATCTGCTCTCATCGTGCACTGCACCAGCTTCCGCTCGTGCCAGTTTCCAGGCTTGCGGTGTAGGCATGCGGCATGACAAGGGGACTGGTGCCCCAAATGTTGGGCCTATGTGGACAATAGATGTTGCCCCACGGGCAGTCGACAAAGGGCGCAGTTTTGGCAGCTCACTTGAGCAGTCGCTGGCAGCCTGAGGAACCCGAGCCTTGTGGTGGTTATTGTCCAGGTCCCAGGGTGGCTGGGATGTGCAAGTCACTTCTCGCAGTGACGACAGATTCGATGGTTGGAGCTCGAATCCGCTAGCGCTGAGTGTCCGAACTGCCCACGTGAAGTGGGGGCCGTAGCTGCAGTCATTGGTTGTTGGCATTGGCATGGGGGAAGGTGTGATATCCCCACGATACAAGCTGGAGCGCTGGGGTGGCACAAAGACGCCATGAACTGTGACCTCAAACATCCTATGGCGCATCATGGAGCATCAAAGAGCTCGTGTCATTGCGAGTATAGATGAGGTGAGCCTGTGAGTCGACACATGTTTGTCATCTCTTTTGCGGCTGTTTGATTTCGTGGCTGACAAGAGTGAGTGCTTTGAGCAAAAAGAAGAATGAAAAAGGCGTAGCTCTGTCAAAGGCACTCGCTGTTGCGCTCAGGCGGCACAGGATCCAAAGGATTCAGGCCGGATCTTTCTAGATTTCTGGATTTCTGGATTTCCCGATGTTTGCAACATGTTGGCAACATTGTGCATCACACTTTTGTGCAAAACTGCCCTCTGCACATCTGATATCTCTACAGTGACGATTTCTCTTGCATGCCCTCCGCTTCGAGACGCAAAGTGCAGCATCGGCAACTCATTGAGGTCCGTCATGGTTTAGCGTCTTAGCTGATTCTTGGGGTCATGGTTTGCTTGCCAATTCGCTCCGGGTGGCTCGGATCTAATGAGGGAGTTACATCGTTCGTTTTGCGCATGTTTAGTCTTCAGGCCTTTAGGTGCAGGGTGTCGTCGCAGCAGACTTGTGCTCTCGCATCTCTCGCAGGGCCCGGTGTTTTTTTTTCCTAACGTTGGCCCTGGCTTGGTGTCCTTGGTAACGTTGGCCCCAGGTCTCCTGGTCCTCTGGTCCTCTGGCCCCTGGCCTTCTGGTCCCTAGGTCCTCTGGCCCTCTGGTCGCTTGGTCTTCTGGTCCTCTGTTCTGGTCTCTTGGTCCTCTGGTCCTCTGGTCCTCTGGTCCCGTGGTCCTCTCGTCCTGTGGTCTCGTGGTTTCCCGGTCCCGTGGTCAGATTTTCTTGTTTTATTGATGTACTTGTTTTGGTCATCATGATAATGGTATAGTTTCTATGTAGTATAACCTAAGAATATATATATATATATACATATATATATATAAATATGTATATATATATATATACGTAATATATAATATACTACTATGTAATATAGTATAATATAATATAATATAATATATGCTATTATATAATATTCTAAAATATAATATAGTATAATATCATATCATGTAATATAATATAATATAATATTATCCAATAATAGATTACAATATAATATAATTGAATACAAACAGAAACATACATCTACATATTATATAGCCCAATGTAACAAAGGATAGTATAGTACCATATGACACAATATAATATAATATAACATTTCATAATATAACAAAATATCACTTTATATGATATAATATAATATAATATCGTATAATATCATACAATATGATAAAATAAAACAAGGCATAATATGTATGTATGTATGTATGTATGTATGTATGTATGTATGTATGTATGTATGTATGTATGTATGTATGTATGTATGTATGTATGTATGTATGTATATGAAGTCATATAGTCGAATTCATAGTACACAATACAGATTTATATTGTTCTTTTGGAGATGGGGGCGGTCGGAAGGGGGGGGGGGGCAAGGGGGCAAGTGGAGAGGTGGAGTGGAATGGGTCGGAAGGGGAAGGAGCGGGATGGGCAAGTGGAGAGGTGGTGGTTGGGAAGGGGAAGGGTGGTGGGGAGCGGGGGCAGGGGAAGGGGTTGGTGGTGGTGGGAGTGGGGGTAGGTGGAGGAGGTGAGGTAAGTGGCTGGAGAGGAAGTGGGAGGGAGGAGGATCGGTAAGCAGAGGGTGGGGAGGGGGAGGGGGGGTACGGTGAGAGGGGGGAACTATAAATGCCGGAATTTACAGCATTGGGAGCTCTGGAATACCCAGAAACGCTGTGTTTTTGAGCGTTTTGGCCTTACAAGCAACCAGAAATACTGCATTTCATAGCATTTGAAGCCAGGAATGGCAGGGCCAACGTTAGCAAGGCCAACAAGCCAGGGCCAACGTTAGGAAAAAAAACGCCTCCGCCATCTCTCGCAAGTTCACATTCACCATTTTCCTGGCCAGGCCGAACTGCGTCAGCGAAGCTGAAGACGAGATTGCTGCAGGATATGCGCGACAGCGTTGGCTTCAAAATGGTTTGGTTTAAGCTTGCAGAGTTGATGTAGCCATCCCTCGTCTCAGGGTCCTTACGTGCGGTATTTGTAGTCGTGGTAGTGTCTCCGCCTTGAGATTTGAAGGCGTCGCAGCATGTGAGACAAGGGCACTGGGCAGTGTCAAGACTACGTGGTGACAAAGTGCTCTTGCCCCGTAGTTGTAGCCTGCAAGCATTGCCAAACAAGGGGGGCACCGGCAATAAAGAGAAACTCAGCCAGCTGCTGCCATGAGCAACTCATTGGTCAGACCACCCTGCGTCAGGAGGCAGAGCAACTCATTGATGAAGGCCTCGATGAGTGGCTCCGAAGCTGGTGCACTGACGAGGCAGGGTGCTGGCGTGATCTGGCGTGCTGAAGCGTGCTTTCTCCGAGTTGTCTCTTCCTGTTGGCACAGGTGCTGTGCACGTTCTTGGGTGCTTCCTCCAAGGACTTCTGTACAGACTTCTGCACAAACCTAGGTTGCTTGACATGCCAGGCCAGAAAACTTCTGTTGGACCAGGAGTCAGCTGTGGCATCTTTGGCCACAGCGCTCAAGTGGAGACGACGCTACAAAGACATTTTGACTGGCTCACGGGCACCATGCTGGCAGGCCGGTTACGGCGGGCGGGGAGAGACAAAGCATGTTAATGCTCAGGCAACTTGAATCAATGTCCACACGCAAGATTTTGTACTTCCAACCTTTCTCGGACTCTGTTTCGCGCCGTTTTTCTGAACATAGAGCAGGCCTAATCATCTTAGCCACATTAACAGCAATAATGATCACGACATTTTGTTTGGTGATTGTTGTGTATACCATGGATCATATCTTGGTAATACTATATACCGAGACAGCGATGAATAATGTGTTCGAACACGCAGATGTTTATGTGAACGTTTGGTTGCCTCTGACATCTCCCGTTTTTTGAATGCAAATCGATTCTCAGGGTGACATGCGAGTTGTGGCACGTGGAGCCGCGGGACATCCAGTGACCTTGGACCTGTCAGTGCTTTCCGGTTAACTGTGAAACAGCATGAAACAGCATGTGGATCATGTGGGTATATGTGGATGGAATAAGATGTTTTGCAACGCAATTTGCGTTCAGCTAAGGATTTTCATGTCAATGCAGCACCAGCCACCCAAATCAAGCAGACTCTTGTCTGCACTGGCAATCCCTGTAATGATTCGGTTCTGTCGAATCTGTGCGATGTTGTGTGCGATGTTCCGTGCGAAGACCCAGGCGTGGACACTTCGGAGCATATGGCTGCTGTGCTGGAGGCTGCAGTTTCTGCGGCCCATGCAGGAGCATGGGGCTTTGACGTGGCGCCTCGGTTTGACATGAAACGGCTTTGTGCATCTGATAAAGGTTTGCCGTTTGGGATGACAGCAAGGTGTGCGATTGCCGCGGGTTCCAGCTTTCCAAAAACTTGAATCCTCGTCCTGCAGTATCAGCCATGGAGGCCAACATTCTGCAAGCTGCATATGAATCATGAAGTTACATGTCGGCATCGCGGGGCCCCTGACGAGATGCTCAAGCATGCTTACCGTGGGCGTATGCGCTTCGCCTTTCTGGTCGGAGCTCCAGTGGCTTTCGGTGGCTTTTGGAAGCTCGTGAAGGGGTGGCTTGGATTTGTGCTTAGAAAGGTGGCTGTCGTCCGTTGTGGAAGTTCGCATTGTGGAAGTTCGCCATTGTGGAAAGGCAAGCATATCTAAGGCTGCTGCCGAAGCCAACCCAGGATGCATTGCGTCATCAGTTGACTCGGTCTGTTGCACGTTCTTGTGTTTTTGACAGCTTCCATACGGCCATGCGCTTCATGAGAGGGAGGGCAGGGATGAAGTTGCAGGTCTCTTTTATCTGGTCTGTTGGCTCTCGCAGGCATCCACAAGCCACGCCAGGGCAATCGTTCAGAGGCTTGAGTCTACGTATGTCCATGTGGTGAAAAAAGGAACAGATGTGGTGGTTCAACAGGATTCAACCTTGTGTAACCACAGAGCCGCTCTTTCTTGCTTTTGCCATGGAGCCATCCTCCACTTTCTGCTCGACGCAATGTTCGTCGCAGCCTCCATCACCCGAGCCGCAGAGGCACAATGTGCTGATAGCAGAACAGAACATGCTTGCCGAAACCACCACTGTTGACGACTTGAGTGATTCGAGGTCCCTTCGCCAGAACCTCGGTGACGAGGAAGACCTATGTGCGATTTGCCAGAGCATCTCGGCCCAAATGCTACTGTTCGTGACAGTTACTTTCAGTGACCGCCAGTGACCGCCAGTGGCCGCTGTTCTCGCGGCCACAGCGGAGCCTCACAGGTGCAGTGGGAAAACGATATTTCAACCCGCGTCACCACTGCCGACTTTGTGGCCGTCCTGCAGGGTGCTGAGCAACAAAGCGCCAGCGATGTGGCACCATTCTGCTGGGTTTTCTCTGCTGAGCTTTCTGCTGAGCTACTGAGGTGTGCGCGTCGTGCTCCCCGGCTAAGATTCGTACCTGTATTGGCACAAGGACTGATCTCAGCACCCCATCTATCCGGCCATGATTTGTGTCCTGACAAAGTCGCTCGAGGTTCACCCTGCCGCGTCCCAGTGTCGGGGGAGAAAGGGGTGCAAAGATCTTGCATTCCGTGTGCCGCAAATGCATCAAGGGCGCAGCTGGGTGGCATCGTATACAACATACTGTTTCGCGAAGGAACATGTTTCAACACCTCCGCGAAGGTCTGCCCTTACCCAGCAGCTGTCCTTCCTCTCTCGGCAGCTCTCAGATCTGGCTGGGAGGTCGTGCTCCATTTGCGAACTGTTAGAAGTTAGGATTAGGAGCTGTTCGGGGCTTGTAGACGAAAATGCGCTGAATAGCCTGTTTTTTGCTTGTTTCCTGGAGGCCAACTGCTAGCGTGGCACCTGCAACCCTGGAGGCTCGCCCACGGTAGCATTGAGTGTCATGCAGACATGTGTCCCAAAAGCACAGTGTGCAGCGAGAATGCGTTGCTTGACAGTTTGGGGTCCGTCAGAGGATGCACTGAGCAGTCTGGAAGCTGCGGTGGAGCCACTGAGGCCGATATGTCTCCTCATGTTTTCTCATCTCGCCTTGTCTCGGCCCTGTGCCGTAAGCCTTGCTTCCTTGAGGAAGTTGCGAGTCCAGCACAAAATCACAGTAGCCAAGCATTATTAGTGATTCTTTTTTTCATGACAGGAACTGGCTGCTCCACTGGGCTTCAAGTTTCGACATGATGAAATGTCTTGTGCCGAGGAACGACGATGTCATGAAGCTGAGGGTCAGCTCCAAACTCTCCGCGTAGAGCTACACCGGAACAGAGAAGACGGACACAATGGACAGGATCAAAGGACAATTGAATGGCAAGCACACCAAAGTGATGCGAGCGCTGTTTGCGATTTTAAGGTTTAGAAATGTTGAGAAGTTCAGAAGTTCCGACGGGTTTGGAGCACAGGACGCTAGAGGCTCTGTTGCCAGGCCAGAACTGTTGCAGAATCAGCTTGCCCCTTGTTGCGAGAAAGCAGCTGTGCCTCATGGAGGCTCAGCTCTGCTAAGCGAGGCTCTGGTGAGGATGCAAGCGAGTTTCACTGCTGGATTTGTCAAAGCCGTTTGGGGAAACGCTGCTTGGTAGCACTATGGCACTATGGCCATGCCTACGAAATGCTACTTGCAAAGCACACCTTGCTGCTGCAAGGCTTCTTCAATCCTCGACACCATTGCCGAGCGTGCGAGAAACCAGTTTGTGGTCAGTGTTCGCCAAGTAGCATCATCATGGATTCCTGGCTTGATTTGCACCGAGTGGCTCACAGGAAGGAGCACTGCAGAACTGAAGGCGGGAGTGAACAAGAGGTTTGGGCTCTGGAGCACTCAGGATGGGAGAACGACTTTACAGCGGGTTTGCACGCATTGTGCCCAAAGCGTGCAGGAGGCGTGCAGGCCCCCGGCACCAGAGTTGGGAACTGTCCAACTTGAG